GAAGTTTTGAGTTCAATAGAAAACGCAGAAATTAGACAATCCTTATTGATTTATTAAAGGAAAATTCCGGTTTTTAACACTTTTAGCCCCTTTTCTGTAGTGTCCAGGATGAAATCGAATGATCGACACCAAAATTTTGACAATTGGTCCTGTCTCTGCTATTTGGCTCATGCAGAATCCCCCCCTGGCTGCTTCAGAATGGCTTTCATAGTGCATGTCCGATAATGTCCTTAAAACAACCTTAAACGATCTTTTTTTAAAATATGCTACTCACCGGGTCGTCAGCGCTGTTCAATGACGTTCCAAAAAAAGTTTCGTGAAGAAAAACCGTTCCTGTAGTGTTTTATTTAGCATTTTGTAAATCCCATTGAGTTCTGTTGGAATAGTCAATATCCCTCCGCCACCGGAAACGGAAATGGGGCCTGTTTACGCTTAGTTGTAGTCTTTTCGCAAGGCCCAAGTGTTTCTGCTTCACTCTGTGTACTCCGACGTCGAGGTGCTAATGTCTCTGTTAAACACTTAAAAAAACTCTGAAAATGGAATACGAAAGGTGGATTCTTGAGGAGGACATTTTGGACTTTGAGTTTGACGGTAGAGGATACCGTCGCCAACTAGTGGTCTGGAGTGTGCAACGCTTCAGATTCGAACGGGAAGCGGAAGTTTATAAGCGGTTGTGATGTATCGGAAAAAATAGTTCTGGGATTTGCAAAATGCAAAATAAAACAAGACAGGAGCGGTTTTTCTTCACGAAACGTTTAAGGTTGTTTTAAGGACATTATCGGACATGCACTATGGAAGCCATTCTGAAGCAGCCAGGGGGGGATTCTGCATGAGCCAAATAGCAGAGACAGGACCAATCGTCAAAATTTTGGTGTCGATCATTCGATTTCATCCTGGACACTACAGAAAAGGGGCTAAAAGTGTTAAAAACCGGAATTTTCCTTTAATGCATTTGTTCCCAAGCACCACAGACTACACACTGTTGCTTGAAATGCTGTTTTGGTGGGAGTTTATATATTTAGCTCATTTATTGAAACAAAAGAAATATTAACACTTAGTGTTTGAACTGCTGATCACTAAAGACCAATCTAAAAAAAAAAACAGATTTATGATCTCTGTTTAATCAGTTTGGTCCCTCTCAAGTTGCAAAGATGTATAACACTTTAAAAAACAAACTGACCAACTAACAGAACAGGTATCTGTTTATTTGCTCTAAGAGATCAAAAGAAAACATGCTGGTTACTGCTTTGTCTTCTATTAAAGTAAGCTTATCATGATTAGCAACCAGTCCTCATACTTTGGCGTACCAATCGGAAAACCTGCATTATTGTTGTAACATAAACAACAGCACTGATCTTACAATAATCCAGCAGAGCACTGGAAACATTATCAGAATCATCCAATGGATTACTGCAAGGTTTAAAGCTCACCCTTCATCGTTCGGTTATTCTCACCCTGATGCCGGCTAACAGTAATATCACATCTCTGTCCTCAAGAGATTTAAACAGATTTCTTCTGTACAACAGTTATTAGTGTGAAGTGTAAAAACATGACTCATCGTACACAGGCCTGGCTGGGGGGAGTTCAGTTCAGTGGCTTCACCTTTTATTAACCCACCAAGATTTTATTTCCTGGTGCAAATAAAGGATTTTTATAATTAGATATCTTCACAGCTTTGGAAAAGTCCAAAAAAGGATTTGGGGTGTCATATTTTGACAAAAGGAGGTATAAGACCACTGCTTAGATTATAACATGTTCTAATTACTAATCTGGTCTAAAATGTGGATTATTTTCAGATGGTCTATTTTAGAATAATGATTTAATGTATTGCTCTAGTGCAATAATATAAAATGCGCATCTGTTGCTCTATTATTTGAAGATTATTTGAATTGTTTACCAGAAACACAGAAGAAGAAACACAGTGACGATCTGCTAAAGAAAGAACCGATCATAACCTCCAAAAACAGAGACTGATGAGGTTATTTTAGGGCTGATTAATAAACTGAAATATGTATTAGAATATACATCTATCATATCAGTCAATATTGATAATTATTGATCTGTTTTTTGTCTTGCCTATTTAAAATTAGGACCAGGGGGAGCCCAGGATTTAAACCGTAACCATAAAATTTTGTAATTGCAAGCTTTAATGAGTCAGTCTTATGATTAGGGCTGCAACAATTAATCAAATTAATTGTGATAATCGACTTTTGAAATAATCGTCAACTAATTTATTAATCGAATAAAAGTTAACTGGAGTGTAGAGACTCTAAAATGTGTCTTTAGCTGACAACAACCCACCTAGAGCAGCAATTATACCAAAATAAAAATAAGGGGTATATACAGTATTTTTCATTTAAGATAAAAATCTTTTGGTCTGTCAATATCCTCTAACAGAACTCCTCAAGTGGAAAAGCTTTATTTTCACTTGGTTTAATAATAAAAAAAAGTATTCTTTAAGGAACCTTTTGCTATCAGATTGGTTGATTAATCAAAAAAATTATCAACAGAATAATCCCTTTGCAAAATAATTGTTAGTTGCAGCACTAGCTATGACCAACCTAGCTTAGCCTAGCTTGGCCTTCATAAGCTGAGAGGCTAAATCCTTTCCTCAGGATGAAGCTTTTGTGGAATATGATAAAAAAAACTCCTATCCACTAAAATGGAAAACTTTAAATCCTTTGTTGAAGCTATTGAATGAATCTAGGTATCCAATAATAATATATAGATTGTCTTTTTTAACCTATATTCACATTCTGCTCACAAGAGCAGGTAGAGAGACTATGTTGGTAGCCACAGCTCTTTGTTCATCAATGCAATGTGATCTGCTAACCTGTAGCATTGTTCCGTTTGCAATACCAGTATGGGAATGGGGACAATGCTGGCATCGGTACTGGTGAGTATTGCAGTCCAGACGCGCTTGTCCAAAGTGGGGTCGCGAGGGGTGCTGGTGCCTATCCCCAGCAGTCAATGGGCGAGAGGCAGGGTACACCCTGGACAGGTCGCCAGTCCATCGCAGGGCACCAATCCGATACCATATAATTTAAAATAGGAATCTATTCACTGGTTAGACCCGTTGGTTCTGACACAGTTCTTCTGTGCCGCTCTTAAAACAGTTGCGATGTGCTTCCACCTGCTGTTTCAGATGGATGAAGAGCTGATCACCTGACACCTGAGATGGAGCCTCCTTTTATTATTACTACTAGTGTTTTTTTATAATGTTCTATTAAAAAAAAATAAATGATTTAAATCTGCTGTATTCATTCATGTTTCTAATCAGGGGTTTAACCTCAGCCAGGCCTTACCACAATGATAACCATATCGCAGTCATGCAGGCGTAGTATGATTATATATTTTTATTGTAACATACTGGTATCGATACTCGGTATCGGCCAATACTTGCAGCACAACCATCGGAATCGTATCGGGTTAGGAAAAATGGTACCAGAACATCTCTACCAACAGACTTTTTAGAAATAAGTGGTATTTTTAGAACATCAGGGTATGTTTGAGTCTTTTTATACAGCCATAAAACTTTCTACCATTTTTGATTTATGAAAAAATTTAAATAACTGGAAAATAATATGGCCTATTTTTGCCTTGTATAAAGATGATTTGATAGTTTGGAAGAAAAGTAAAACCTCGAACTAAAAGCTATTCCTGACATTTTGAATTGATAAAAGCTTCCTGGATGGGAAGCGAAATGTCTTCAAACTTGGAAACAAAGTCCAGTGGACTGTTTTTTAACTTTTTTTTTTTTTTGGGAAAGAAAAAAAATCAACTTTGATTAAACAAGGTAATGCTGAATTTATGTGGGCTCTTTTTCTAAACAAAAGTAAAACTGTTTGCCGCAGGTTCTGTTCATAGCTGGCTTTATTTCCCTCGTTTTCTATTAGCCTGATACAATAACATGTATCCAGAGTTGTCTTTTTGGTGTTGGTGCTGTTTACCTTCTGAGTTATTATAGAGTTTTGTTTGTTAATAACAAGTGTACTTTGAAACTTAACGTTTTATGTCAATTGTGCTCGACAACAGGTTGTAAAACACACAAAGTAAAATGATAAACTTGATGACCTTGTTCCTCTGTTTTGCTATTCTTTGCTTTTTAGGAAAACTGTGCTGAAAGAGATTTAAGGATTTACTGAAAAAAAAAAAAATATATATATATATATATATATATATATTGAACAGATGCTGTGATATATTTATGGCACATTGCTTATGGTTGCTAACAACCTCTAAATGCAGAACTCTGCTGTTCTGCTGTTTATCATATCAGAAATTTAAATTGACCTTCTCTACTGCATGCCTCCGCTAATCAAATCATTAAGTCTGCCTTTCACTATTACTTTACCACTGCCTCTAATCAGGTGGCAGCTTCATGTAAACCATGAAAAGACAAAATTGCTAGTTTTGGTTTTGTAGTCTCTATTTTTTTAAGAGAAAATGTAATAGCTATTAAAAAGCCATATTTCATAATAGAAACTTTGGCTTTACATCCAACATCAGCATACTGAGTGATGACAAAGTTTTTGGCAAAACATGTTCTATTGATTGCTTTCTTAGTGTCAAAGTCTTCACAACATAGTATTTTAATGGGTTCAACTTGGTCTGAGGGCTTCATAAATCACAAAGAGTGAAAAACTAATGTGTTAATCTCTTCTGTTTACTTTTTATAAATTTGTTTTTTTAAGAAAAGCTACAAAATAAATCCTGGTTTAAGCATTTTTAACTAGAAAAAGGATTATGTTGTCAAGAATTACTGACACCTATGACTTAATATGTATCATAATTACCATTAGAGCCTAAGGAATATCTATTACAGATAAGTGGATAATGATTATGAGTGCTGAGTATTCACATGCCCTTTCTGATGAGGTCTTGCATATCCTAAGAGATACTTTTACATATGAAACCAGCTGAGGAGTGTTGGCATATAGACATATCAGTTAGTAGCATAACACTTTTTGACCCTGTTCTGTTTTTTGTTCCTAATTCAGGCCCAGGTGAGGACGACGGAGCCGGTAACCACCGCACTGAGTGAAAGCATTCCCAAGTTTTACTTCCCACAGGGCCGGCCCCAAGCCAACCTCAACATCGACGGCCTCATTTCCAAAATTGAGAAAATATTTTCACAATTCCCAAATGAAAGGGCCACCATTGAAGACATGGGGCTGGTAGCCAAGGTGAGAACGTGAGCTGTTGCGTCGCGGTTCAGCCGCCCACCGGCGGATTGTTTTCGTTGGTGCCACTGGGCTCCCGACGATTTGAATATTTGTTGGTTTTAAAACCCCCATGGAAAATATCATTTCCGTGTTGCTTAGGAATGTGGTCAGTGGCCTGAGGAGCACCTGAGAGCAATGACAGCTAGGTTTACTTTGGGAACCCTGTAAATTATATCATACTGCTTTATTTCTCTTTTAAAAAGTTTTGAATTAAAACTCGCATATGCGCTTCTTTTATCCTTGCCCTCTCTATAATCGGCACTTATCATACTCTGCATTTTTTTTCGCTCTCTTTAGGCCTGTGAGTGTCCCCTCTACTGGAAAATGCCATTGTTCTGCTCAGCTGGAGGCGACAGGACGGGTTTCGTCTCTGTACACAAGTTTGTGGCTATGTGGAGAAAGTAAGACAATAGCTATTTTTATTCTCTGTAGACCATTGGGTCATTCACTCCCAGCCAAACAGCTCACACATTGGCCTCTGAACAATATATGACAGCTCGCTCCGGGAACATGGACACTGAAGGGTCATTATGACACTTTGCTTTTCATTCCTAACAGATAGCATTGGCTTTAGAGAGACACAAAGCAAAGCGGCATTATATGCACAGCACAGTAGGGCGTAGGAACCGTCCACTTAGTGTCTTACTGTATGAAACAGAGATGTTCTGGTGTTTTTATAAAAGTGTCTGTGTGCTGAATGCTGTTGCATGCAATAGGCATGCCCTTGTTTTAATGTACAAGTCTCCAGAGAGCAGGATAGACGTAGCCTTTGACTTAAGCTCATGACTGAACCATTCTAAGTTTAGAGGCCACCGCAGGCACTTTAATTATTACCTCTACCAACATGAGCACCTTAATCAACCTGCACCGATGCAGAATTCTAATTTCAGAATGTATTATTCTGTACTTGTGGTTTTTAGTTTAAGAAGTTAAGCCTTGACTGAATGATAAAAAAGTAGCTTTAGAGCTAAAGAGGAAGCAGCCTCATAACCATCTGTTCTCTCTTTGCTTTTCCAGAACGCTGCAGACCTGTCACGATGATGCTTCTAAATTTGTGCACCTCTTGGCCAAGCCTGGTTGTAATTACCTGGAACAAGACGACTTTATTCCATTCCTTCAGGTATTGACTGCAGCACACCCAGGGAGAGAAAGCAAGCAAGCACTCATACATGCTGAGCAGGCTGTGTGGGATGGCAAAATTGCCCCGGTTTGGGTAGTGCAAACTGTGCTTAATTTGTGGCATGCCCCTTTAAAGACCTTCCTTATTTATGTAAAGAAGGGAGAATTTGTGTTTTTTCTATATTGCCTTGCAGAGGTACTTGCTGCATGTTAGAATACTTGTTTCTTCTGCATTTTAATGCTTTATTGCAGTTTTATGTGATTGAACAACACAAAGTAATGCATAATATGTTGTGGAAAGAAAAGGGTGCAGGTTTTCCAGACTCGCAAGAAAAAAACAAATCTTAAATGCATGGTGTATATTTGTATTCAGCCGCCTGAGTCGGGATTTTGTAGAACTACCTTACAGCTCCTGGTTTTTGCATGTCTACACACAGCAATACTCCAGCCTTGCCTTTGATTCATGATTATATTTAGGTTTGATCTAGACTTGACCTTTGCGACACATGAATATATGTTGATCTAAACCAGCCATTGTAATTCTGGCACTGTGTTAAGGGTCATCCCTCTGCAGGAAAACAGACCTGCCTCCTCTCCAGGTTCGCCTTGTGTTTAGCTCCATCCATCTTCCCATCTTTTTCAATTATTATTTTGTGTCCCTGCAAAAAACAAGCCTCCCCACAGCATGATGCTGTCTCTGCTATTTGTTACCATAGCATCAGAGCGCTGTGCAGCATCGGTTTTCCTCTATCATTTACAGTTAGGCCAAGCTGCTCAGTATTGAACTTCTTCTTCCCTATATTAATTGTGGCAAAGTATCAGTAATCGCTACTCTCTTTCATGAAAGCCTATTTTGCCGAGTGGGAGGCTGAAAGTTGCTGCATCATCAACCTCCTCCACCTGAACATTGGGGCCCCTGCAGCTCTTTCAACATTATCAGTCTCTTGACGCTTTCGTCATTTCTAGGTTAATTTCACAGTCTGTTCTGCTTTAAACGTCTTGATTTGATCCCTGACCCGTTTGGTGTATTTCTTTGTCTTCATGATGCAGTTTGTTTATTTCACAGAACACCTGAAATTATGCTGTGATTAAATTACGCACATAAAAATCAGGTGACTGTTATGTGTCATTGTTTGCCCTGGACTTTATTCAGAGGGTAAAATATCTAATAAGGTTAAATACAAAATCACACACACTTCAGAGTTTGTAAAAAGGTTGGATAACGTCAATCTCCTTCCCTTTTATAAGGATGTGCTGCTCTGTGTTGTTCTTTCTCATAATTCCAAAAAAGTAAAAAAAAAAAAAAAACAATTTATTGGACTGTTTCCAAGTTTGAAGACGAGTTCCCATCCAGGAAGCTTTTTCAATTCAAAATGTCAGAATTAGAAAATTGAACCGGATGAACGGCTCTGGCCCTTAAGAATGGAGAGTCGTTTGGGTTCTTTGTTAGCCTGCAGTACCTCATACTGGTCTATGCCTCAATGTTCCAGTAAAATACTGTGCTTGTTGCCTAAAAAAAATCTGTAGTTAGATATATTTTTGCTAGACCCTTTTGATGTCATGGAAAACTGGAGCAGATTAGAGGGAGATTTATAAGAACGATTTTGTGTATTTCATTGTTGAAGGTAAACAAACAGCTTTAAAAATGATCCCACAAAAAAACCTGAACCCAGTTCTAATTGAGTTGTTGGCCATCTGTAAACACGTAGCCCAGCTTCAGTACCCGTTTTGTGTGTTTTCCTTTCCATCTGGCAGGCTCTTTGTGTGCCAGACTGGCCTTTCCATACACCTGACTCCCATGCATGCTTGCATGAGCTTTCAGTCTGAGCTGAGCAGCCGTTAGCATAGCAGCAGAGATTCTCTGTGACAGATGCCGTTTAATTTGTACGCTTCCTCTCAGCGAATCGGCTTTGACCGTTTTGATGAATGAAAGGTGGATTGCAGTGGAGTAGATTTGACTGTCGCAGCCCGTTTCCTACAGCCGGTGATTTATGTGTTTTCTATGATTTAATTTCTCCCAGTAAGAGTCAAAGAGGCATGACGGCTGCCCTGGAATAAGGCCTTTTAATTTCATCGCCACCATTGCATTTATGTCAACACTGTGTTCCTTTAGTGGTCACCAAGAAGCTGAATTGAGAAAAAACATGAATAATTGTTCTAATAAGTGTATAACTATAGTTTATTAGGAATAAAGTCATTTCCTGATTTATGGCATTATGAGAGAAGCAGTCTCTAATAAACATCTTTATGCTCGACCGTCTCACTGGGTCTGTTAAGATTTCAAAGAGACATTTATATTGGAAAGCTTCCCTCAATAACCTTTGTCTTTTCTGCTCCTTTGTGGTAAAGAGGAGACGTACATCTGATGTCTCTATTAGCATTGACTCATACCGCTATGCAGGCAGGCTTTGGGTTTTATCTTTGACAAATTTAAAACAAACCTCGGCTGTTTCTTAGCTTGTCTTTGAAAGTAGCTGTTTAATTTAAGGTTTCAGTTGTAAAACTTCAGAGCTGAAAAGATTTTTTTTTTTTCCCTTTTACGGAGTAAAGACTGAGTAATCCATCTGTATTTTATGTTTTCAGGATGTAGTGAACTCACATGCAGGCCTGGCCTTTCTAAAAGAAGCGCCAGACTTCCACTCGCGATATATCACCACGGTATGTGACCAAAAAGCCTCTGACACGCAGACTGATCAGGGGTTTTTCTCTTTTTGTGTTCATTTAAGGAGATAACTACATTGATTGATTTTTTAATTAATTTTTTTCCAGGTAATTCAGAGGATATTTTACAATGTGAACCGGTCATGGACTGGAAAAATAAGCTGCTCTGAACTCAGGAAAAGTAATTTTCTTCAGGTAAATGCTACTTTTTTTTTTCTTTTTGTTTGTTTCTTTTTCTAAAGTCCTGACTAAAGTTATTCTTAACCCCTTCAACTTTTTTTTTTTTTACACATTTGGTCTCTTTACAACCTTAGACTAGTATTTTGTGTATTGTAATCGACCAACAAAAAGCACTGTATGATTGTGAAGCTATGTGGCATTATTTCAATTGAGCGTTTTTGTATTATTTAATTGTTTGGGGGGGGATTAAAAACTTAAGTGTGGCATACAGTTATATTGATCCCATCTGAGATGTTTTCAAGTATAACTTCACAGTTTTTTTGCATTCAGACACTAGAATCTGAAGTTCAGCCATATTGAACGAGTTTCCATCTCCAGTATTTCTCCTAAGCTCCATCCAGCTCCCATTTGAAAGAAAAGGTCTTCCCCTAACATGATACCACCATCATGGCTCTTAGTGGGGAGGGTTTCTATTGGTCTATTACCAAGAATGACAGTTAAAAAAAAGATTGATTTGGTTTTATTGAAACAAATAATTTTCCATATAGAAACATTAGCGTTATGAATAAGAATTGTTTTACTCTTATTCATTTATGATATTAGGATTTCTTTAATAATTATTTAGAAAAGCACTTTACTTTGATTTAAATGTCACATGAGAAGACAGCTCCTCCATCATTTATTTTTGCTCCTGTGCGACAGAATGTGGCGTTGCTGGAGCAGGAGGAAGATGTGAACCAGCTGACAGAATTCTTCTCCTATGAGCATTTTTATGTGATCTACTGCAAGTTCTGGGAGCTGGACACAGATCATGACCTCTACATCGACCAGAGAGACCTGATGCGGCACAATGACCAAGGTGCGTAACCGGAGATCAGCGACCAGCAGGCCATCAATCAGTTTATTTACCTAAAATTACAATCTTTCCACTAAGGGCGTTATTGTTTCTCCAGATGCTAAATGTACCAATAAGAAGGCTTATTTGGATCGTTTTTGCTCCTGATGAGCACCCCATAAAATAGATGAATCTCCCCTCGTTTTATACCACATATTTCCATCTTATGGTTCGAGTGGGAAAAGACACATGATCAATAAGACAGCAGCATATATAGTCCTCCTCAATGACGCCATGTCTGGAACAGTTTCCAACACCGTGCGGTCACAGGGATGACCAACATGAGTTATTGCGCCGTCTCAAAAACTAAATTGGATAGAAAGAGAATGGGTTGCATGTGTTTAGTTGAAGTACGGAAACAGAGAGCTCAGTTGTAAGAAGCTACTCTGCTTTATTTTTGCAGCCATTTCTCAGAAAATGATTGAAAGGATCTTCTCAGGAACAGTTACAAGGTGAAGAATCATTTTCTTCAGTAGAAGATGGAATTTGAATCAACGCTACAGGTATTTATCATCTCTTTGTCTATGCAATCAGAGACAGGCGGGTGTTTAAGGAGGGAAGGCTAAGTTACTCGGACTTTGTTTGGTTCCTCATCTCTGAGGAGGACAAGAAGACCGACACCAGGTATCTTGACTTTAGGCTGCACTGATTGTGGTGTCTTTGTTTTCCTCAGCTGTTTGTTTAACTCTCCTTGTCCAGCATAGAGTACTGGTTCCGCTGTATGGACCTAGATGGGGACGGGGTGCTCAGCATGTATGAGCTGGAGTACTTCTATGAGGATCAATGTCAGAAACTGGAGGCCATGGCTATCGAACCCCTTCCATTCGAGGACTGCCTCTGCCAAATGCTGGACCTCGTCAAACCTGAGGTGGAAGGTCGGTGCTGTTTCCCATTTATCCACATAGCGCCCAGTCAGGCTGATCCCACTGTGTCCCCGGCGATCATTGATCATGGGGTGAGGGGAACAGTTACAGATGATAGGACTAACTGGGCTGCCTGGGGCCAGCTGCTGGTGTCATCCACACTGTCAACAAACTCCCTCCAACACTTAACTCTTCCACTGTGTGATTTAGAAGTTCCCAGTGGGTTATGCATGTTTGGTATTGATGGCCGCTGCTGGAATGTGATCCAAGTTCAGCCTGATGGTGTGCTGCATGAGTAGAGCTGTATGATATTACATGAAATCTGATATGGAACAACCTCTTTACTCAGATGTTTTTCAGAGTAGTAACTAGGCAGAGAAACCTAAAGTATTTTAACAGATTGTGGGAGCAGTTAAAATCCATCATGTTGGTAATTTCATAAATTTGTACCTCTGCCAAGATGTGGAACCGGAAAGCTTCTCGCTGCTCTGGAGCTGAGATCAAAAAACACCTGAATCTGTTTGTCTAGTTTTCTCCAAATTAACTAACTGATAAAACACAGATCTACTGACTGTTGTGAATAAATATCTAAATTTCCAGTTGTGGATAGTTAAAAAAAAAAAAAAAAAAAAAAAAATCAGGTTAAGTCTTTGAAGAGGGAAATTAACTATAAATCTATTTGTATTTAATAATTCAACATTGATTACATATAATATACACAAATATGGATACATGTGTATACATCGGCTGATGCCATGTTGTTTTCAGTTATTGCATGAACAAGCATTCTCATGTGCAGTTTTGATTAAATTTAATGGAAATACCACAAAACTTTGCATTTTTTAAATTAGCAGAATATATCTACATAGTTTTGCTCACATTTGTAATGGAAATGCAGTTGTTGATTGGTTGATTTGAATTATTAAAGCATTAGGAGGAAAGAAATTAGGAGGAAAAAAAATCTAAATTATGCATTCTCAGTAATCCAAACAGCTTTAAAGGGGTCATAGAATGATTATATAGGGTGTTTGATGCTGGTCCTTAAGGTCGCTGAATCGGGTGTGTAACATTGGTTGGGCTGAAAATGCCATTTTCAGGCTTGCTGAAATGGCAAATATACAAGCCTGGTTAAAAGCCCTAGAATGAAACGACAGGTTTTCTTCCTTTTTTGGTATACTCGTGAATATTTAGATGAGCTGTGCCCTGATTGGTTGGTTTACAACGATCGAAGCTGCTGAGCAAAGACGCATCATAGCAACAAGCACTCACTCACTGAAACATCAAATTGTTGATATGGTAGGGTGACCAGACATCCTCTTTTTCCCGGACATGTCCTATTTTTCATACCAACAAAATGTTCGGGGGGAATTTCAAAATTGTCCGGGATTTTTGGCGACTACAGTGCAGCACATAGTCAAAACACACCGGGCACTCGAACCGAGCAGTCACCCCGGGGTGGGGGTCCTCCTTTTCAGAAACCCAGAAACCCAAATCTCACCATAGATATACTAGCATTGCTATCAACAGCTTAGCGACTAAATAATACTAGCTTGCAGTGATGCTGGCCTTACAGTCAGAACAGCCCCTCGTTTCAGTAAAATAAGTTTAGCAAATCCTTTGAACTGTCCAAGATTCTGAAAGCTGTCTTCGGTAAAATGCTCAGAGCAAATTAACAGCTGAGCATCAAATTTTGCAGGGATCCTCTGATAAACAAAAATAATCCATGCCTGTCGAGTCTTCGTTCGTTGCGAAGACTGAAAATGTTCCCCTTTCTCCGTCCAGCCTGGAGCACTGCATTTACGCCCGTGGTTCCAGCTCATTTTCGATAGAGAAACTGCCTGCTTTGTAATTGTTGTAGAAGTAAAACAAACTGTAGCTAAACAGCTAAACTGGTGTCTTACATCTACCTCTATGCATGTTTTTGGGCCAGTGAACCAGTGGGCTGGTCTGTATGTCAATTTCGGGGCGTGACAAAAGTACAGGTCATAACCAAATAAGGCACCATCCCCGAGTTGACATCAAATCGGTGCTTCGTTTAGATTCGCCCATTTTATGGTGGAAGTTTATAATTGTAAGATTTGCAGAGAAAGGAGGTGTTGATGGGCTTTAAACGTCTCTGTACGTCCATTTCACCCACTGAACTATCGTTATTCATCTATGACAATGGAAACTTGGTCAGAGGATAGGACACTCAGTGAAATACTTTGAAAATCAAAATTGTAAGCTAAGAGTGTTATTGGAGGACAGGACAAGACATTTAAAAAAAATTTAGATTTTGATGACAAAAATTCAGGTCAATGTCATAAACAATCACTTGCCCTAATATAAAAAAAAAAGAAAAGTGCTTCATAACAAGTTCAGGAAAAACAGAGTGAAAGAAACACCTTTTTGTTAGAAAATATGCTGATACATGCACTTACATTTTTTTTTTTACTTTTTTTCTTAGCTAATTAACTTCAAATAGGTTTAACCTCTTTGCTTAGCCTTTTACCTTTCTAAGTTTTTAACATTTTTTCCCCAACTTGATTTACAATAGTTAATGTTTCATCCATGGGCTTATTCCATTTGTCAACGCCAAAAGGACCTTTGCTACTATGTAGTAATATATTTGTTAAATGGTTGGATATAAAACTAGCACTTCTACTCCTCTCTGCAGATGGGGAGACTCCATTAGTGAGGGATAAAAAACAATAACGTTCCCCATTAAGGGTTAAATGGGCACCAATTGCTTACCCATTACTTTCTGGACACTCTGGTTCCTTTATATTTAAAGATGGATGTTTATGTTTTATTTTTCACGTCTTGTCGCTGTAAATGAGGCAGAGCAGCTTGTCAGTGTGCTAGGACAAAGCTAACATTTTTATTCTTAGTTTTTATGAGTCATTGATGATTTATTTGTGTTCTGTGTAGTTAATCATGCAGACAATACTTTAAAATGTGTTCCTGATAGTCCTTTCCTTTTTAAACTGTTGATAGGTAAGATCACTCTGCGGGATCTGAAGAAGTGCAAGCTGGCCCATATCTTCTATGACACTTTCTTCAACATTGAGAAGTACCTGGACCACGAGCAGCGGGACCCTTTCTCTGTCATTAGGGTGCGTAAGATGTGCTAAAAGGAAGTGTTCATCTCCACCACGAAGCGCTCAGCATAACTAGTCCTGTTTGGCTCTCTGGTTTTAAAGGAGGCCGAGACAGACGGCCAGGAGGTGTCGGACTGGGAGAAATACGCGGCGGACGAGTACGACATCCTGGTGGCGGAGGACGCAGCTAATGATCACTGCAATGATGTGTAAGAGTGACACCACAAGCAGCGTCAGTGAATGGAAGCAAACCTATTAAATTATTGACAAAACTACAACTTTAAGTTGTTGGGAGTCTTTCAGAACAGTTTATTTCACTATTATTATTTTCTGTCCCATGTTTGATGGCGATTCATTTGTTTTGAATTTTTTCCATTAATCTGGTTTGGTTGCACTTATTTAGCTTTAAATCAAGTTTAAGTCTTTATTACTCATCCTTTACCGTATATTTACTGACTAAATGTAATTGAAGTGATATTAATGGAATTGAAATTGCTTCTCTTTTAGAACTATACAGATTAATATGCACAATATAGACTGTGAAAGATGAGACTAGACAGTGTTCAGAGTCCCTTTATTGGGGGTCGTATTTGGCTGTTACTGCCTGTCAGGGTGAACATGATGGTCAGCGTGATGCAGCAGCAGATGAGCCCCTCTGAGAGTGAATCAGTGATAAACCAGGCTGTTGACAGGCATGTTGTGTGGCGCTTTTAGGAACACCACCGACCTCTAGAGACAGGCAGCTCCCCAGAGCAGGTAAGACACTCAGGGTTACATCAGGGATAATAGTTTTCCTCTTCTTCCCCCGCTTTCTCTCTGGGAAACTCATCCTAAACCCTTCTGTCCTCTCCCTCCACCAAATGTTCACACATTCATAACAGAATGTAGTGGGGGGGGGGGGTTTATCCACCACAGTGTCCTGTTTATGCAACCCTGTCAGACCTGGGTGTTTGTTTCTGAACCAGACGGCTTTCATCTTCCAATTTTTATGTGAGAAAAACAAGAAAGCTCTCCTCCACATCTGTCCCGGCCTCTGTGTGGCGATCCTGTGTCCTTTCCAGTCACATCTGCTTGCTAAAAGATGCACTTCAGTGTAACAGAGGAAAAATGTCTCCTTGCTTTCTTGCCAAGAAGACTGACTTCACTCACTCCTGCTCTTCTTTGAAGCCTTTATTAAATCAACTCTGTTTGTTGAATCAAAGAATGAAAACTGTGATCTCTCACAGATCTCTGGTCAGTTCAGTAATGCTTTCCTGCAACATTTTTCTGCAGGGTTTTATTTTTTATTTAACTCCTGGCAAGAAAGCAAACCTGTTTCCCACCTAACTTCATAGCATGGACATTCAGAGGCACGTTTACCCCGGGTTGGCACAAACTGATATAAAGAAACAAGGGCTTGTAATTTCATTAAAGGTGTTGTTTTACTATTTCTTTGAATTAAGGTAAGGATGGAAACCACAGATCATATTAAGAAGTGACATCTAAATATGTACACCACTTGAAATTTTTTCTCATTTTGTCACATAAGAATAAAAAAGTACTTCATCTGGAATTTATTAGATAGGCCAGCATAAGATCCACACGGTTGAAAGTGAAAGAGAAATGAGAATTTTGTGACATTTTTATTCAGCTCATTTTACTTTAATACAGCTACATAAAATCAGCTTCAACCAGCTGCCTTTAGAGGCAACCAAATTAGCTAACAAAGTCAGAGGAACTACCCAGTAAGGCTAAGAGAGTATCCATGTTAGCTCTGGAGGAGCTACAGAGGCCGACGGCTCAGGTAAGGGAATCTGCTGAAAGGATACTTTTAGGTGTTTACTTCAGAACCAGGCCCCAATACAGAAAATAAACTGTAAGGAGTTTTATTTTTCATGCACCATGTAGAAGATGCAGGAGTGCTCCTGCCATATTGCTCATGAAGATTCTCAGTCATCCAGGTCTTAGTCATTCCATAAAAGTTTAAAAACAATCCACTGGACTTCGTTTGCAAGGTTTGAAGACGTTTCGCTTCCCCTCCAGGAAGCTTTCTCAATTCAAATGTCCCTGTCAGATTAGTCATCCTGTCAGATTAGACAAAAACTTTCTGACCTACAGTGAGGAAAACAAGTATTTGAACACCCTGCTATTTGGCAAGTTCTCCCACTTAGAAATCATGGAGGGGTCTTAAATCGTCATGATAGGTGCATCTCCACTGTGAGAGACATTATCTAAAAAAAAAAAAAAAAATTCAGAAATCACAATGTATAATTTTTTTTAATTATTTATTCATGATACATTCAAATAAGTATTTGAACACCTGTCTATCAGCTAGAATTCTGACCCTCAAAGACCTGTTATTCTGCCTTCGAAATGTCCACCTCCACTCCATTTATTGTCCTAAATTAGAGGCACCTGTTTGTTTTACATGAAAAAATGGCATGACTTCAAATCATGACGGCAAATCCAGCTGATCTGTGATTGGTAGGACTCTAGTATTGAGCTGGAGCTTCCTGCACAGAAGAATGAGGAAGGGTTTCAGTTTTTACATGGTACAGACAAAACTGCATCACTGTCCTTCTACTTTATAATAATGAGCTACTATGTTTAGGTCTTGTTCGTGGTTTTGATGTGAAAAGGTTCAAGGGGTGAAAATGTTTACCTGGTTCCAAACATCTCACTTGTTCTTTTCTTGTTCTTGGTCTGTTCTTCTAACCAGAACCATTTTTTTAAAAACAGACCAGTGTTCATTAAAATCACCTCAGTTCCCTGCAAAGAATCTCTATAAGAATTATTAGAACCCCATCCTGTATTATTAGTAATCCCCGCCTCTTATCTGTGTTTAGGTATGATAATCCTCTGAGCCCTCTGGGGCAGCACATCTCCAGTGAGCTGGGTCTGACAAAGAAGCACTTCTTTGAGATCCCCACTCCCCACTGCAACCTGGACATGGAGGAATACGAATATGAAGACGACTTTGAATGAATCCTGGAGCTGTCAGGCTTCACTGAAAAGCCCACTTATCACTTTTCCTCTTCCATATACAGTCAACTTGTACAGTTTTCATTAAAAAAGAAAAAAAAAGATCAACAGATGCAAAACTAAAGGAGTAACTGTAAAAACCAGACGCCTTATATTTTCAGTCATACTTTTTTTAAATCATTGTTATTATTACCGGAGATGACTTAATAATGTTGGAAGCTGTAACCGGGTTCTTTTCTTCCACACCTTCCCTCGTCACATTTATACGCTTTTTCTCCAGGTTATCTTCAGCATAACGGATCATTCAGGGAGTATAAACGTTGGTGTTTGTAATTATGGCCACAGGTGCCAAAAGGCATTCGTTCTACACCAGAGCTCCATGAATAGTTCACAGAAAAAAGGCCTTATTGATTAAATTCAAAGAGGATGTTTATTGGCTAATGTTACATTCCAGTAATCATATCAAAGGGGTTTTTCTGTCCTAGTCTAAGCCCTCTGCTCAAACCAAGCATACCATTCAGATGCCCCCCCACCCCACCCTCATACTGTACATGTCTGCCTTCATTAGGACTATAATGTTTGTCAGAGTTGGAATTATAAATTATTTGAAATGAATTTATAGAGCACTGTACATATTTATTATAATTTTGCCGTGTTGTAAATGATGTGGAGTTTTAGGCATTTTTCTATGGTTCAGAGTACTTCATGTGAATGTGCTTTTGCAGGAAATAAAGGAACATTTGGAGTTTTTTGGAATGAAAAAATAAAGCTCTGGTTATAAAGCTAAAGGTAAGAAACTGTGCTGTTTTTTTTTATATACATATATATATTAGTTTCATCTAATACAAACATGAGATTCTCAGAAAATTAGGAAGTGATTTTATTTTTTTTCCATATTGCCGTGTCCTTAACATTAAGGTAAAAGATCAGATGCCAAAAACAGTATTTTCTACAAGAGGATGAAGTGGATGGAAGAAGGGAACTGAGAAATATTTAGGAAAAAAAACAGCACAAAGGGAATACAATGCAGATATTAGACTTAAAAAGAAAAAAAATTCTTCTCAAAGACAAATATTTCAAACATTTTACCTACGTTCTAATGGAAAGACACAATTTAGACATTTAAAAGTTTGTTCTTCTCCAGATGGTAAAATGCATTCAGTGGTATTAAAAGTGCGCGTATAGGAAGGTCCACCACCAAAGCAAAAGTTAGATCATGTTTGGTTTTATTCAACCTATTTATTTTAATTACAAATATAAAATAATCAAGTCACAATGTCCAATTTAACTTGTAAAAAAAACCCATCAAATATAAAAGGATAAATTAGTGTCATTGAACCTGGGGATTCATTTTACGGTACAGCACTTTAAAAAAAAAAAAACACAAAAAAAAGATACCATATATGAACATATAAAGTCACGTAGACATAACCAAACCCTGATAGCTGTTTAAGAGATCATTTCAGGCTAAATCAACCAAAAACCCAGTAAGGACCCTGGTAAAGATGGGACCATATTTCAGAGACGGTTCAGACTGACTTTATGAACTTTAGGGAAAAATAAAGCTTATATCTACACTGATGCAGCTCTCTTTGGTCTCTGGACAGTTTAATTTATCCACATATTTCTTTAGATGGCAGCAGCTTCACGTTTTACTGCAAATTTACATGATACATGTTTACAGGCTTGTGTTTCTAAATATCTTGTAGAATTATATGAGCTGTGAATGTACTCTTAACCCTGATAACACAAACCCTGGCATGATTTTTGAGTCTTTAAATCATCCTAAAAGGTCATTTAAGACATAATTAACTATTATAATTGATTCTTGAGTTTACATTTTCCTCAGCCGGTAACCCAAGACTAAAATGATTCCTAAAATTCAACTAAAAAGGTCATGCTGGGGTGGAAAATCTAATACCAGGACATTTATAATATTAATAAAAAAAAAAAATTCTTAAAAATGCATCTTAGAAAATAAAAGTCAGAAACTGAAATGTTTTTCTTTTTTTTTTATATATATATACTGATCCAAACCTGGAAATGATGCTAGAAGAAGTCAAACACTAAGAACCCTATATCTATTTAGAGTAATTAGAGTTAATTTGGCTCTTCTTCATCTACCAGCTTATAAACATTAGACATCAAGTAGTGCTGGAAGAAAAAAAGGTGCTTTGGGGTGCGAGAAGTCCTACTTGGTTTGGGCCTTTTTTTATCAAGTTAGAGCTTAAAACACTGGTGGTTCAGATCTGATCCAGAGCCGATGAAAGCCTTGTCCAGACAGGAGAGACGATCCACTTCGGTTCCTGTTTCTCAAAGCTCGACGTCCACGCTGCCATCGTCTGACTCGCTGAAAACGGCTGAAGCTATGTTGTGGCTTTTCCTAGGAAGCTCTGGAGGAACGTGGACGGGATCCATGTTGCCCACGATCATCTGAGAACTGAGGTCACTTGGTTAAAATTAAGAGCAAGAAAATGTAGCTTTATGAATAGTCTTCATCAAAACAGTTCTTACCTTTGGCCGATACTTGGTTTGTTAACCTTACTAACAGGATCAGTTGGACGAACTTGACTTGGGGACTTGTAGCCTAAAAGAAAAACACTTTGTACACACTGAAAACTTCCTGAATTTTTCAGACTCGGCCTTTTTAAGTCCTGTATCATTTTGAAATCTAAAAACCCTAAAGCTCAGAATGAAACTAACACAGAGGAGGTAAAGGATACAACTATGAGAAGGATGAAGGACTTGAGCATTGAAACAGAAAGAAAGCTGCAAAGTTAAGACAAATGGAAAGAAAGATGTAAAAAAAAAAATGACTGAGGAAAAATTTACGTTAAAATAAGGAAAGAAATGGACACTAGAATGGAAACGAAAGGAAGGAAGGAAGGAAGGAAGGAAGGAAGGAAGGAAGGAAGGAAGGAAGGAAGGAAGGAAGGAAGGAAGGAAGGAAGGAAGGAAGGAAGGAAGGAAGGAAGGAAGGAAGGAAGGAAGGAAGGAAGGAATTACTATAGGGTATATTATTATAGGATACAGCAGACATAAGAAAGGAATGACCATAAATGGAAAACGAGTTGAAGGAAAAAAGGATGAAAGGAACGAAAGGCACCACTAGATCGACTCAGTGTTTTGCAATCTTCAAAGAAAAAGGATCCCTGTGTGTAATGCCACCACTCCACAGGACTGCCTGGCTACAATGTTTCAGGAGGATATTATATTTCTTGTACCATGCATGTTAATTCTTCATTCCAATACTAAATTTGATCCCTTGGATTATAATTTCACTGCCATTGATATAACAGCTAACATGAACTCTTGGTGGCTAAGTTGCTAAAGCTCCCGTATCATCATTGTAATTTTATCGTGCAGTTTAGAAAAGAAAGGAAGGATGCAAGAAAGGATAGTAGCACGAAACAAAGGAGAGATTAATGACACAAGGAAGGATGCAAGGGTTAAAGGAAAAGAAACGACAAAAAAGAAATGAAGGCAAGGCCACACAATGTGTGAGGGTTTTTTTTTTTTAGACAAGACAAACCTTCTTCCCATAAAAACATGTGTTTTGATTCTGACAACTTTCCATTATTGTAAAAGGAAACAAACGCTGCCCAAGCAGAACAGGGCTGATTACCAGGCAATAAGGGCTGTATGATGAACTGTTCTCTCTTCGCAAAGATAAAAATAAAGTGCCGACTGAGTGAAATCCATCGATCTCCGTTTATTTAACTGTGGTGAATAGTTGAATACTTTTTTCCCACTACACATACCTTCCAATTTCTGTTTGGAGATGGGAGAGCGACTGTGGTAGGGCCTCCTGTCGGAGCTTACATACGACACGGCATCCTCCGCTTCTGCCACAGCCAATAAAGAAGCACGATAATAGATAAGTGGCTGCCAGCGATCCTCCCTGAGGTCAATTATGTGCTCTGCTGTGTGCTTTTGCAGGTAGGAGAGCCTGCAAATACAGGGAAAAAAAACAAAGTGTGAGAAATGTCAAAGTTCGTATCCCTCTGTCTTCCCCGTTTCTACACTCACACTGTCTTCTTGTCTGGTTTGAGCAGCTTGTTGGAGAACTCGCTGAGGATAGTCAGGTAGGAGAGGTACGGAGGTGTAGCGTTGTCTGGAGTCTGGTTGAACTCTTGGAACACAAACTCGATGCCGTGTCTGAACAGATCCACAAATAAACTCCAGCTACTTAGATCTGATCAGACACAAACCCTGAACCGCTGGAGATCCGTCCCTCACCTGTGGATCATGACGAGACACTCACGGAACTTGACAAGGTCTCCGAATGTGAGGGCGAAGCGCCTGGCCAGCTCCTTGATGCAGGTGAAGGTCTGCACTCCAGAGTGAGCTCTGCCGCCGCTTTCCTGTTCCCGCTTCAGCTGCATAAACAGCTGCAGAGAGCAGAGAAAAAAACACATCAGCAGCTCCAACTACGGAAGGAAAGGCTGATTTATTTTCTCTTTTTAACAAAAATTAGCTTTACCTGCTGCAAACAAAGCACGAGAGTACGAGCGCTCTCTATTTTATCAATTTGTCTGGTCCTGTAGATGGTTTCCTTAATGATATCTCCAAAGTCGCTGTAAAGCTGGAAAGAAAATGAATGAGATGATGAAAATGTCTAAAGTTAAATGTAAAAAATACTTAGAAATGAAATAAAAAAATAAAAAGATTTCTATGCTTTATAGATTTAAAGGAGAAAGCAAAATACCTGTTGTCAGAAGTAGTGCCTTTTAGCAGATATTCTATTTTTTCATAGAAACATGCAGGGATATTTAAATTAAAGGTTTTTTTATTTAATTTTATACAGGATTGTTAGACGACGCGCTGCATTCGTGTGTCCTGGCCTGTACAGATATTTTACTTCATTTATATTCTCCTACGGGTAAGATATGTTTCCATTCACACAGAATCTTTCTCAATCAACTGCAGATATTCCTGCGTCCAAGTTTGCACACAACTTACAGAAGTATTTTAAAAAAGATGCAAAAGCTGCTGCTGCAATTGGGTTTCAGATTTGGAAAAATTGCTTTGCATGCGGTGAATGTTAACATTTGCATATCCTCCATCTATTAATGTGGGCGGTTTGGTCATTAGAATATGATCTGCAAAATGACGAAGGACACACAGAAAAAATGTTTGCTGTCTTTAAAGATCTGCTCTGCACGTATAAAAACACCTGTTGGAAGATTTACTTATTAGGTCCTACGAGTCACAACAACATTTAATTTCCCTATTGGGTAGATAAAGAATTTTTGAATAAAACTGAAAACAGACAGTTTTTGGCAAAACCTAAAAAAGTGAAAGCTCTTTAAAGCAGCTTTAATAATACATTTAGTACAGGATAACCTATGGTTGCATTTCCAGAGTAAAGTTAAGACTAACTGTAGTGGCGTCACCTGTGCAGAAAATACGGACCTTAAATGTCGTCATTAATGGGAGATAATCGAATATCAATGCAAACAAAATTTTGAATAAATAAGCATTTTTTATTTATAATTAACTAACATTTTGCTTTTTGTCAAACAATCCTGTTGGGTCTGAGACTAGGATCAATGCGTGCTAGATGCAGCTCATGCCCACTGTTGGTTCCACTCCTGGTCTGTTAATCGTCCATAGAAGCCCTGGAGAACTTGCTAAAGCGTACGACATCAAGAAATCAATAACTACACAAACATCTGGTGGATGTTGTTTCAGCAACAGATCACAAATCAGTAAGAAATTAGATTTTATATTAATCCTCATGTTTATTCCAGTCTTTAAAAATAACAGATCCCCATTCCTTTTTTCTCTATTTGGAGCAGGGGTACCAATCATTTCTTTCTTTTGCATTTCCTTCCAAAGGTTTCCTTATAACTTTAATTAAAAGCTGATGTGCAATAAATACTTCAGCAATAATAGTTTTTGATCTACTTCAATGTTTTATCCATCTGCTGAGGAATCAAATGTGTCTGTGCCTGTATGGCAGACATATGAGGGGTAGTGGAGGAACCCTTTAGTGGGATTTGATTTGACGACATCCAGCTTGGCTTTTTATCACAAATATAATGTGGCATTTGACAGACAAATGTTAGTTAACACACAATGCGATTTATATTGAACACGATTAAATCAGTTTCATAAGAGTTTAGGGCCTACAAATGGACTTTTACCTCAAGCTAAAAAAATAAATAACTAAAACTAAACTTATTATGCCTTTGTGTCATAAACTGCACTCTTTTTTACCTATGGAGCAAAGAAAGCAAATCTAACAGGTTGCTTATTTGATTGATTTTTACTTTGAACCCAAAAATTCTCTTCCTATCTCTGTAACATCAGTTAAAGCTGAAGTCTGTAAGTTTTTAAAAATCATTTTTTGTCATATTGGCTAAAACTGTCCCTATGCCCAGACAGCAGTACATGTGATATGTAACCTGTGAAAAAAACTGCTTCAATTGGTCCCGCATACTGCCTGTATTTCAATCTGGAAAGAATAATTCGGGACGAGTCAAAACAACCAATCACAGCCAGAGGAGCGTCTGCCCCCCCAGCAAAGATACTGCAACATGGCTCTACATCTTATTTTGGCATTTTTTTAACCAATTAGATGAGCCTTTGAATGATATATTACCTACTGTAAATTAAGTTGGAAAAAAGTCAAGAAAAAAAAAGGTAAAAAGCTCATTGAAAAGTTAAAAAGTAAAGTTAAAAAGTTAATAAACGTAGTTAACAATTATATTTAGGTTTACAAACTACAAGATGTAAGTGCCAGTATCAGCATTAATGCCCTTAAAGTTATGTTCTACCAAAAAAAATGTGTTTCTTTCACACAGTCTTTTTCATGAATTTCTTATAGAAGCACTTTTGTTATTTTTTTTAATATATTCGGGCAAGTTGGTGTTTCTTGTTACTAAGTTGACATTTATCCATATTTATCCATATTTTTTTAATGTTACAAAGGTAATACATTTTGATTTTCAAAGTATTTCGCCGACTGCTCTATAAAGGGTTAACTGGAGTATAGAGACTGTAAAACATGCCTTTAGCTGACAGAGCAACCCAATTAGAGCAGTAATTATACCAAACCTGTAAAAAAAAAAATAGATATTTTGCATTTGATATAAAACAAATTCTTCTGTCAATATGCCCTGTCCAGAATTCCTCAAATGTAAAAGTTTTACTTTCACCTGGTTTAATTTCGTCAAAAGTCCTCTTTAAGGGACCTTTTGCTCTCCAATTATTAATCAATTAATTAAAATCAATCAATTTGCTAGATAATCGTTAGTTGCAGCCCTACAATCTAGCTCAGGCTGATGTTATTGTTTGGAAATACAACAAAATGTTCCATTATTTAGGTCATAAATTACCAATAAATCACCTTTTTCTATATAACTTTTTTAGACTTTTGTCTCCATATCAACCTCTGTTATTGCAGCTGCAATGCCTGTTGATGTGCATTCGACACACATCAGGAATCAAAAGTTAGAACACTTTGTCTCCATCTAGTGGTCAAACTAAAAACAACATCCAATTCTACAGCCTTGAGCTACTTTTGAAATATTGGGTGACTGGAACGAATGGAGACAACATTTATGTAGTAACTCAAATTTAAATCTACCTAAAGAGAGGTCAGTAACACAAATAAAATCATCTAGTATATATACTGACACTGAAACAATTGTTGAATTAAGCTCATGATCAGTTATGACAAATGTCATCAGTCTATGTCAAATCAAAATGTTTATCAACTGTATGCGCTATATTTACTTAATAATCTGTTTAAATTAATTTCAGGTGTTACTTTATTATTTCTAAATCAATATAAGGTAAATAGAAAGCCTTAGAAAGTCTGTCATAAATACCCACAACAGAACCCTGTAGTAACTTATAACAATTATTTTGCAATGTTTATAAAAATCCTCCTGCAAAGTTTTTAAAATGTTTATTTTAAAAAACAAAACTACATAAAATCCTCAAAACTCAGTCAGAGAAAAATGCTATAATCTCAGACTATAATGGATATGGAAATACCAAACATGCAAAATGATCATTATTCAATTACATTTCATTATACATTGATATTGAATTTTCCACCATTAGGCAGTAAAGGTGAAAAGCTGAGCAAAACAGACGTTTTAAACCTCTTTTAAGAAATATTCTTTTAGCATCTGACCTTAAACTTCAGGTGGTTATATAATTTTGACTGGAAACTCAGCAATTATTATTTATTACAAACCAGACTCTCACTAAAGATACATGCAAATCATCTAAAACAAATTGCAAAAACCTAACAGAGTTTAAAGTTTAAACAAGTTTAATAATTTACTCTACATAAAGTAAATCAATCAAAACTGCTTTTAAATAGTTTACAGTTCCGTTAAAATAAGAAATAATATAAAGTGCAAATAGTTTGTTGCGGAAATACCATGAGTTCGATCAAATAAATATTCTTCAAAATAATAAGTTTAAAAAGGAAAAGTAGATAAAATGCTGACATAATATTCAGTTATATATATTGACAGATTTTAGGACATAATATTTGTAATAGTCCCTATAAATTTAAAAAACTAATTAAATATGACCAATATAGGTTATTAGAGACCATTGTTTTGTTTTTGTGGTTGATAGTTTTTAATTTTAATTAGTATTATTATGAATGAAGTCTCTACAACAGAACTTCATCCTAACAGAGCTGCATTGATTTAAAAAAGATAATCTCTATAAATAAAAACTTGAATGGGCGCAATCTCTAACATCGAACCTATTGGAGCACTATAAACAATCTGAATCAGTATCAGTATTTTTTTTTCTCAAAATAAGTGCACTGTTCTTGAATTGAGGAGATAAGTGAGACACTTTTCCAATGGAACAAGAAAATGTACATTTGAAAGAAGAAAAAAAAAATTGCATTGTCTTATACCAAGAGCATATTACCTAATTATCTTATTTACCTGCTTGAATTAAGAGTAAATAATGTTAAATTGAGATTTTTTTACTTTTTTTACTACATGAGGAATGAACCCTCACCTTCATGTAGTGCGGGTAGAGCTCGGCGGCCGCGCTCATCTCCAGCACTCCATGGACAATCAGCTTGCAGTAGGCGGCGAGCAGATTTCTTCTTCTGTGGAGATCCTCCAGTCTCTCCACTTCAGAGCTTTCACTGACTGCGAGGGTGTGGTAGAAGCGTGTGATTAGATGTGAAACGGTCAAGAATAAAAAGAAAAAAACTTAAATATATGGGAATAAACCCAAAAGAGGGATTAATCACACACAATCATATAAGGGAGAGGAAAAGAACGAGGCTTAAACTGGGAGGGGGAGTTTGAGTCTTGGGACAATGGCTTTAGCAGGTGGAAATCAAAGATAACATCAGACTGTAGTTATGGTTGTGACACCATGTGGCTTCAATCTTTCACTAGGCTAATAAAATGGGCTCTGAGGCGAGCCAGAGTTAATGGAATTTTCTCACGGAAAGAGATTGGCCTGATTTTTTGATGTACCTCGGTGCTCCTGCCCTCTGAGTAATCTCTGATCCTGGAGTTAATAGAAAACACTGTCCATAGAACAAAATCATTACCAGGAATATCCAATAAAGCAAAAGCTTTTTATTACATGTTCAAAAACCAATAATCCTGGATTACATTTGCTTGAACATTTAAGAGATTCCCACCAGGACAGTTATTGGCTTTTCTGGACTTCGCCATATTTGGATGCAATATGTCTGTAGAAGCAGAAGCTCTAATAAAGTGAATGAAACATTTTAGATATGCTAAATGAATTCAGAAGTTTACCTCCAGGACTCCGCAAAGGGATCCCCGGCATATTTTCTTTTACTTTTCTCCACATGCCACTCTTGTTTTGCTCATTAGGAACTGAAGAGAAGCACACATCGCCGTCATCGGTCTACACGCTGCTTCACTTTGCATAACAAAGTCGAGCGCACTTCCGTACAAATTAGTCAATCCTGTTTCAGTCTGAAGGTATTAACAGGGTCTCCTTTGTAATTGGGGGTCAATTGTCAGGTCAGGTTGGAAATCAGGAGACGTTTACAGTGGGCAGGCAGCTTTGCTGCGACTTATTAAGCCAAACGCGTGGCTGTGCATTTAATAATCTGCATGGTTTCTGAGCACAGAAAACTGCAGCTCCAACCGGAGCGGAGGTGGAGTAACAGTGCCATCTACTGTGAAACACCGCAGGGATGAAGATTTCAATGCTACTCCGAGTGCAGAGCTTTGCACTCCTTTGCAGGCCTTAAAAAAATAACTATAAACTGTAAAAATTTCTAAATTATCTATAAGTTCCTTCATTTTATACATTTACTTCAGACATTTACACACAGATTAAATAGAAAAAAACACAATGGAAGAAATTTACAGCATTTATTTCCACTGATTCTCATGATTGCAGCTTAACTAATAACAATTACAAACGAAGTTTCTCAAAAATCTGATTAATAATTACCGCTAATTAAAAAAAAAAAAAAAGAAATTTGATAGTATGCTCCACATGATCATGGAGCCTGCTGACTTGAATGATGTCCAGCATACGTCACTGACGCCCTCCAGCAAGCATTGGAGCAACAAATGGTCAGAACTAATGAATCTGGCTCTGCACAGAGTCCTTATCCTGGAGCGGTCATGGAAAATTGAGTGGAAGGAAAACCTTATAGAAAAAGGCATAAAAGAAACAATAATCATAGTCTTTAGAGCATTCATGATCTGCCATTCTGGACTTTTTGGTGCTGTTTTCATTTTGCTTTCTCAGTTATGCTTTATTTTAAGCTGTGTTGTTGTCAAGATTTCTTTTCAGCATTGTTGGTATAATTTATGCCTTGGTTTCATTTTACTTAGTCATTCTTTTTTTATCTTTAGGTCATGCTTTCCATGGCCTCAGTTTTCTCCAGTTCCTTCTCTTATCCTCTAGTTTTCACCTTGGTTATTCCTTATTTTGTATACATAAGTTTTATTCCCCTTTAGCCTTATTTAAGTTCTCTTCTATTTACAGTTAAACCCTGTTTTCCCTGGTTACTCTTTGTTGTCCCCTAGTGCTCCTTCCCTTTCCAGTTAGCTCCTCTCCTAGCTGTTTCTACCCACACCTGCACCCAATTAACTAAATACTTAAATCTTTGTTCTGTCTCCCATATATATTCCTCCTCTATTCCTCAGAGCTGGATTCTCTTCATTTTTATGTATGTTCCTCCCATGTCTCCTTGTTTTTGGTTCCTAAGTTCCCTGCCTGTTCAGTCTGGATCTATGCTTCTGCTGCCACCAACTTCATCATTAAACCTACAAGAACTCCTCTCTGCTTCCGTCTCTGCAATTGGGTCCTTTACGAACATCCACCAAACCTGACATAGCCCATTTAAGAGTCTGAAGGAGATTGTCAGGATGTAAAATAAAAAGGAAAACAGCTGGAATCAGAACTTTATGTCTTAGTTGTAGCAGGATATGGGAATTAAATGTCTAAGTCATTTTTTGGAACAAGGAAAAATGTCAAACACATCTTCCGTTGTCGAAGGATCAAGGCAGAGAAGTGGTGATAGTAAAGTTTGCATTTTGTATGGAAATAGTCCCAGAATCTGAAGAAATTAAGAATGCAGTTTCCACATTGCTGCACTGTGTTTTATCAACCATTAAGTTAGAGTGGACGTCTACTGGGACCATCTAGAATTAGGACCGATCATCTGACCACACCGTCTGAGGTTTGATGGCCATGATTTGACTGGGATCGATTTAACAGTAATCTTTCCTGACCTAAACCCCATAGAGAATCTATGCTAAGCAACTGAAGACCACTATTACAGCACTATTACAGGCCAAAGCGATGCAGTGATTCATGCAGAAGCCCCAAGAGAATAAACTGTTCGACACATGGAGATGCTGTTCATTAGGCTGACATCTCTGGATAAAAAAAAAATTTAATTTTTTGATCATTCTAAGAACCATCAACTAATTTAGTAATCGATTAAGCGTTAATTTAAGTATAGAGACTCTAAAACACACCTTTAGTTGAAAGAGCATCCCATTCAAAGCAGTTATTATTGTAAAAAAAATGTAAGAAAATATATAAACTCTTTTTTGTGTTAATATTATCTATCCAGAAGTCCTCAAAGGACATGGTTTTAGCCTCACTTGGTTTAAATGCTGTGTAAACTCTCCTTGCCATCTGATTTTTTTTAGATCGATTTATCAAAAGAATCAACAGATTAATCAGCAACATAGTTGTTAGTTGCAGCCCTGCCGTTTTTTTACCAGCCTCGCATATAATTTCCTCAGAATATTTATTCTCTTTTAGTTTAAAAGCCAAAATTGTCAAAAATATATGAATTTGTCAAATAAATGAATAAATCACATCTCTCACAAGTATAAAATAAACACTTAAGAAGCATTTTAAATTTCCTAGTTTATAGCAGATTGAGGTAAGTTGATTGTGATGTTTATTTTAACAGAGGATTTAGTTTTGTCACTTTTATCCTTTTCCATTTTAGACTATTTTTCTTCTTTTGCTGATACTAATACAGGATAACGTTTTTTCTCTATGCTCAAATAAAGACTGAAATATATATTTAAAAAAACACAAAGTGAAAACATAAATCAAACAATATTTCTCCCTGAAATAAGAAATCTGTATAAACTTTTTTCTTCCATGTGAGCTGAACATCTGCTTTTTATGGAAAACATCAAAATCGATCAATCAAAATGCAAACATGCAGACGATGTTGCAACATTCTGAGCACAGCATTTGTTTTCCATTTCCTAATCCTACCCCCCGTCTCCCCCTACCCCTCTCAGCTGGTCTTTGCTCACCTTTGCTGTCTGCTATTAATATTAATGCAAATATGTTGAGATCATACCCCTGCTTTGGTTGTCACAGTCTGGGACGACAAACACATGCAGGGATACGAAGGTGAGGAGCGCCCTCTGCAGTTTGGGACTGGGCGTGTAGAGCAGCGGGCCGAAGCAGGTGGGATCCCACACCTGCAGCTGGTACGAGTGAGCCATCAGAACATCGCACACCCCCAGAAAAGCCTAGAAGGGAAGGAGAGGTTAGAGAAAATGAAAGGGAAAAAAAAAAGATGGGAAAAATGTTCATCCTTCCTGCCGTACCTGAGTCCTCACGCCGTGGTCACAGTGGGAGAGACACCGATGGCTCCTCTCACAAAACAGTCGCAGCTGGAGCCTCTGGGCCACAGCCTTCTCCTGAAGAAAGGCAAAACATGTTGCATCTCCAAATGTGTAAATACTAGCAATGAAAGAAAAGATTTCCAGACGGGAAAGAATAATAACAACATCCATCCATCCATCCAGCCATTTTCTGACACGCTTTATCCCAAGCGGGGTGGCGAGGGGTCCTGGTGCCTATCTCCAGCTGTCTACAGGTAAGAGGCGGGGTACACCCTGGACAGCTTTCCAGTCCATTGCAGAATGAAAATAACATTAAGTTTTCTTTTCACAACGGATTGTTGAAACACGTTCATCCTGGATATTAATCTCCTAAAAATTGTCTGTTTTCCTCCAATTTACACAAAATTATTAATAAAGACAAAAAAAGGTACAGAAAATGAGTTTGTATCTCAAACCTCATTCCTTGTGTAGTTTTAGGCATCATAGTGAAGAGATATATGATCAGGAAAATATGAATATTTAATCTAAGCTGTAAATTTGGACTTTGCTTTTAACAGCAGTCCATCTAAATTAATATATCATCCTTACTAAAAATCACCTCTATAACATGAGGTATGCTTAGAGAAGGTAAACCTGAGTCTTATTAAACCTAAGAACACCTAACCAGCTGCTGGGGCTGGTGGCGGCAGCATCATGCTGTGGGACTATTTGGCTCTCGTTGGTGCTGGTGGACTCAATGGTGGACAGAATACTGAAGGTCGATATCCTCCATACACTAAAACTAAGTCTATTTTTTTAAATAAGTGTACGTCAACTTGATTTGAGTCAAAAAGTACAACGACGCACCGATGGATTCAGATTTTTGTAAAAAAAACATATCCATAATCTTATTTGAAGTGCAGCACATATAATTATTTTATTTTAAGTAACAAAATACTCTTTTAAAGACAAATAATGTGTCTTACCAGCTCCAATAAACATCAAATAAACTTATTTCAAAAACGTTTCTCTTTCTTTAAGATTAATTTGTTTTTTCTAGATGGTTTAGTCTGAGAAACTTGGCTGTAACAGAAAGTAAAATTAAACACAATTAATCTTGTATTTGGAATATGTAAAAAAGGCTAAAATGAACCTCAATCCTACTGGATGTGTATGAAGTGGATCATGAAAACCACAGATTTAAATAAACTCCACTTATTCTGCTCAGTACAGCCGTCAAACATCCAGCTAGAACATTGTTACTGTAGTATTCTTATGTCATCGAAGACTCTAGCACCTGTAAAAATAATCTGGGCTATATAAAATGATTATATCAAGTTTGGATTGCAGAAAGTTTAAGCTTTAGATCTGTTTTATTTGCTTTACCACCTGTTTTAATCTTCTTTTTATGCTTCTATTTTACTCATTAATTTATCTGAGAGAACAGGTCAAATGCATGACTTAAGTTGGACTGTTTAACGTGGATGTATTTTCCAATCCTTAATCGATTATCATCATATTAGATCCTATAAATTCATTCATTTTTTTGTATGCATTTTCCAGTCGACATTTGCAGCTCACAGATTTAAATACACTACTTTACTTACTTTAATTTGCTGTTTAATGTTTATATAATACTAGTGTCAACCATTCAGGAAAAGGCTAAAAAAAATTGTAATAAAGGCAATTCAATTTGAGATCAGATTGGATGGAAAAGAATTGATTCTACATCATGAGAATTACAATTAAATATATTTTTGAAATTTGAATCCCGAGGTTTAAACTTAACCTGGACTTGAAGTCAATCTTATGAGTACATGATGCAGATGGTCAAGACGCAGATAATCGTATTGCAGATGATCAAGATGCAGATGCAACCCACCTTGCAAGTTAAAGTTTCACTGCTTGTGCAGAGGGACCACAGCATAGCGAATGACATGCACTGCAGTGCCTCCTCCAACAGCTGTAAAAACAATATACAATCAGAGAAAAAGACAAGAGAATGTAGACCAGAGAAAGCTTCTGATTTAGTGACAGAACCTCGGGTGGCGCTCCTCCCTGGCTGCTGTTGTCCATCAACAGAGGAGACAGCAGATCAAACACGCTCCATCGACCGAGGTCATGACAGCTAGCACAACACAGACAGAAACAGATTGGAGCGGGAAACGCATGAGGAAGCCAGTTTGGCTAAACTGTTGACTTCCTGCTCAACCTCATTAGTCACATCTTACTTGTGGAAAGCTTTGAGTTTCTTCAGCGTTGTTACGATTTGTCTGATCTTCTCTTCTTCAGCAGAAAAACAGCCTCCCTACAAAAAGCGAATAAACCAAAAACTGTTTTCTTATGTAGGATTCTGTTTTTTTTGTGTGTTGTTAATATAACAAAATGGAAGATCGGAGGTCTGTAGAGTTACACAGATTCTGTAATTCACACCAAAAACAATGTCAATGTCATTTCAAAATATCTTAACGATGTCAGACAGATTTTTTTACAACCAATATTCTATTTGCTGCTTTTTTATGTCGGCCGAATAAATTAGTAGATGAAGAAACCAACAACTGAAAACTGATCCTTAAAAAATTATTTGATGTCATCAATAATTATTTTGTATGCAATCAGTTTTTTTAATAAAATAAGGGATTCAACTAAATATAAATTTCTGCTCTAAGAAGGTTGTAATTTTAAATCATTGAATGGCTTTTGTTATGGACTCATAATCTAGAATGGTTATTCTAATTTGACATATTCTTAAATTATCATATGGAAAATCAAACAAAAAAAATATTTAAGAAGAAACCTAAAAATATTTTATTTTTAGAACTTTATCTTTTAGAAGGTTTGATTTTTACCTTTTAGGAAATGGAATAATAAATAAACCCCTGAAACTCATAGGGTTTTATGTATTAGGTTTTTTTTCTTAAAAACCTAATACGACTTGGTAAAAAAAAAAGGAATTTTTTAATTTATCACTTATAAATATAAAACCAGCAAAATACATGGAGGACATACCAAAGTGACTGAAAACAGAGGACTACAGAAGTATTTCCAAAAAACACCTATCTGGCTATATGAAGCAAGGAATGACACCCACCCTGAGTGATTCCCCCAGCAACCCTGTCAGTTCATCCACCCAGCGCTGGACCAGAGCGTCCTGTGAAGCTCTGGCTGCAGAGGACCAGGCTGCTCCATCGCCACACAGACTGAGGTAAGTCCGAGCCGCTGCTTCAAGAACCGCAGGACTCGAGTGGAGATCCAAAACAGCTGCCATCTCTGTCATCAGGCTAGAAACTAACTGCACAGTTGGCATCACATGAAATGGTTAACTATCTTTCATTTACATTCACATTTTCATAGATTATATATATTTTCCATCACTTTTGTGCTCCAAATATTTTAATAATAAACAAAAAAAGATCTAAGATCAACTAAATTTCACATCGCTAAACATGTTCACCAATATAGTTAATTGTAATTTCTGAATTATTAAAAAGGTAAATTGAAAACTTATTTTTCTCTTCATTATAATAACATAATCAAAAATATAAATTAAACTTCTAATTCAACTTTTTCCTAGCGATAGCTTTTCAAACATAAAAAATACTTTTTTTTTGTATCATTTAATATGAGCCCTAATGGCTGCAATGCCGACCTGTGAGTTTTTAGCCTCCTGACTATCTGAGTGGAAGTACTGAGGAATCCGCATCAGGGAAGCCACAGCATCACCAGTGCATGAAAACTGCAAAAAACAGAAAAGTTATTCATATTCAAATTATTATTACCACTTAAAAATAGACAGATTTTTTTTTTTTTTTTTTTTTTATCTACAGCTGTAGCTGGTATAAATACCTTGGAAAGTAACTTAGGGAGCACAGAAAACAGATGTTCAGTGAGGTTTAAACAGTCGTCAGCTTGAATTTTCTTCTCCCTGCTGCTCATGACCTGCAGCAAACAAAGTCTGCTCTGGGATTTAAAGGTTTACGTCGTACTAGATTAAATGTGAGATATCATTCAGCTTTCTTTCATTATTCAACCCCATCATACACTGACCTTCTTGGTCCCGCTCCTCCCTACCAGAGCTGGCCCCTCTGCAGCCTGACGTACCGACGCAACCAGGATCTCCACAATCACTGCTTGTTCTGCTGGAGTAAAACCTACAACACAAAAACAGATCATTTGAAATAAAGGAATTGAAACGTAGGGCTTAAATTCATTAGGAAAACCTTTGGATTCAACAATGTAATCAAAATATACTGAAATTATATCAAGTGAAAGAGCAGAGATAATATTCTCTTATATGTTTTGTTGCTGTTTTTTTTTTTGTTTTTTTTATTAAGCGTTTTCAGTTTTAGTTCAATTGCATTTTATTGATTCCTAATCTATCTTAAAGTTTTATTTTAGCTTAGCATATCCTCACTTAAATTAGTTCACCTTTACTTGACTTTTCTTAGATTATTATTGTTTAACTAACCTTATCTTACTTTACATTTATTCAGTCCATTTCAGTCATATTTTAGTTTCATTTAGTTCACTTTATTTTAGTTTAGCCAAATTAATTTAATCTTTAGTTTTCCTTGGTTAAATTTAGCTTACCGTATTTTCACGACTATAAGGTGCACTTAAACGTCTTTTTTTCCCCTCAAAATGTGCGGTGCGCCCTATGGTGCGGTGCGCCTTATGTGTGTTGTAACTGCGACTTTTGAGACCACCTCATTGAGGAGATGAGTGGCTGAATGTAAGGAGACCAGGTGTTTTTTTCCACTCATCACCATCGCTGTTAATATGTAACTCCATGCGTGCCAATCTTACAGCTGATGTGAAAAACATGGGGAAACAAATTAACGCTGTGCTCGCTGTTCAACCGCTGGACATCGGTGTGAACCGGACCCAGCAGGTGCAGCAGAAGCAGCGAGTTTACATGCAAAGTCAATGGTTGACGCGCGTATAGGTGCAGCAAAAGGTCCTGCAGCGCGTTTTGAGCAGCAGGTGCAGCGCGTCGGGAGCGCGCCGCCAACGCGCTGCTGCTGCTCGAGATGGAAAAATTGAAGTTTTGCTGCTGGACGCGCCGCATCAACCAATCAGAGAAGCTGATCTGGGAGCTGACAGCGAGACAGACAGCGCTCTGATGACATATGATATTAACGCAAATGAAACGGGCTGGGGAGATGATGAAAGGCAGGTGTATGTGAGGAGACCAGGTGCTTTTTTCCACGCATCACCATCGCTGCGTGTCCATCTCACAGCCGATGTGAAAAAAAAAGATGAATCAAATGAACGCTGTGCTCGCCGTTATCCCGGGGGTCTGACAAAGGAACTTCAACCGCTCGACATCAGTGTAAAGCGGCCGTTCAAAGTAAGGCTGTGAGCGGCGTGGGAGCGATGGATGACAGACGGAGAGCACAGTTTCAGGATAAGTGGAAGGCAGCGCCGGGCAAGTTACGCCACCGTTTGCGGATGGATTGTAGATGCTTGGACTAACGTGTCTGCTGGCTCTGTTGTTCAAGCTTTCGCAAAAGCCGGCATTATTTCTGAGGAGCCGCGCTGCACGGAAAGTGACTGACAGCGAAGAATGGGAAATTGGCATGTCTGATTTAGCGCAGCTGTTTAATTCAGAAACAGAGGATGATGACTTTGATGGGTTTGATTAATACTTTGTAATAAATACATGAATAAAGCACAAACATACTCAGTTTTGCTCCCGCTCTATTTTTCTACCTGAAAACTTAATTCAACAGCATCCCCGGCGCGTCTCCTCCTCTTCAGCGCGGTGGCTGGCAGGTGTTTTTTCATCTAAATAATCTAAATCTTGCAGCTATATTTGCTGTGATCAGTGGGAATAAAGTAGTTTTAATATGTTTTTAAGTGAGAAAGGCCACCTGAAAACTTAATTGCAGTCAGTTCATCCAGATTATCTATTTCTGTCGGAGGCGCTCAGACCCCCACATACCAGCGGTACACCGACAGTAAATCCCTTCAACAGCAGCCTCACACGGCGGCTGGCAGGTGTTTTTCATCTAAATAATTTACAGTGCAGGCACCAGGATACCGGCAATAAAAGCGAACATATTCCGTCGGCAGGTTTCAGGATTTTAAGTTAATTTAGGAGTAATCACAGCGCTGTGTCATCTGCGATGTGTCTGTCTCATGGCCAGCACGCAGGTTTGATTAATTTGTAATAAATACTAGGGGTGTAAATAATAATCGTTTTGTATCGATGCATCGATCCAAAAGCCGACGATCCGATGCATCGACACGTCCGCAAGATAATCGATTAATGTTTTTTTTTTTTCCTCCGGTCTATTTTTATCCATTTGCTCCTGGGCGTAATTCTTCCTCCCGTGCTGCGGTGGCGCTAAACCTATTTTCCCCTCCTACCGCGCTTCCTGGTTATACTCTTACAGCAGTTTGTTGCAGCAAGCTTCACACAGACATTTTTAAATTATGCTCAGTATTGAAGCGTGGTCTGGGCTACACGCTGTGGGTCTAGATACGGCCGAGGCGATGAGGAAGTGGGGGCGAGTTTAGTCCGACGACGGAGGGACAATGGGGCAAAAAGAGCGGAGATTCAGCTGGAAAAAGGCTCCCAGTGTTCTAGCGCACCTCGCTCTTCTAGCGGGTCAAACTTCACGAGTTGTTTTCCGCAATTTCGGTCATAAAAACAAAACTAGCCGGCCTCCTGTCTGGTGCACTGTTTGCGGTCAGCTACAATCTGGGAGAGGAGCAGCGGAGCGTCTCTCAAGGGGCGGTGACGTCAACACTCTGGAGCCTTCTTCTTCTTCTTTTTTTTAATGGCGATTGGCAAACAACTTATAGCTGCATTACCGCCACCTTCCAGAATGGAGTATGGACCAGACAAACTATTATATTCTCCCTAAAATACCCGTTCTTCTTAGAAAATTAAAAATACCCCCAAAAACTACATCCCCAGATGACCTTTGAAACAATTCCCTTATATGTAGTTTATTTTTATTCCTGTCTAACTCTCTACACAACATCTCTCTTTCCTGAATATATTTATTACATTCTAAAAAAATATGTTGGACAGTTTCTCTGGAGCCGAGGTATTGCATTGAACTCATTACACTGATATTGTGCAGTATTTTTGCAGTATTTTTTGATGCAACTTTTCTACTTCTGTTATTTGCTGTTGTTTCTAAAGAAAATGCATAATGATATTACAGCTTTCATTGATTTATTTCAAACTTGAAACTTTGTTTAGCCTGTAAGGTGTAAAAAAAAAATTAAAATAAATAATAATAAAAAAAAAATTAACCGATTAATCGAATCGAATCGAATCGAATCGTGGTATTCTTAAGTATCGAAAATAATCGAATCGTTGGATCAGGAAATCGATACTGAATCGAATCGCCATGATGGATGTGATTTACACCCCTAATAAATACATGAATTAAGCACAGTCATACTCAGTTTTGGGCCCGCTGTATTTTTAAAATACGCAGTAGAGCTATTTAAAGGTAGTAGAGGACATGTACCTGTATATAAAAAATGCGCCCTATAGTCCGGTGCGCCTTATGTGTGTGTTAAATACAGAAATGGGACACATAACTGAGACTGCGCCTTTTAGTACGGTGCGCCTTATGGTCGTGAAAATACGGTAATAGTTCTTAGCTTAGCCTACTTTAGCTTATCTTCATTTATTTTATTGTTACCTAAACTTACCTCAGTTCTGTTCATTTAAATTCAATAAAACTTACTTTTTCTTATATTTAAGCTTACCTAAGCTATTTAATCTTATTTTTAATCCATCAATTTTAGCTTTTCTTACTTTGATATAGAGGTTTTAATATAAACTTTTTATTTTAGGTTATTTTTTCTTATTTTGACTTATTTAAGCTTATCTCGGTTAAATATAGTTTATTTTCATCCAGTTGTACTGAGCTGGTTTTATTTAACATGCTCATGTGATCTATTGGCTGCATCTTGGCCTTTTCAGTCACTGAAATTTTAACTAGTTTTACTATTATATACAATTTATTTATAAACTATATTAAGTTCTTAACCCCTTTGTATGACTTTTTGTATTTCATGCCAGCATTAATTTTAAAAAGCTGAACAAATTTAATCAATAGCTCTGTGCTTTATGCTGCATTTTTGATCAGTCAGTGAATGCACCATAAATTAGTGGTTTAATGAATTGACAGTTTCTAACACATGGCAAATTATTTCCCTTTATGGCAGAGGCCACAAGATTCTAATACCATCATGTTTCTACTGACTACAGTACATGTTATAATAATAACTACCTATGCAAACTATGAATAATGCGTATTTATATAATAATATTTATATATATATATATACATATTATAATATATAAAATAATAAGTTTAAACTGTAATGATAGCATACATAATTTGTTATGTTATGTTTTTGATGCATAATGCTAGAAAAGCCATGACTTTCATATATTAGCTTTCATATTTTACATTTTACTATTGTCTAACACAGAAACTGCTTCTTTGTTTTTGTTTTTCTCTACATATCATTATTTTCCTACCTGGGCAGCTCTGCAGCAGTGCAGCTGTGAGTGTCGGCCAGTCTTTCAGCAGAGATGCACCGCAGTCCCAAAGGCTGTCCACCAGATACACAACATGCTTGTGGAGCTTTAGGTTTACATAAACAGGCAAAATAAATTAAATCATCCATCAAATATTAAATATAATAATGGTAGATTCTAAAAATCATCCAGTCTGGTTTTCACCTCAGACTCCTGATAAAACTGCAGTAAAGCTTTAAGTATCTGTATTCTTTGTTCCTCTTCATTCCCTTCATCCTGATCATCAGAGGTAGGAGTTACAGCACTGAGAATCCTGAAAAACACGAAGTTTTTTTTTTCCTAAAACACTTCTATTATTCTTTTAGTGGGATTGAGGCGTTTTTTACCTTGAGTAGAGCATCTCCCCTGCAGTGGCAGCAAGAGGACGATGAGAGGCGAAAACAACCTGAAGGAGCTGCTTGTAGTCCTCAGCAGTGAGCACATCATCTGTAGCTCTGAGGAATGAATAGGAGTATAAAGAAAAATAATAAAAAAAAAAAAAAAATTAATCAACATAAAAACAACTCACCTGGAGATTAGCACCAATAGTTTCATCGTCTGCACTGCAACCTCGTTGTCCTTATCCAGCACCATGGAGACCAGACGGTTCTGGGACACAGTGGCAGAAGCTTTCAAGTCTTTTATTAAGAACTATTTGTAAAGGATTTTGTTTTTTTTATAAAAACGATTCAATAAGAATACTAGAATTTTACCACCTTAAACTCTTCACACCTCTTAAAACTTTTTTACATTTGTTTTATGCAGATTTTATGTGACAGACTGATGCAAACTAACGCAGAACTAAGATGTGGAAGGTGGCAGAAATTATTTTTCAATCTATGACCAAAATTTCAAAAGTGTGGCATGGATCTTTATTGGTCTATAAAGGACATAAGTATGTAAAAATGGCTTCTATACCATCTTTCAACAAAGGCTTTCTTCTGCGTAACCTTCAACCCAGATATTAGCTCAATTTGAGATAAATTAAATATATATTTTTAGATCAATATGCAGCACTTAGTGCAAACTGATAATTGATGTCGGCGATCAGATCCGTCAATCCAGCCGACAATGAGTCATGTGACCCAGAGCGCCGGTTTACAGCAGCCTGTGTTTCCCTTAAACACAAAAGCTAATTAAGCTTAAAGTTACTGTAGGCCAACAAACAGGTGTTATATTTCATTGATCAGATGTTTGGTTGTAAATGAAGGAATTAATCTATACACCTGAATGTGGCCCAGAAAAACATGGCCCGCTATCAGATTCCTGAACTGGTTAATTTTGTGACAGCGATTGCTTTCAAGGGAGCTAAACCTGGAAGTTGTAGATCGAGCACCCCTAAATGTTCCAGAGAGTGGTTTAAACCAGTTCAGTAGGAGTTTATGATGAATAGTTTTTGTTGTTAAACAAGCTGAGCTGCCAATCACTGCAGCTCCTCCAAAGTTAACATGGGCTTCTTGGTTTCATTCCATTCGGGACGACATTAAAGATTTATTCCAATCTCTAACAATGTTCTCCTTGCTCACCCTGTAAGTTTTTGGTAGGCTCTTATTTGTTTCTGTTGCAGTTTTGCATGATGTACTTAACAGAGTTCTGCTATCGGTCCAAACCTTATTTTGTTGATTTTCTGCTGTAACTTTGCCTGGTTTAATTTTCTCCAAAAACTTTTCCCTGACCCGTCTGCTGTCTTCTTTGGTCTTCATATCACTATCTGATCATCTGATTACTTATTTAACACTTCTCTAAAACCTTTCTTGTCAGAAAATTTAGATTTCTCTTATTTCATATATTAATTTGTCCTATTTACTCACTATAAAAGTTTTCACTCAGTCTCTTTCACATGCAAGGCCACCCAATTCTCTGCGAGAGGATGTTTGTAGACCAGACACAGCTTCTTCCCATAACAAACCAGATTCTTTCTCAAGGTTTATCAATAACATTACTGTTAACCAAAGTGTCTGTAATTTGTTTTGACTCTGACTACTTTCCATTGTTGTAAGTAAGGGGGATGAACGTTGCTCAGGCAGAACTGGGCAGAATGCAGTGCCATAAGGCCTGTATGATGAACTGTTCTCTCTTTGCAAAAATCTTACGAATCAAATGCCGACTGAGTGAAATCCATTGATCTCCATTTATTTAACTAGGGTGAATAGTTGAATACTTTTTTCCTACTACACTTTCTAGAGAAGTGATTACCTTATGCCGGGAAATATAAGATAAGTTAATAGGTAATTCAGTAATTAAGGAAAATTATTTAGCTCGATAAAGATAAAAATCATAAATCACTCCAACAAACAAAGTAACAAATGGAATTAAAACCTCTAAATCAGTTACAGACGGGTTACAAACATTCACAAGCCATAAGGAAGAGATGAAGGCTTAAACTGGGAGCTTGTTTACCTTAAATCGACTGGTAAATAGATCTAGTTTGGGGAGGAGGACAGGATCACTGAACAGACCCTGCAGAGCTAACACACACTTGAGACGCACATCAGGGACCTGAAAGGTGACGTATAAAGAGTGTCAGCTGGTTTTCAGTATCATACAATCTACTAAGTTTAGGACTTTCCTATGAAAGTTTAAAAACAAAGCAGCTGACCTTATCATGCATCATCCAGCCCATGTATTTGAGGTAACTGTCATTGAGGAATGCAGAACTGTAGAGCTTCATCCACAAGCCTAACTCCTCCATGCAGACAGAGCGGATATCTGGAAGAATGTCCCTGCACAAAAACACAAATATATTTAAAAGAAGAAGAGTACTCTTTATATAAGAAAAGTAGATCGTTCAAAAGAAGAAGAAAAAAGTTACAGCAATGTATGAAGTGTTGTGTACCGATATCTTTTAAGAAAAACTCCTTTGAAGAGGATGTCCATCATGCTCTCAACCTCCGTTTTCTTTTCCTGCAACTTTTGAAGAGCATCAGAGGACACAGGGCAGGCATTAAAGTTTGATTCCTTCACACAAATGAAAAAATAAAGATCACCTACCTCAGAGATCTTCTTCTGTATTCTTTCCAGCTGCTGAGAGCTCTTCTGTCTTGCTGTCTTTGTCCTCTGCACGTCGTACAGCTTCTGACTGTTCTCAACCCCAACACTCAGGCTCAGGGCGACAGTGAGCAGAGAGCTCAGCAACTTCACAGCTTGTGACACACGTCCAGATAAAAAGCCAGAGTCCATGTTATATTTTCTCACTATGATTGAAGCATATGTGTATGGAAAGCCAGATGGACCAAAAACAGCTGTTCTTTTGAGGCTTCGTTTGCATTTAATTCAAACATCCATTCAGTCAGAGCATATTGTTTTTTGAGAAACATGCAGATATGAATTTAGTGTCTGCACAAACAGGGCATAAATGACCCTTTAACATAACAAAGATGATTCAGAGGCACAAAATTTCCCATGTTTTTGGCCCTCTTAGTTTTCCATATCCGTGTTGACACGAATCGCCTCCCTTACCTGCGAGGGTGCAAGTGTGTCTGAATGCCCTCATGAATGAGTTCGACAGCTCGGTGAGCAGCGAGATGAGGCTGCTCATCAGGTAGCTGTCAAAAAGGACGCTGTGCTGACACCGAGCCACCAGCACCGACACAAAGTCACAGAGCTCGGAGTGAAACCAGCGACCAGGCGGTCCGGACTGCGCGAGAGGATAATCCGCACAATCCTGCAGTGGAGAGGGGAACAGAAGCAGCGGATCAGTTACTGAACATTAAGCGTAACTCTACTTAATTATACAAAATTTTTACTTTTTTTTTTTTTTTAAGATTATCATGTGATTATTTTTCCAATTCCTGTAAATAATTTTCAGTCACTGTTTCTATAGCTTTTAACTGTTCTTTCGTTTTAAATATTAGGCTACTCATTGTTTTGTGTTAGTTTCTATTGAGCGTTTTTAACGTGTTTAATCTAAATTCATAAATAGCTTCAGTATTTTTCTCACTTTAAATGTGCAGAATGCTTTAAAAATAAGCATTGATTGATTGATTGACCCATTTGAAGCCTGATGCAGAGCAACAATAAAGTAAATACAGTAAAGATCAAATGTTTATGTAATTTTAAATAGTTATCTGAAACCCCAAAGCCATATTATTTAATAAATGCATTAGGCTGTAATGTTTTTATAAAACATCACATTTTTACATCACAACGAACGTTAAAGTTGTTTTGTATTAAATAAGGTCTAAACATTAACTCAAACCTAAATTATTCTATTAAGGCTCTGAGGCATAAAACTACTAGAGGTAGAAATTTCCACCTTACTACGGCCGACTGAATTTCAAACATGTTTGATTTTTTCCCGACCTTAAGACTCCTGATCAGGAGGTGGATGTGACACCATCCTGGAGAGAAATATCAACTGTGCTGCTGCCATCAACACCTTTGTTTATAGATGTTTGAGCTCGCCCTGCTTTTCAGTGTAGTTCTGTTTCTCTGACTGTGACTGGCTGGACATGGGGGCTGGATCGGAGCTCATCTGCCTGGCTGTGTGTTTCCTGGACGGGGCCGCCTTTTACAGTTACTTTTTGTATCTCTGCTTCTGTCTCCTTGAACCCCAGTCGGCCTCAGCAGATGGCCGCTCACACTGACCCTGGTTCTACTGGAGGTTTCTTCCTGTTTAAAGGGAGTTTTTCCTCTCCACTGTCGCAACAAGCATGCTTAGTGTGAAAAAACACGTACAGTGTATGCACAGACTTAGGGGATAAGACTGCTGGTCCTAAACAGTTAGCACTAGTTTCTAGTTCCCACTCACTCAGTTTGGCCAACAATAGAGAGCCTTTCATGAAAACTGGTTCAAAAGCTTTAAATGACTGGAATATTCTTAAATAATTGCCACTTTCTGCTTTACTCGTTTGGTATTTGGCAAAAGTCTCAGATACGATACATTAGTGAATGATGGAGTCAGTAAGCTTTAAAAATTTGTAGAAAACAGTGAAATGTATTTTGCCTTGTCAGAAAGCTTTCTCTGCACCCCTAAACCTCTGATTGTAGAATCACCTCTGCAGTCTGACAATTTAAGGTCCTGCTTTGGTTTAACAAAAGAGCCTAATATAGGCATCTTTAGGGATATTTTGTCCTTTTTTTTTACATTTCTTTTTGTAAATAACAAAAAAATGTGAATCTTTTTATCTCTTTATTAAAAAAAAAAAAAATCCCTATCTCCCGTTTTCTCTTTCATCTTGTTCACAGACCCTAAAGCTTCCTCTTCCTATGTGTAGCCGATTGCTTCAGCCAATGCAGTAATGACAGCAGAGAATCTATATACATAAAGTTTATTACAAGTTAATAAAAATGCATATCACAGAAGATGCAAAAAGCTTTTGAAGTCCTCAAGATATCAGAAACGATAAATACATAATCTGCTTCAGAAAGAAAGCATGTACTGACTGCATCCATTGGCCAGGTGACTGTCAGGATCCATGGAAAAGCAAGAAAACGCTTGTACTGCAGACCAGCACCCTGAAACACACATGCATCCATATGCATTTAAGCCAGTGCATTAAAACATTCCTGTCTTTACACAATTAATATACCTAGAATAAAAAGGATATACCTCATCCAGTTCCTCGACCATCTTACTCTTCACATCTTTATCCTCTTTATTGTGGCACATCTCTGCTGTCACCACTCCTAGAGAAGATCCAAGAACAACAGGACACACACAAAAAAACTGGTTTATTATGTCAGGATACTGGGTGGAGGATAAAGATGTGCATATTTGTCAGCCTTGCTTGCCTTTGCATCCACAGCACTGGATGAAGAAGCTGATGAGATCTAGTAGAGAGGAGTCTCTGTCCGCTCCGTACGCTTCAATCCAGTCATCTATCACGGCCTACGATGGCGACAAATACCAATAAGAGAATTCACCTATCTAATGCATATTCTTGTTTGAACCTTGATCTAATATTTAATTTTATTTAGAAAGAACTTTGGGTCCTAGATGTATTTCCTGTTAATCATTTCACACCAATCAGACTTTTTCGTGTTTAGTTCTGTAAGCAAATATTTGCCCTCAGATATCTTTCAGTGTTGCTTTTCTGTCATGCATTAATGATTCAGAGCATCAAACTAATGGTGAATAAATAAAGGTTTTCAAAGGATAATTGCAATTATTAAAGAAAAAAAAACTTTCTAAACCAACCTGAACCAAGATAAAAATGTAATTACCCCCCTTGGCTAAGCTAGAAAGGGCTAAAAAAGCTATTTCTATTTGTTTGGGATTCCAGCAAATCACAGCAGGAGTTATTATCAACCAATGGAGATAAGATGAAACAGCAGTGGTCCTTCAAAAGAGCACATCATAACATTTAAAGCACCGCAGACTTTACTTGAGTCAGTTCAGTGTCCTTGATGCATTAAGAGAGAAAAAAAATGATAAAAATACAAAAAACATTATTTTTCTTAGAAGAATAACATCACGCATGTGTTTAGACATGTTGGTCTTGGGCTGCATTGGGGATTTAGAACCTGGGTTACTTCAGATTATGAACAGGGAAACAGTAAATAAGGATTTTGGAGGGCCTTGTCAAGGTCTAGACTTGATAGATGGAGCGACAAAATCTTCAATATTTTAGGCTCCAATCTGGCTAAATTAAAGTAGTTCTTCAAAGAAAAAAAAGATCCAAAATCCCCCCAAGATTATGTAAATGATTTTTTTTCCAGTTACCAGAAATTCTCGATGGCAGGAATGACTATTAGGGCCAATTACTTTTTACAAACATCCATATTGATTTGAAATCAATCTCATTTCAGTGCAATAAAAAGACGTTTCTAGCCCACTTGCGTGATTACTTTCTAACTTTTCATATGTAATAAAGGCAACATAAGTACCAGCTTAGGGTGTCTACCTGTATGGTATGCCAATTAGCTGTCTTACCTCTATGGCACTCTTGCCCATGGTGATGACTTCAAACAGGGTGACCGCCTCCACCTGCTCCTCTTTGGCATGTTTATCCTGTGCCTTTCTAACCCTGCTGCCGCTTGCTCTGGCTCTTTTGTGTTTGACATTCTCCGAGACACTGCACGCTCTTTTTCTTCTTCTCTGCATAATTAGATTTTCATATTATCAGCAAGAAAAATGAATTTCTTGAAAGTCATAAAGCCTTTTAGTTCACAAACTTACAGAGGAATACCTTCAGAATTTGATGATTTTAAGAAATTATGAAAATGCATAAAAATATCCAGATATTTACAAATATTATTTTAAAATGAGAGTGCAAGCATTTAATTTACCAGTTAAACCTCATTACATTTTAAAATCTCTTTATCTTGACCTCGTTTTGCCAATATCTGGTCTTTTGGACAGCTCCGGTTGCATAAGGAGCTCATCCTGTTTGCTCCAAGGATTTTAACAACATTCAAATTATTCTACTCCTTAAAGGAGTAAAATATTAAAACATGTTGGGATTCAATTAAAACCTGTTGGAAAATCTGGAGTGCGATTGTGGTTTGGTTTTTCTCATGTGGACTCTTTGTTCCAGAAAAGCAAAACATTAGCTTGCCATGTTAACACCACTCCTGTCTCTGTTCCACCAAAAGTGAAAGTCTTGTACATAACCAAGAAATGGAAAAAAAAAAAAGGGATGCTAAATATATACATAAATCTTAAAACAATTTATTTATGACTACATAAGAAAATACCAGGTTGACTTTGTGCACATAATAAAAAACAAGGAGCAGAGGACACAGCCCTGAGGGGTGCCGGCGTTACACCATATTCTGTGCCCCCATACATGTACTTTACCACAGATTTTTTTAGGTATGAGTTTTGTGTCATTGGGCATAGGTAATAATCCTGTGACATAAGTGTTAGTAGATACAGCAGGCTGGTGAGGAGAATCCGCAATAGAGCTTGAGATAGGTCACAGAATACAGTGTAACACAATTAGGGAAAACACCAAACTGTGTTTGATCAACAAGTTCAAGTCTAGGGCTGTACACAATAGTGAAACAAAGTGGTAGACTAGTGGTTAGAGCACAGAGCTTATAATGGGTCTCTGAGCAAGACCTTTAACCCCTGATTGCTCCCTGAGCGCCGCACGATGGCAGCCCACTGCTTCCCAAGGGGATGGGTTAAATGCAGAGGTAAATTTCTCCTGTGTGAGATCAATAAAGTTCAATTATTATGTTTGTCATTTCGAACTAAACTTCAGTAAAATCTGAATAGTGTAGCTTTAATTTGATACCCCTAAAAATAAAAACAACCAGTTGGTCTTAATAGCATCCTAAAGTCAGCTGGTGAGTAATTTATCTAATGAATTATGATAGATAGTGGTAACATGTTACAGGCTACAAATGACCTGCAGTGCAGTTATAGCTAAAGGTGTTTCATCAAAATATTTAGGAGATTAATCCAAATGCATGTAAAATGTTTCAGTTTTGTTTTTTTCTTTTTTTAATTGGGGCACATTTTTCGAAATCTTTAAAACACTTTCTTTTGATCTACAACAAAAATCCCAATAAAAGTCATTTAAATCTGTAGTTGGAATGTGGCAATTATAAAAAGTTCAATTGCCAAGATCCTTTTTGTGAGGAAATGTTTCTATAAAAGCATCTCTACACTTTCCACTTTTAATTGTTTTACTTTCTGCAGGAAAACAGCATGCAGAGAATGAGTAAAAGTAACCCACCACACTCTTCCGTCTGTTCTCATTCCCTGACTCATCTTCAGAGTGACTGACAGCTCCAGCTGAGGTAGTCCCAACCTGAGAGTTTGCACTAAAAAGACAGAAAACATCACATTTGATTACAGAAGGACATTTTAATCCACATTAAACAAAACGCCTTCCACTGTTTTAGTAAACATATCATTACTTTCTATCTGAAGACCTGGATGCAGCTGCAGCAGAAGATTCTGGTATCATTTCCTCCTTAGATCTTCACATCAGGTTCACTATATATGACATCATCCTTGGGAGCTTTGACTGGATGCTTGTGCAAACAACAACACACGTTAGTAAACCATAACAACAGCTCTAACTTTGTCTCTCTCCTAAAACATCTGATCTGGTCTCATTTGCCTAACAAAAATATAAACATCCCACATGCGACAAATGGGAAAACATAATTAATATTAGATTTGCTTTTCATAAAAAACATGTGATCCGTGAATTTTAAAGAAATATCTGCAGCTTTTTTACCCGACAAAACCTGCCGCCGCATATACAGTGACCTACTGGTCACTCTGAAACCTTCAAAACCTACTTACCTCCATTACACAGATTCATAGGTTTATTTATTCGTTATTTTTGTTTCGGTTTTTATCTGCAGACTGTCATTTCAAAGGTTTCCTCTCATTTCCTCCGTCGTCGCCCCAAACTCTCACAATCAAGGTATCGGACAGCCTAACCGAAGCTGATTGGCTAGAAACTGGAATGGATAGATCTGATTGGCTGATCTGGAACGTCGCTATGTTTTTACGTCCCTCCTCTTGCGGCTGTGGCAGGCAGCAGAGCAGACTGGTTCGGTCTTTCCTCTGTCCGTTTGGGTTTCCTTGTCTCTGTCTGCCACATCTGGCGGCACATCTACAAGAAAACACACCGAAAACTATTGGTGATATAGCCTGTATAACCATTACTGTTTCTACTAATACAGTAACACGATTTAAATAATTAAATACTCGATTCAAATTAATTTCCTAATTGTATACCTTACCAACACTAGGGGGCGCCATTGGTCTAATTTTGAACGTTTTTTTTTTTTTGAAGAACTACTTTAATTCAGCCAGATTGGAGTATTTCCAAGCTTGAACTATTTAGAAATTATTAAGTGGGGAGTGGTGGATAAGTGGTCTAGTGATTCCTGAGGTTGTGAGTTTGAAACCTGATCCCACAGACTGCCACTCTGGGTCTCTGAGCAAGACCCTTAACCCCACACTGCTCCCCAAGGGGATGAGTTAAATGCAGAGGTAAATTTATCCTATGTGAGATCAATAAAGTTAAATTTTTATTATTAAATGGAAATGATTGTGGTGATCATAACAAATTTATAGCAGTAAATAAAAAAAAAAACTGACCAGAGACAGACATAAGATACAAATAGAGATTATCACTCAATCGTGTGTAAAAGTTCACTTAGTAAGTGTATGAACTGTGTTGTTTAATACATTCCAGTACACCAAATCCCTTATATGTAATGTATCCAGTCTGTCTATTGTTTCCCTGTCATAACAGAGCAAACACCACATCAAATTTTATTTGACTTTATTTTTTTTTTCACATTATTAAAAAGAAAATGACAATTGTATTTACAGTAGTGCAAGGAGGGTTTCATACGGTGGCTGAGAAGTGCAAAACACATTTACAATTCAAAAACACATTAACAAATAAAAAACAAAATAACATTTGAAGAAACAAAATTATATTTTGTGAAACAAATGTATTTTTGAAAAAAAAGTTTAAATTTTAAAAAACAAATTTACATTTTAGCAAACAAATTTACATTAACAAATAAACAAAATAACATTTGAAGAAACAAAATTATATTTTATGAAACTAATGTATTTTTGAAAAAAAAAGTTTAAATTTTTAAAAACACATTTACAATTCAAAAACACATTAACAAATAAAAAACAAAATAACATTTGAAGAAACAAAATTATATTTTATGAAACAATTTATTTTTGAAAAAAAAAGTTAAAATTTTTAAAAACACATTTACATTTAAGGGAACAAATTCACATTTTAAATAAGTTAGATTTTAGGTGAGAGAAAGTTTCATTTTAGAGAAAAAAAATACATTATAGGGAAACAAATTTACATCTAAAAAAAAATTGACCGTTCGGAAACACTTGTACAAGTGCAAAGACAAAACTGCAAGTGGCAAAACACATTTACATAGCCAAAAACAAATTAACAGAAGACGGCTACACGGAAAGGGAATGTCCCAGTGGCCGGATGTGACGTCACGATTACCCTGACTTGTAGTACAAACAGCTCAATCTGTAGTCCTCCTGCTTCACGTGAAAAGTCAGCGGCGATTTTAGATGGAAAGAATTGCACTGAAGCTGTTTTTCTTAAGTTTACGCTAACCGAACAATGTTTTCAGCCAATTTACACCATTTTGTTCTTCGTGCTGACGGTCTCTGGAACTTTTACGGGACACGGACCAGGTGGCAGGACCAAGCAGCAGGGCCGGGCGTATTACTGGCCGGAGCCACTATTATTTTGTCATGTAGTTTTTTAATAACTTTTCTTTGGTATTTAATTATTTTTTGGGTATTTTTCCTGCCGTTTTTCGGCAAATGCCTTATTTATAGTACTTCTAACTAGATTGTTTTATTTATATATATATATATATATATATATATATATATATATATATATATATATATATATATATATATATATATATGCTATATATTGTGATGTTATCGCTTAATAACCTGTATTAAAATGTATTCTTTATGGGTTTCTTTTTATTGTGATGTTATTGCTTAATAAACTGCATTAAAACTTTTATAATGTCACATTTACTTGATGGAACGGAGTACTTTATCTGCGAATAAGTGGCCTCGGCCGGCAGCAGCCACCATCGGCCTCTCCGATGGCAAGCTCTGCCGGCAGCGGCCACCATCGGCCTCTCCGATGGCAGGCTCTGCCGGCAGCGGGCAACAACGGCCACTCCGATGGCAGGCTCTGCCGCAGCCACTGCCACGAATTGAGCTCGGCCCTGCGGCTTGGTCCTGCCACCTTGTACCGTGTCCCGTAAAAGTTCCAGAGACCGTCCGCACGAAGAACAAAATGGTGTGAATTGGCTGAAAACATTGTTCGGTTAGCATAAACTTAAGAAAAACAGCTTCAGTGCAATTCTTTCCATCTAAAATCGCCGCTGACTTTTCACGTGAAGCAGGAGGACTACAGATTGAGCTGTTTGTACTACAAGTCAGGGTAATCGTGACGTCACATCCGGCCACTGGGACATTCCCTTTCCGTGTAGCCGTCTTTTGTTAATTTGTTTTTGGCTATGTAAATGTGTTTTGCCACTTGCAGTTTTGTCTTTGCACTTGTACAAGTGTTTCCGAACGGTCAATTTTTTTTTAGATGTAAATTTGTTTCCCTATAATGTATTTTTTTTCTCTAAAATGAAACTTTCTCTCACCTAAAATCTAACTTATTTAAAATGTGAATTTGTTTCCTAAAATGTAAATGTGTTTTTAAAAATTTAAACTTTTTTTTTTCAAAAATACATTTGTTTCATAAAATATAATTTTGTTTCTTCAAATGTTATTTTGTTTATTTGTTAATGTAAATTTGTTTGCTAAAATGTAAATGTGTTTTTAAAAATGTAAACTTTTTTTTCAAAAATACACTTGTTTCATAAAATATAATTTTGTTTCTTCAAATGTTATTTTGTTTTTTATTTGTTAATGTGTTTTTGAATTGTAAATGTGTTTTGCACTTCTCAGCCACCGTAGTTTCATCACGTTATCATTATTCAGTCCATAACTGACTCAGCATAAGTACGAACAAAAGCCAGCCTGAGAATGACACAAATTGAACTTAATTTGTGAATAAACTAGATAATCCAGTTCATTGATCCTCAAGTTCAATCAAATGGTATAGCACCTTTATAATGTCAAAGACAGTTCAGTTGATTTTGAAGCAGGATCCTTTATGGAGAGGATTTTGGTTCAGGATAAGAACTGAGACACAAAGCTGCAGGCCTGATGAAGGTCCTCCATCAGCTCCTCTGGCAGTGACAGAACCAGCGACGTCAGGCTTTGAGTTATTTCTAATATCCTACAAGAAGGAACACAACATGGCCTCTTAATCAGATTGTCCCTGGATTAATCACTGTTGTCTCAACTCAGCGCTAAGGTTTGCAACTCACCAGCTGATGTAATGAGCTGTCAGCTGAGGCTCATGCCTGCAGCCTTCCTCTACCACCAGAGACTGCTTCATCTGTTTGAAGTTGCTCTCAATGTTCTTCTTTATTTCTGAAAAGGTCTTAATTCCCCTGAAAGAGCTGATGACTTGCTTTAGAAGAGAAACACAACCGAGATATTAAATGATAATCAGAGCAGTTTAAAAGACTGGATAGATGCAGCCAAATGAAAGCAGAGGATAGATTCACCCTTCTTACATATATGACTGAGAGCTGGTGAGCTATGTATTTGTGACTACCCAGGTGTCTGATGTCCTCCTCCAGCTGCTGACTCAGCACCACCAGTTGATTCAGTTTGGCGACATGGAATAAGTATCCTGTGACAGGAAACAGGAAACTGTATGCAAAAAGATTTAAACCACCTAAACTTTTTTTGCATTGTGTGACGTTGTAACCACTTCTTTTAATGTTTTCTATCCACATTTTCTAAATTAAACCAGCACAGAATAGTGCATGATTGCCAAGTAGCTGAAAGAAAAAAAAATGCAAACACAAATTGTAAAAAAAACAATGTGCATTTGTATTTAGCACCCCTGAACTATAAAAGCTCAAGCTCAGTCAGACTGGATAGAGAACATCTGAAAAAACGCAAACTTTCAAGTCCATTTAGCTCCAGATTGTGACAGCTCTATAATGAAAGATCTATGTGTTTTGATCTAAACCAGTTCATTGTGGTTCTTCCTGAATATTCAGGGTTGTTGTCCTGCTGAAAGGTGAATATCTCTACCACTTCAAAGTCTTTGTAGCGTCTCAATGATTATCCTCAAATTGTATTCCCACAGCATCATGCTGCCACCAACATGCTTCACACATGTTGGTTTCTTTCCCTTGGCATGTATCCGCTGTTTGTGTTGGTGTTTCTTAAAAAATAAACAAAATAGTGTATTTTTATGTACGTTTACCAATACAAAATGTTAACAAAATTAAGGAGAGTGAATAATATATATTAAAAACAACCCAAAATAATAAAGATTGTGATTTTTCTTTTTTGCTCTAAGACGTTATCAACCTAATTATCTGTTATTACTATAACAGGTTATAGTAATAACAGATGTTGCTATAGAGTGTAAAAATAAAAGCAAGCACTTTGTTTTAGTTTGCAAGGAATGACGTAAGCTTTCTCAGCTGGATTCCTCACCATCCATCAGGGGCCGGTCCAGCATGTCAACAGGACTGCCTTGAATAAGGAAGACCTCTACCCGAGGAAACATGGCTGACAGACCCACCATGTCCAGGTAGTCCTGGGGAAACATGTGAGGACTGATTATGAGCCAGGAAAAAAAAGAAAAGAATATAGCACTATATGGTGTAATACCTCTAACTGTGGCATAGGCTTTGGTAGATGTTCAAGGCACTGCAGCATTTGGTCAAGAATATCGGATCCTAACGGAGAAGAAAAAAAACAAAAAAAACATCAAATCAACAGAGTTTAGTGAAGAATCCACCCCAAAAGTTTGTTGGCTTCACACCTTGAGTCTGAAAGGTGTCCGACTCCTCTGGGCTACAGCCTTGTCCTAACTGCTCCTGGAACTGTAAAGTGGATAAGCAAAATAGATACCATATTAGCTCTGATTTTACTGATGGAGGTTTGAGAGATGCCATTTTGAGTTTGCAAAATTTGCAGCTGATGTCCTAGAAACTTTCAGTAGACTTGAAAAGAAAGATCTACAGTCTCGTAGGAGCATATACAGTAAAAAGCAAGACAAAACATGTTCCATCTTTAATATGACATTGATAATTTATTTAAAGAACCTTTATGCAGACTGGGAAACGATTCCGAATAAGAGTTAAATGTGGTTCAACAAAATATTCATGCAATGCAAGGTTAGCTAAAAAAATAAAATAAAAAACAATTTAAAAAATTGCAACCTGCTTTGCAGTTTAGCTCTACAGGATCTACCACAATAAATGTAGCCATGGTGTCACTTCTTACCATTTAATAATCTTGTGGTTTTTTTAGGAGAGGTGTGTGCAAATCTTTTTTCTTTTTACGGTCCTAATGGCTCATTTTTCTGACAGTAGGCTGACAGGAAAGGTGGTACGAGAGAGGGGGAGGGACATGTGGCAGGACTAAGGCCTCTTTACATGGGCCGTGCACACTAACTACTGCTCCACCTGCACGCCCAAGTGTTTGCACTTTTGAGCAGTTTGCTTCTAGACAGCCAGTACAAATGGCCCTGGACCCTGTGATGGCCCCTGTACTAAAGAAATAATACTAAATGTTTCTAATTGTGATATGTGCTGGCATGGAAACCAAATGTGATTAGTCTCTTGGAAAATTTTTATCATTTTATTTGTTTCTTTTGAATATTGACAAAACATGTAAGTTGTACTAAGTGGCGTCCTGACACAACAATAGGCCCGTAAGCAATATTATCTGGGTGGGTCCCATATGAAGTACAACACCCTATGGGGTATAAATAAGGTCTGGTCAATTACTCCAGTCTCAGGTGGATTAAAGAAGAATCCTTCGCACCACTACACCTGCAAAGAGACATCCTAGTCCACAATTGTGTAGGGGGCCTACCAGGTTTCAGTGACGGGGCCCCTAAGCAACTGCAGTCTTACGCCTTTTTATCTGCCAAATATTAGTTGCTCATGGGTGCAAGTGGCTCTTTGGCTCATTTAAATTTTCAGTTAACTATCACTCTGTTTCATTCTTTAGTTTAGTGCCCCCATGCAGAAGAAAAAAAGAAACAAACAAACATCGGCCTCAAATTTCTGGTGTCCTTTGTGCATTAAGAGGTCAGGGGTCAACCTACCTGTTGCATCTGCGCCCTGATGAGGAGGTCCAGTTGCCCACAGAGGCACAGCATCTCCAGCCCCACCTGCTCAGGACTTAGTCGGACAGGCATCAAAGGTCGTCTCACCTGCAGCTCCACTGACCACACCATACATCACCACATCAACACCTTTTTTTGATTATTATTTTATTTATTGTTTATGCAATTCAAAGCTGCACATAGAGGCCAGTCTGGGACGCATGCACCAGGGGGGGTTGATGATGATGATGACAGGAGGGGAGTGGTCAGACAAAGCCTGCACAGAGAACTTCTGACACACAAATTTTTAAATCCTCCCACAGATCATCCTGAAATTAAATAAAATACAGAATCTTACCTTTAAAATCCTCATGATAGATACAAGGCTGACAGATCGGCTCCGTGGTGCTGACTGCCATATCTATCCGGGCTATGATGAAATCTTTACGTCGTCCTGCTGGTAAAAGCCATTAAAAAAACGTCTCATATGAGCAATAGAGGTCTATGAATCTGTTTTGTTTAACGCATTTTCCTCCGGTGGCGTCCACAGCAGGTGGTGCGTTTGCGTGCCAGAGGCCGTGTGGGATAAACGATCGCCGGCTGTTCATGCAGAAACTCGTCTTCTTCTTCTCGCTGATGAAGATGACTGAACACCGAGGCGCAGCGAAACATCATTCATTCCTGAATTTTCCATGTGGTTTTAAATAGACTGAAACAAAACAAAACAACGCTTGGATCCCCCGCATTCAGTGGCTGATTTACTGAACGCCCCTCTAACAGCACAGAGGCTGGGGAGATGCCTCCCTCGATGATGTCATGCTTTGAGGATCAAAGCATCACTTGGTCGGGAGGAAATGTGCATTTTAGGAATATTGACCTTTAAAAACGGTTTATTCGTGTCTGAAATTAAGAGGATCGAAAAAAGAGAACATTTTAGATTTTTATTTCTGGTCATTTTGCAGACTACTGTAAACAAAAACATAAACAACCCAACATTCAGTTTCAACAAAAACTTGCCTATATGTATATGATAAAGTAGCCTAAGAATAATAAAAAAAAATCTTATTTTATGGCCTTCCCAATTCCAATTTCAAACCAGCAGCTGATTTTAAAATCACAATGGAAGTAAAAGTGATGTAAAATCCTTTCACATTCCTGCATAAACATTTTCAGAGAAATGCACTAAATTATACATTTAATGTCATATATATTTATATCATTCATTAGATTTGTGTGTTTTGAATGTAATTCTGCTTGATCGTCTGAAATAGTTATATGTTCATTCACATCAAAGGCGTGGTCTGCAGCTGGAGACTGTATTAAGATATAATCCAGGACAGACTACAGCTGTTAAGTTTCCTTATTTTAAGTCATCTCTTGATCAGAGGACCTCAGAAAATTCTTACCTGTGAGGAGCAGACAGACATCTGCACAGATGAGAGCAAATTTCCTCCACAACCAGGAGGAAGAGCACATAATGGAGGTTGCTTGAGATCCAGTCAATAATTTATTTTTAAGTCTTTGCTATGATTTCTGTATAACCTCTGCTTAAAAAAAAGGCTAACCAGACAGACTTAAAAGGAGCCAAAATGACCAACTTTACTTTTCATATGAAAACAGAATTAGATTTTTTTCCCCAAATAATTTCTTAGACTGAATTTCGTGAAAACACTGCAGTGGAAATCTATACTTCATAACCTGACTATAGCGAAAAACAAACAGAACCAACCAGCAGAAACATTACTGACGAATCGTTATATTCAAAAGACAGTTGACCTGGGCTTAAAGCATTTACTTAGAAATCTTTACATCCGTTTTTGCAGTGATGGGATGAGGATGAAGAGCAGCTAAACTTACGATGAAAAATGAAGACAATTTATCTTCAGTAAATTGTCCAGATAATTTTGAAGTCTTATTGGGTTTTGTTCAGACTATTTCAGGTTTGCAGGCTGCTGCTCTATTTGCAAGCATTAAAGACCAAATGCTGCGCTCCGGTTTGACAACCCTGGGAATATTCATATGTGCCTCAAGAACCAGTTCCTGAAGTAGACAGAGGCTATATACTTATTTGAAAGGGAAAAAAAAGCTAAACCAACACATTATTAATAGAGTTTCGGGTTATCTTTCACTGGACTCATTTCCCCAAGAGCTGCATAATGATATAGGTTCCTGTATGGTGAGGAGCAATAGATGGCTGGTTCCAGCCTTAGAGGAACATAAATATTTACATTTCTTTCAAAAATGGCAGCTCATTAACCTAATTAGAAAAACAAACGAGTACTTCGATATTCTACCCCAAATAGAAAACCCTTCAAACACAAACCGACTCAAGGCTTTGTTTATTAAATAGCAAAGTCAGACAGCATGTCTTCAAATCCTTCAGTCAGGACTTATAATGAATCTTAGTAAAATACAACTGGCTTATAAAGTTTATCACAGCTTTAGAGTATAGAAAATGAAGAAAATTCAAATAAAAAAGCAGAGATACTGACAAAGTAAAGGCAGGAAGATCATTAAATAGTGTGCTAAGGAATCTATCCCAATACTACAGTATAATCAGACATGGAAAAAGAAAAACAAAAAACATTCTCGCAAGGATCTATCTCACCTGAAGTTTCTCTGACAAGCAAATTTACAACAATGTACATATTTTGTAAACAATCTTAATTTTCAATAGATAATTTTGTTTACAAGTGCCTGGAGGACAAAAATAATACATTTACTTTATATTTTTGCATTCAGCAAACTGAAGACCAGTTGATGTTTTAGCATTTAGATGGTGATGGAAAGAAATGGAACACAGCTTTTCCTCTTTGTAGTCATGTCTGCTCCGGACTTCCCGTGCTTGATCTTAGGTGACGCTAGTTTGGTTTCAGCAAAAGGTCTGATTTAGCTGGATCTACTATCGAGTGTTCGGGGGAAGCGTGAGGGTGGCCATCAGCTCTTGAACAGATGCAAATATGGTACACTCACCTGAAAAAATAAAGTGCATAGGAAAGTCAGAATGAGAATATCCAGTGGTTTAATAGGGTTAATGTATGATTGGCTCTTACCCTGCCTGGCAGGATGGATCTCACTGAACCTCTTAAGGATATTGGAGACCAAAAGCGCTGCAGCCCCAGAGGAGCTGTGCTGTCTCGGAATATCAGCCTGCTGAGTGATCCCCGTGGCCAAGTCATACACAATGGGCACGATAATGTTCACCGGCTCCTGGGGCACTGGGATACGCTGGGTCAGCTGCAGCTGTGGGACAAATATTGCAAAACAAACACTGTCAGAATTCTCCAGTTATCTAAAGGTTGTAATGAGAGTCAAGGTAGGAGGGAGCCGCAGCTTACAAAGAAAAGCATTTTGGCCTTAAGCACCACAGCGATGGTCCCAGGAGGGGCGATGGGGGGAGCACTGGGAGGGATGGTGAGACAGAACTGGACGTTCCACTTGAGCTGTCCAGCCTGGTCAGGGAACTGCAGTGGGAACAAGAAGCGAGGGATTTTAGTATAATATGAAAATGAGAAATGTGAAAATATGGGCAACCTTTTAAAAATCTAAGAGTTCAGGATCTACCTTCTCTGATGCTTACTTTACTCTAAAGAAAAACAACTGCAACAATGGAAGCCTGTTAAACAATGACTGTTCACTACCACAATTGGGACGTTATCTCTGTCCCCGATAGAAATAAATGTTAATCCTTTGCACTGCGGGAAAAAGAAGCTTTCTGAAGGTTATCTTTTTTATTTTTCCTCTAATCTTCTTGGATTGTATCCAAATATGGAAAGAATTTTTACTTTTGATACCTTGTTTTGGTACTTAACTACATCACAAGTTGTATCTCCATTACAAATGAGGAACTGTCAATATTCTACTAGTTTCAAAAATGCCAACTTTCCCAATTGCAGTATTTCCATTAAATAAGTAATGCAATTATTATTGCATATGAATATGATTCATCAGGCAAAAATTCTTAAAAACAACACGACAGTGGCAGATGTAAAAAACATGATATATCCATAATTCATCTACGGCTCCAGTAATCATGACACTCAAACTGAATAAAATAATACTCAGTCAAATATGCTTCACCATCTTACTTTTTTACAAGGTAAGTTCCAGTAGCAGTATTGCAAAATAAAACTTTGAATGGACCAAAAAAAAAAAAAAAACCCATCAAGGTGTAAAAAACCTTATTTTGAAAAACCTATGATGCGTGATGACAGAGCAAGTATGGCTAAAGCCCCTGTCACACTTTGACGATTTAGAGAGCGTATGCCTGATGTACAAAAAATCTGGCAGAAACGCTGGATACGTTGGATAAGTAATGAGCACGCTGAAGTACGCTGGCACACGTAGACATACAGCAAGTACGTTGAGAAATTTGAGCATGCTCAAAATTTCTCGACGTATGACAGCGTAGTTACAGGTAAGTTATCTGATCGTTGACATACATTAAGAGCAAGTTATGCGTAACTTATCAAGAACTTATCTCCAACGCATATTAACATATTTGACGTATTCCAGACGACTGCTGAACATGTTTCTAACTTACAGCTACTGTATAACGGAGTATTGGCAGCGTTTTGGTATGAAAGAGGGTCATAGGGTGAGCAAGAAGGTGAGTGTGATGGATCCTCCCTGCGTTCACACCAACTGGCAACAAATTTCCTAGCAGACCTGCCGCTGAATGTGCTGTGTTAGCAAACCTTCTTTTTTTCCTTTTAGTTCTTCTTTTTTTTTTTTTGACCGTAAAGTAAACAGCAACTAAGTTAATATCTCGATCAAATAAATCTTTTTATGCAGGCGGGGCATCTCCGGGTGCATCGCTGCTCCCCTCAAGACACTGGCTTGTGACATTTCATGGGCATTTTGCTGCCATGAGTTATGCATAGGTTAAGCTGTCGTTGGACATAAGTTCTGGACTCATTATGAATACGCTATGTATACGCTCAAAATTGAAAAAATACAAAGATAGTTCATGCAATGTTTTAAAAGATTCTGGGACATCAGGCATACAATAGCTAAATCATCAAGGTGTGACAGGTTCCTAACAGAAAACGCTTGAGAAGAGGGCTCCACTTTCCATAATATGATGCAGAAAACACTTGATACAAGCAAATGGCCAGCAGAGGGAATACTTATAATCTGAAGAGTCATTTGGTTACATGGCTGAAGGGAAAACAATTTTGAACAGCCTTTAGATCCACCACTACAACTCCTACATTTGTCCCACTTTGCATTCCTTAGCCGCTCGCTGCTAGCAAAAAGAGGCTACAGCATCACAATTATCTTAATCTCCTTCAGGTAAATAAGCCTAGTGTTTCGATTTAATGTTTGCATCTATCAAAAATAGGTACCGCTGAGAACCTGAGGCAGCAGGCATCGGTACATAATTGGTTCAAATGTGACCAGTACCATCCCAAATTATAGCTATTAAAAAATATACCAGAATTAACAGATCAAAGTTCAAAGATAATGAAACTGGAAATTGACCTTAAAATGCTCATCTGTACTCCTTTCTGTGAAATAAAGTATATAAAGAGGAAACGTATCCAAAAGATTATTAAAGGCAACACTGTCTTTCTATTGGGGTAGTGGCGGCCTTGTGGTTAGGGCTTTGTGCTTGGATCCCAGGGGTTATGAGTTCAATGCCACTCTGGGTCTCTGAGCAAGACCCTTAACCCCACACCTACCCGACCGCCGACAATAAAGCTGAATTATATTCTATTCTAATTAACAATTTAAACCATACATTTTTTTTTTTTATTTTGTGTGTGCAAAAAGAAATGGTGATATTTCTACATTTTCTATAAAAAACAACTTAATTCATTAATAAGGTAAAAGAAGCTGTTCAAACAAAGGCTACACACCAGTTCCAGCTTCATGATGCGCACACAGTCTCTGAGAACGTTGGTTTGAGCCCCCAGCAGTTTGGTGAAGGCACTCAGAGTGTTGAATTTAAAGGGAGGACCAGCAACCTGACAAAAGGGATTAAAAGAAAACCAATCAATGAGATAAATAACAGAGGAGTTCTATTTGGGATTTAAAGAGACTTTTTTTTAACTTACACGGGTCTCAAAGAACCGCTCCAGCACCTGAAGCTCCTCCTGAGACCATGGACCTGTGTTTTCCGGGGTAACTTTAAGCTGCAGGGTCTGATAGTTCTTTGGATTGAGAGCCACTCGACACTTGAGAACGTCGGTTTTGAATATGATCACGCCTGGCTCGTTGGAGTTCACAATCGACAACTGAAGCAGATATAACAGCTCGTCACACAGCTGCAAATTATGATGTAAAAAGCTAAATGTAACAGCTTATAAGAACAATCTGATGCGACACCCACGTTCGCCTCCTGCTGGATGATCCTCTGTAGGTGCCGCCTCATGATGACCGAACCCAAAAAGCGCTCCAGCGGGGAGCAGAGGTAGCTCCCTGCTAGGCCCGCCACCAGGCAGGGAGTGGGCGAGGGGAGCAGAAGCACATGTAAGGCATTGTGGGAGAGGATGGTGGGGATGGATGCAGCCCAGGGGCGCTGAGGTAACTTCCGGGGAGGAGGCATACTGGTGGGCATGACTTGGGAACCTAAGGCAAAGAGAGAAGAAAGGTGAATGCTAGCAGCCCGCTAACATCTAACCCAAGTAGCTCTAAAACTCAAAGGATTTACAATTATCAAGTTATTTAAGCCCTTTGTCACTGGGTTTTAAAAAGGACTTATTGCCTATATGGATATAAAAAATATATAAATACCAGGATGACAATTTTAACATATTTTACAAACATTCAAGCCCAAAAACAAGCGTTAAATCAGAAAGATCAGCTGAATAAACGCATAATAAACAGTTTTTATTAGACCCCAAAGTATGTGTTTTATTTTATTTCTAATTGCAACAAATTCAATCATGATAAGCAGAAATGGTTTAATTATTTCCAAATCCATGAAGACAAATCATGTGTCTGATCATCTGTTAAGAGAGTCAGGATTAAGGTTTTATTTTGACTCACTACACCTAGTTGCCACCAGAATGAACCTACATCGACCCCCTGGAATGTGGAAGCTGTGACTGAGGGGAGAGGAGCCCTGTGACATTTCAGATTTCAAACTGATTTAGAAGCACCTACATAAAGGCATCTACCAGGAAATGTTTTTTTTACATTCAAAGCTGTTTTGTATCTGAGCTATTCATGAATAAAGAAGAGGTTAATTAATGTGTCACCAGGAAATTAGTTTGTCAAACTGACAATGAAACTAAACCTTTTAAAGAAAAATTTAAATTACCTAAAAATTACTTTTTCCTGCTGTGAGACTTTTAGACTGTTATAACCAACAAATATTGCATTTATACAAAATTTTGATCAAAGCACAGAATGATATTTCAACGATGATTCGTTTAAAAGACATTATGCAGCTCTTAAGTGAGTGTAAGCAGGAGCGTGGTACTTACTACTCCCAGCACGTGGAGAATTGGGGTCAGGAATAGGTGAGTGCAGGGAAGGATTACCAGGAGACATGCCAGGGATTCTGGCCCCAGGAGAAGGTCCTGAAACCTGCGGTGAGCCGGGCCACTGGCCCCTATGGCTGGGAGACACCATGGTGTAAGGAGAGCTGGGGTCCAGGGGACCTAGGTAGAAGGGAGACAATCATGAAACTTTACAATTAAAGTCATAATAAAAAAAATCAAAAGAAAGACACCACTGTGTGCCCTGGCCTCATAACCGTCTCTTAAATGTTTACAGTTTACCGAAAGCCCAACTCATGTGCAGTTTAGCCCATTAATGCCTTTAGCTAGCAGAGAGGATTTTACGGCCCTCCCTGCTGCTTACCGTGGGGACTGGCAAAGCTGGTCTGGCCCATGGCTATGCCCAGAGACGATGGAGACGGGGTGGGGCCAAAAGGAGAGGGTGCCCTCAGAGCTCCACTAGGGGAGCCAGAGGCATGGATGTTCCCTGCATACACACACATACATACATCGAATGGCTCATAAGACTCCATGGATGAAAACTGCTGCCCTCACACACGCTCGCAATCTCTCATCAGCATCCGAGCTGAAGCTGGACAGAAAAGCTGCAGCCTGTGTTTGGTGGGCTGAGATGGAGATCAATGGGGGAGGGGGGAGGGGCATAAATGAACACATGCTTTGCTTCTTCTCAGCTGTGATGTGAGCATATGTTGCATGAGAGATAAATAATCCCATGTTCCTACAAAACCAAAAAGGGCACACACATGGTTGCTAGGGCTGCAACTAACGATTATTTTGAAAATCGATGAATCGGACGATTATTTTTTCGATTAATCGATGAATCGGACACAAAATATTTTTTTTATATTAACCTCTTTATTCCAAAATAAACATTTTAGACAGAACAAACAAGCACACAAGTACAGGTTGCTCATTAACTGTACTGGTGCAATATGAAAAATAAATGTTTGTGTTAAAACTATGCAAACTTACATGAGAAATGTAGCTGTACATCCACAAAATATAGGGTACTTTGTTTCATAAAGCGCAAAAAGAGACAGGCATTTTTGTTTTTTAAAGCCCCTAAGGGGTTCAAACAATAGGCCCCCCCATTTCAACAAATGAGGTTTTTTTAGACTAGAAGAGTTCTGCCTTTTAAGACAGGAAAGTATAGCAGTTAAAGATGCTACTTGAGAAAATACTGAACCATAGAAATAAAAATAGCCCTGTGATTCAAATTATAAATTGTATTTGGAATAAAAATGAGAGAACTAGGGGTGCTAAAAAACACATCCTCCAAAGACAGATATTTACATGGGAATGTGGCAGATAATTATTTGACATATTACTGATCTTGCTGGATTTTATTCTGCTTTACTTCCATAAATTGCAGGATCTTCTTTACTTTCTTTGCCAGAAGATTTAAACTTTAAAAGCCTTGCCCTCATAATTTGCAAATTAATTTATTTATAAAGAAAATATAAACGCTGCTTAAGCTAATTCAAATGAAATTAAAAGTAAAATAAGTAGCCAACCTTATCACTGTCTGTAACCTACTAACAAGCTAAGGAAAGCATCAGATGAGCTACCTGAGAAACTAACTTACGTTTCCCCACTTTAAAATGAAACAAACATGGTTACTCATCCTGCTGATCAGCTATCTTCACTGCCATTGAAGGCTCCAACGTGTTTTCTTTTCAGGTGCTGCGTCATAACAGTGGTGCTTCCGTGCCATGCTCATTTGTTTTTTACAAAAGTTGCATGTTACGACTTTTTTCACTTTACAAAGCGCAGGCTATTTTAATTATTGTGATCAATTTGCGCCGTCAATCCCGGGGCATGCGCGCTTCATTTGCAGTCTGGACGCTGAGGGTAAACTCCTCACTAAAATCCCGCGGCTCGGACTGCAGCACTGAGAGGGATTCCTGTGGGAGAGGGAGAACGGGGTTGGGATGGGGGAGGTGCCCCACAGCAGCAGCTGCCGCTGGAGGACAAGAGCAGGAACGATACATGCTTTCACGTAAGAGTCTCCAAAAGCCGCCAGTGACACCGTAAAAAGTCGCCAGATTTGTCGCTAGTCGCTTTTTAAAAAAATAGTCGCTGGAGGGGTCTAAAAAGTCGCTGAGTTGGCAACACAACTGCGGCGCTGACTCGCTCCGCCATATTTTTTTTTCTTCCCCGGGATGACGGCGGCGGCGGATGACGCATTAATCGCGCGACACAACTAATCGATGATTAAATTCGTTGCCAACGCTTTTAAAAGTCGATTTTTATCGATTCGTTGTTGCAGCCCTAATGGTTGCATAAGCTTTTTCTCTGCCTCTGTGACAAACAGTTTGGCCTGGACACAAATATGTCGGCGGGCATGAAGGTTGACGACAAAAAATTCTTTAAAATAAACAAAAAGAACTGAGAAATGCCTGGTGCCTTGATGAGATGATAAAAAAAAATGTAAAAAAAGCTCCACACTCTCAAATATAGGAGAGAACCCTGAGGCCCCTTACCTGGGGACTGGGTGGGCATCATGGAAGGCGATGGAGTTACATTGGCAAGATAATTTGGTGGTGGCGACGTAAGCGGGGGGTATACACCCCCACCGCCTCCTCTCATAGGCTGGGCCTGCTGATGAGACTGGAGCTGGGTCATCAGACTGTCCATCACATCTACACCTACAGGGGAGGGAGGGTTGTCATCCTCATTGACTGAACGCCTGCGGGCATCTTGATTGCTGTCTACAAACATGTTAAGGAATGTCTAAAGGGAGAGAGGACAAAGAAAAGTAAAGCAATAAAGCCAAACAGGGAAAAAGAACGATTCTCTCTTTTCTTCCTCATGCTTACCTTGAGTCCTGGAGCGGGGTAAAATCCTTCCACAATCTTAGTGTTGTCAAACAGGCTGTAGGCTCCGTCTCGGATGGCCACCACTCCTCGGCTGCGGCAGTAAATGTCGATGCAGTACATGTTACGGAACGCCAGGCGGATATGTGTGGGCGACTGGGGCAGAATGGAGAAACACTGGTAGGCAGTGTTGGTGCGCTGGGTGAGCCCCAGCATGGGCACTGTCGGTAGCTTGTTGATTGCATTGAGAGGAGCTTGGGTGTCGTAGAGCACCTGGACAAACACAAAGAAACGATTTAAAAAAATGTTTTTTTGTTTTAATATTCACAACGAATGTCATGTGTAACAAACAAAGTCGTCTTAAAGGTTTGACTGTGTGTACCTGCAGCAGCTGCATCACATTTGGGTTCTTGTTGAAAATCTCCTGCAGCTGATGGAGGATGATGTTATGGCAGTTGGAGCAGCCCGAGTTGGGCCCCACAGTGCCCAGGGCCAGGTGGAAGCGCTGCGTGTTGGAGTTCCACTGGATGGTGACGGAGCTTCCTTTGGTGGAGCCGTAGCACAGCACCAGCTTACGGTAGTTATACAGCCGCACCTCAGAGAACTGGCTAAGGTAAGGTGGCATTTCTGAAAGGAAGAAATCCCAGCATTTGAAATATGTTTACCAGGACACTAACATTTAATCTAAGATATAACATTAAAGAAACCCTAAAGGAGCCTGAAAGATGCAGGGTTCAGACATTTTCATGTCAGAATCTCCTTCCTTTCCAAGCTTTAATTTAAAACACAGATCTTTAAAATACTGAACCTATAAAAATGATGCTGTTAGAAAAATGATTAACAGAGAGACAAAACTCAAATAGAGGAAGTTAAGGACAAATGGATAGACGGCAGATGGATGTAGAGACGGACAATCAAAGGGACTGACAGATAAGCAGCAAGGTGGTCAGAATGATGAATAAAGAAATGGATGGAAAACAAACAGGAGGTGCGGTGGATTCTTTTAAAGGCTAGAAAACAGACAAACATCTGAAAATCATTTCAAAGTCCTCATGTGAGGCACTGTTTTTACCAAAAGTGACGGCGAAGGCAAACACCTACCTGGCAGTGCACGAGAAAAGTTCAGAACACATTGATAGAGCTGGCTGATGGCTTTCCAGTCGTTTAGTAACATCTCCACAACCTTCCTCCCGCCCACCGGCTCGGACAGAGGGTTTTCATAGGTCAAATACACATGCCGTGTGGGGGCTAACAGAACAGAGAAGGCAGAGGAACATTATTCTACATAAATAGAATAAAGAAACATAAACTATTTTACATTATTTGTTACAATTTTCTGAATAACGAAATGCTAGAGTAATAGCAGTTTTTTAGGTAATTAAATATTGTGTCTGGTAAAAGCGAAAGCACCTTGTTCCTTGCTGTTTGTGCTGCTGAGAGGACAGTTGGCCAGCACCAACTCAGCCACCCAGGTTCGGTTATTCCTGCCCTGCAAGCGGATGGTGCTGTCCAGTAGAGAGCGCTCCAAAGCTCTCCTGGTCTCCTCCCCAACGTCTCTACAACGGGGGATCCTAGAAAAAAAGAGCCAAAATAGTTTAGCCTCCTACAGCTTAAAAAACATGAACCACATGAAAGCGTGCAGGTTTGTATTACTTTAGCAGTCGTATTGCATGGCTACTTCCGTCTCCTTCCACCTGGACTCCCTCGTTCGGAATGCCCATATTAGAAAGCTACTCGGAAAAACAAAGAAGAACATGGAAGATCAGATGGAAACCACCAGCCTTCAATCCAGCAACACAGAATGTTACATAACCTGGACTGACCTCCGTTCTGAGACCAATAAAAGGCATGTTGGTATCGCATATGGCTACGAGATGAGCCAGCTCTTTGTTGAAAGCACACATTTCTCCAGACCTTTTGGGTTTCTTAGGCTCAGAGTCCCCTTGATCTCCCACAATCTAAAGGGCAGAAAAATGATTAGGGTGATATTGTCGTCAGATACTTTTCCTCTTCCTGATATTTCCCCCCACAACCTCACACTTCTACCAAAATATTCAACTTGGCTTCTATTGTAATGGACCAACAAAAAAAGAGTGAAATGCAAATAGAGTTTAAAACAGATTAAGATAAAATCAGATTATTTTGGATGCATTTGTATCTGTTCATCCATCATCTAATAATCAACCACGCAGATTTAGAGGAAGTTTTAAACTCGATCAGTCACTACTTATTGTACAGGTACCTTTCTTTTTGATCCGGGTCGAGTCTCTCTCCCTGTTGTTGGGTCCTGGACAAGGTGCTCCAGGTTGGGTTTAAAAAGCTGAAAGAGTTGTGCACTCATATGCCCATCCTCTCCCTCTAACTGACAAACTGATAGGAAGTAGTATTTGTACTGTAATGATGTGGGACTACTAGGCACTTCAAGCATTTCCACCACCTGTGCAGGAGGGAAAAAAAAAACCCAAAAAGATTTTAAAGAAAGCATAAAAAAACCCATATATCATAAGGTAACAAGTAAGCTAATAAACTCACAATGTAGTACTGTGGGAGACGAGTGAGCTTGATAAAGAGTTTGTGCTTCGATAAGTTGCCGACTGGGTGAGAGGATGAATTGGAGAGATGAAGGATGTCTGAGCAAACGGTGGGGAGGTGTTTCACTGACTGTCGACATCGCTGCTCCCCCAACCAGAACCTAGCCAGAAAGAGTAGGAAGGAGATCTTTTCATTACGCTCATGGTGTCCAACAATAACAACTCATCGATAGGGGTCGAAGTTAACATAGTTTTTAAATAGCAATGGTTTTCTGACCTAAATGAATGAAATGAGCAAATGGGTCTACACCCATATTCCATGTAAGTAAATAGCATATAGTTAAAATGTTTTGACATAACCACAAGGGGGCAGAAGTGTACAAGTCGTTTATCTTAACTTCTCTTCTGATTAACATGTTTGCAGTAGGAGGGTTTGTGGAAAGAAGTTTAATCAAACATGTAGACATTTTTATCTTCTAAAAAGGAAAATATAGAAACTATAATAACATCTAAGATTAAATATTCTTAGAGGGGCATTAGCCTTGAAAGCTTAAGAAAGCCCAACCACCCTGCATGGACAAGAAACACACTTTAGTGGCGATGCCATTGCTGAGATCAACTCGATATAAGCTATTTTTGGTGTCATTCACAGATGTAAAATTAGAAAAAGAAAATTGATTTTTTTTTTCCTAAAAGCTACAAATTGTTAACTCTACTATCAGGGACTAACTCCAGGAAGCAAGAAAGCCGGGGAGCGCGAGACTGGAAGCAAAGAAGAGGAAGACCAAACAAAATACAAAAAAGTTAGATAATTTTATTTTCTATTGCTTTTAAACTCTGTTTGCAGAGGAGCAATCATGGTTTGGAAATGTTAGCACCCTTAAGAAGATCTCAAAATTAGGTGTCTACATTGAGAAAATACACAAAATCTGTAGCGGGATTATAATTTAACATCAATCTCAGCGTGATTTACTTCAGTATGACATCGATGTGACATTTCAGACATTTCAACATACATTAAAGTATTTAGGTTTTCTGTAGTTTTGTGCATTTGGATCTTTTTAAAGCAAATATTTCTAAAATGTTTTAAGACAGGAGTTCTATAAATGGAGAAAAAAACAATTGTCACAGAGTATGTGGGTATTCTTAAGAGTCCATTTGAGGCTTTTATGTATTTCATATAGATATCAAAACTATATTTAAATCAATTAGGGTATAAGTTTTGGCCATATCCTATCCAAACAGACACTATTGTTTAAGTCGTTGTTTTTCTCCTCCAGGCAAACTTCCCTGCATGTTTTAGATGTTTCCCTGATTTAACACATCTGACTCAGACAATTGTAGTTCAGTGAAGCCTGTTCATTTTTAACTGATGGCAGACTAACAGGCTATACTGAACTGCCATCATCTGAATCAGGTGTGTTAAAGCAGAGAAACATCTAAAACATGCATGGCATTGTACTGCAGGGTTTAAGTCATGCTAGCATCAAAAACTGTTTTTTTTTGTTGAAAAATAAATACAAAGGTGTCAGTAACCCCGCCACACAAAACAACTACAAACAGACAGACCGCTTTACGGCTTACGTCACTTGCCCCTTTCCCCATTTGTTAAAAAGATGGAGGTCGATGCGACTAAGTTTCCCTAAGAGACTGTATATTAGTGGAAATTATGCAGGATTGACATTCAAGCATTGCGGAACATTCTGGTTGGGATCTATGTGTGCTTATTTTGAAATTATCAAAAATAAGATCTATTTCAAGGTTCTAAATTCATAACCACATCACTCGCTGACAAGTCAGGGGAGGTGGAGTAGGGGCAGCAGCAGAGCAGGAATACGGCACCAAATTTTTAACATCGTCACATGACATCGTTTCGCCACAGTTCGAGTTATTAGATAGTCATCTTTCTAACAGCACTGGAAACGACCGGTTGATCTTTTTTTTTTTCCCAGACAATGCGCTGCTCCTCATGGGAAATACGGTCTCCCTTCAGGCAAAAAAATTACAGCTTTTGTCCACTGAGGGGAACCAAAATCAACAAAAACTGAAAGCACTTTAGATCTGCTTTGAGGCAGCTTCTTCGTTTCCTGTCTTTTACTGGATGAACCGATTAATCCAGGTGTGTCCGTCCATTGTTGTCATGGTTACTGAGGTTAGGGGAACCTGGATTAATTGGTTCATCCAGTAAAGAAAGTTCAGGAAGTAGTGGAGTTGTGGATAGAGCCGACTGTGCTGAGGTCACCAGCTGTTTTGGTGATTTATTTAGCTCTCCTGTAGAGGGCGATATGGAGCAGCCAAAAATCTTTTATCCCAAATGCAACAGTGTTAATCCTGGGCCATTTCTTCAAAATAGAAGTTGTATCTGTTTATTTATTACCTTATTGTGCTTTTAATTCTTTTGTTGTTGTTTTTCTAACCACCATGTGAAGCCAAAGGCAAATTCCTACATTTGTGAACAATTAACATTAAATATTCTAAAGGCAATACGATTTTTTAAAATATACATAGAAAATTATTGGCAAAAAGAAAAGAAAAAAAATCCCAAACCTTTTTTTTATTTTGTTTTTTAACGGCATTATTTTTTTCATAAGAACCATAATTGTGCTCTTTGGTGATGGATTCACTGACAAACAGCCTCACTTTCATCTTTTTATTTATTTAAAAGAATAGTATATCCCATTAATTGATATTACCTGTAATTTATCACTTTAAACACCAGTAAAAATAATGTCTCGCAATCAATTCACTGTTATTCCTTTAACAGCTAGAAATAGTCTTAATATATTTAACTTACTTGAGCTGCTGAAGCCAAGAAAGTATGCGTTTCATATCATCATTGATGTTCTTTTCAATATCATCCAGCATGGACTGATCTATGAAAAAACAAACGAATCATGTTTTAAGGATCAGAAAGGTGAGAAAAAACAACCAATCACCATCATAACAAGATGCATGTATTAGCAATGCCTTAAACACAAGCAGACAAAAGTTAGCACCTCCATGTTTAACTGAAAACGACCACAAATTACAAGTAACCAAATTAAAATACAAGAATAAATAATTTACGGGCTGATTGTTATAAAAAAATAGAAATGACACACGAGTGGCATAAGAACCAAGTTTAGATTAGAGTTACCATTTGCTCCTGCTTACCTAATCCATAAAGCATGGGTTGAAACATGCCAGAATGAAGATCGACAAAAATGTGCAGGCACTCTGAGCGACCACAAGGCTCAAGGATGGGAATCACCAATGTGGGCAAAGCAGTTTCAATGAATGCTGGAGAAACATATACAGGAGAATAAAACTATTATTTGACTCTAAATATGATAGTTAAACATTCACCAGACAAATCAACCAGACTGACACCCGAAAAATTGGTGATTATAAACCAAAATCAAAGATAATAAACTACAGTTCCCTTCATACGTTTGGGATTTCTTGTAAAGTGATTTCATTTATTTGGCCACCAAAACCAATCAGGTCTAGAAATCACCAAAACTGAATGAGCCTAAAGCTAAAGTTATTCCTCATAGTCCACTCTCATAGTTGCCTCTTCCTGAGGCGAGCCAACCAATCTGAATGATTCCAACAGGAAATAAAAAATAAAAAAACAATCAGATGGACAGAAAAGGCCACAGACGAATATCAAAGAAAGAAGGTAAATGTGAGTGGCCCAGTTTACTTCTGGAATTGAAACCACTTTCCATGCTGTGGCATTCATCCTTCAAGCTAAACGTCGACCAGTTGACCAGTTTAAAACAATTCTGCAAATGGAGGTAGGACACAGTGATTAATACGCCTTAGCAGCATAATGATCTAAGTAGGGCTGCAACAACGAATCGATAAAATCGATAAAAATCGACTTTTAAAAGCGTTGGCAACGAATTTCATCATCGATTAGTTGTGTCGCGCGATTAATGCGTCATCCGCCGCCGTCGGCAGCTGCTGCCGTGGGGTGCCTCCCCCATCCCAACCCCGTTCTCCCGCAGGAGTCCCTCTCAGCGCTGCAGTCAGCGCCCCTAGTTCTCTTATTTTTATTCCAAATACAATTTATAATTTGAATCACAGGGCTATTTTTATCTCTATGGTTAAGTATTTTCTCAAGTAGCAACTTTAACTGCTATACTTTCCTGTCTTAAATGGCAGAACTCTTCTAGTCTAAAAAAAAACTAATTTGTTGAAATGGGGGGGCCTATTGTTTGAACCCCTTAGGGGCTTTTAAAAGCAAAAATGTATTTTTTTGGGCTTTATGAAACAAAGTATCCTATATTTTGTGGATGTACAGCTACATTTCTCATGTAAGTTTGCGTAGTTTTAACACAAACATTTATTTTTCATATTGCACCAGTACAGTTAATGAGCAACCTGTACTTGTGTGCTTGCTCGTTCTGTCTAAAATGTTTGGAATAAAGAGGTTAATATAAAAAAATATTTTTTGTCCGATTCATCGATTAATCGAAAAAATAATCGGCCGATTCATCGATTTTTTAAATAATCGTTAGTTGCAGCCCTAGATCTAAGACATGTGGCCAGAGAGGGCAGTAAGCAATCTCTATGCCCACCTCAAGAATATTTTCTCTAGATATCATGAAAAAATTAGCAAGCAAAAAAATAAAAACGTTCCCCTTACTGAAGTATTCAAATGGAGGGATTTTCCACAGTTTAAAAATGATCCTACAGTGTGTTTAACAATCATCTATTGAGGGCGCTGGTTTATAAGCTTAGCAACAGATTTCTAACGGATTTGTTTAATGCTTCTGCCAACTGAAGGTAAAAGACATACAGTTGTCACTGGGATTGCTGGTCTTTAAAATGGCCTTGAGTTCCTGCAGCTTCTGATGGGCGCGGGCGTGCACGCTGTCAATCAACAGTTTCTCCACTGATAGATGGTCAATCTAGACAAAAAGAAAACATATAATTACTATATAAGCATTTATTTAGTTATTTTTGAAATCTTAGTGGCTTAAATTTTGCATTACTTTCGGAACACAACCCATTTCTTTACCTTCATTGCTCGCTCCATTAACTTGGAGTCACAGGAAGGAAGCGCAGGTTCATGACATATTTGCAATGGCTTAGATCCATCTGATTCATCGATCTTGATTGTTACTTTATGCACGGACGCTGTGCCCGTTTTTCGACCCAAAACCTGTTGGCTGAAAGGAAACCAAAAAAGCATTTGGTCAATTTTTTATGTTTCTCTATTTATAGGCCCTTTTTTTTTCCTTTTTAAAAAGCTTAGAAGTCTCACTTCCAGACAGAAAGCGTGAGGTATTTTGCTGGAACATATTTCTCCTCCTGCACCAAGTCTCCCCATCGCTCTCTGATCAGCATGAGTGTCTGAGAATGGAGCACTTCGAGCTGCAGTGACAAACAAAAGGAATCTGGGCAGGGTGCAGTTAAAGAAAGTGTGCTGGGAGGAAATTTACAGATCAAGGTAGATGGTTGAGTATCTTACTTTTCCTGTCATCAACATTCAAAACACACAGACTTGCACATCCTTCAAGATGTAGATTATTAGTTAAAGGGCAGTCTGTGCCTCACACAGACTGCTCTTTGACATGCTAGTGGGTGAAAGGGAGTGCAGAGATGTACTGATTAGCATTGTGATTAGCGCAGACTTGCTTGATTAAGACTTTGATTATAGCAAAGTGACTACTTTCTCTTTCAACATGAAAGCTACATCTCACCAGAAACACATTTGAAGACTGTGGCAAAATTGTTTTGGTCTGATGTTATTTTTTAACTAAATACATGATATTCTGCAATTGGCAGGAACATTTAATCTAGCTGTTTTTCATAAACATGTCAGCAGGTGTAGAAGGGTACACACACACACACACATATTAAAAAAAACACCTCCAATGACCAATGCTTGCAGGAACAGTGCTGCTCTTTCTTTGGGAGAAACAAAAAGCTGCTTTGTTATTTAGGCATTAATGAAAGGGAGCTAAGCAGGATGCATTACTGCAGCTGTGACTCTCATTGGAATTCTGCACCTGTCTTGTTGATCAGTCAATACTCTATATGCTTTAACAAACACACACACCCTGCTGCAGAGGGTCAGAGCAGAGCTGGACAAAACCAGAATAGTTGAAGGAAAGGTATACATGTCTTTAAATGTCGTCTCTCTTGCTAATGTTTTGTAGCCATTTCTTTATAGGTAAATGGAAAGAGTCACACAAAATGTATGGGATATTTCTACACTGGTTTGTCTTTGAATTTGGAATGTGTAAAAAAATACAAGAAAAAACAAGTCCGATTGTTGGATGAATGCAACTTGTAAAACTGCAAGATACAGATTCTAGAAATGCCAGTATTTTCCCTAAATGTTTTCCGTTTTGTTCTGTACATTTATCCAGACCGGGAAACAGCTAAAAAAGCCTTGTGTGAGATACTGGCCAACTACCCCAATCTGCACAGTAGACTCTTGATTTTTAATGTTATTTTCTGCAGAGCCCCCTATTAGACACTGACATTTTTTCAGGAATCCCACGGGTCACGGGATTCCCGTGGGATGGGAGTCAGTATTAGTAACGATCACGTGATTGGGACGGTACAGGATTAAACATTAACAGGAGCAGACGGGAGTGGGAGCAAACCAATAGTAACTAAAAAAAACTAGGATCGATGCCAAAAAATAAAATAGAAAGAAAAAAAATCCAGTACTGGCGCCGCCATTTTGTAGTTTTTTTCCTTGAAGCCTACACTATAATGCGAGTCAAAAAAAATACACGACCCAAAAACCAACAGTGCTTCCGCTCTGAGTTTTTCACCCGCGCTCAAAAGAAATTCAGATTCAATGTATTGGCAGAAATCTTATTGAAGACAACAAGAATGGGAGTGGTGTGGGAGCAGGAGTCATTCTGAATGGGAGCGGGATGGGAGTGGGAGTAATTTCACCAGGAGTGGGACGGGACAGGATTTAGATTTCTACTCTGGCCCGGGATCGGGACGGGACACAATTTTTTTCTGTGGGAGTGGGACGGGACAGGAGTGAAAATCCATTCCCGTGTCTCTACTCCCTATAAGTAATTTCTCCCGATTATTCGGGGAAGGAAAAGACTAAGCTTGTGGGTGATCTAGGTCATAGTATCTGACAACCCTAGTGACCAGATACTGTGACATACACTCACCGGCCACTTTATTAGGTACACCTGTCCAACTGCTCGTTAACACTTAATTTCTAAGCAGCCAATCACATGGCGGCAACTCAGTGCATTTAGGCATGTAGACATGGTCAAGACAATCTCCTGCAGTTCAGACCGAGCATCAGTATGGGGAAGAAAGGTGATTTGAGAGACTTTGAACGTGGCATGATTGTTGGTGCCAGAAGGGCCGGTCTGAGTATTTCAGAAACTGCTGATCTACTGAGATTTTCACGCACAGCCATCTCTAGGGTTTACAGAGAATGGTCCGAAAAAGAAAAAACATCCAGTGAGCGGCAGTTCTGTGGGCGGAAATGCCTTGTTGATGCCAGAGGTAAGAGGAGAATGGCCAGACTGGTTCGAGCTGATAGAAGGGCAACAGTGACTCAAATAACCACCCGTTACAACCACGGTGGGCAGAAGAGCATCTCTGAACGCACAGTACGTCGAACTTTGAGGCAGATGGGCTACAGCAGCAGAAGACCACACCGGGTGCCACTCCTTTCAGCTAAGAACAGGAAACTGAGGCTACAATTTGCACAAGCTCATGGAAATTGGACAATAGAAGATTGGAAAAACGTTGCCTGGTCTGATGAGTCTCGATTTCTGCTGCGACATTCGGATGGTAGGGTCAGAATTTGACATCTACAACATGAAAGCATGGATCCATCCTGCCATGTATCAACGGTTCAGGCTGGTGGTGGTGGTGTCATGGTGTGGGGAATATTTTCTTGGCACTATTTGGGCCCCTTGGTACCAATTGAGCATCGTTGCAACGCCACAGCCTACCTGAGTATTGTTGCTGACCATGTCCATCCCTTTATGACCACAATGTACCCAACTTCTGATGGCTACTTTCAGCAGGATAATGCGCCATGTCATAAAGCTGGAATCATCTCAGACTGGTTTCCTGAACATGACAATGAGTTCACTGTACTCAAATGTCAATATGGACCAAACTCCCTGAAGAATGCTTCCAGCACCTTGTTGAATCTATGCCACCAAGAATTGAGGCAGTTCTGAAGGCAAAAGGGGGTCCAACCCGTTACTAGCATGAGGTACCTAATAAAGTGGCCGGTGAGTGTATATCCCCTGCAAGCTTACTGTTCTGTAGACTCACAGAAACATCTCTGCTGCTAACAAATTACACAAACTGTAAGAGAAGTTACTATTTTGAATAAGTTTCCTCTTTTAAATTGCATGAATCTGAAGTTCAATTTTAGCGGCTGTGGCCACTTTTCTTCATGGCAGCAGCCAATTAACCCTTTAGATGGTGGCAGTCAGTGATTCACACTTTTTAGTTTGATCCGCAGTACCGCAAACTAAATATTACTATTTAGACTTATGGTACTCATATTCATGATTAAAACTGCTTTTTTCCCCATTATCCTTAAAAAAAAAAAATCAATAACTTAATGCAAAGAAACAACATTGTAAGATTATTCCTTTGTCAGGTTTAATATACAAGGCAAGAAATAAGAGTTACCCTTTGGGCCGAATAATCTGGTGAAAAAACAAAAAGAAAAAAAATCTTTTATTTATTTTTCACAACCTAATGTTGGCAAGTATGGTGTAGTCAAGTAAACAAATCTTAAAAGGATACGCAGACAGTTGTACATGTCCTGTAGGGGTTTTTCATCAGCACAAAGACGTGCCTGGACCAACTCGTGGATAAAGTTCACCTGCAAGCTGTGGACCAAAGCTCGTCCATCTGCAAGGAAGCATGGAGAGTTAAAAACATTAGACTTGCCCACGTAATTAATATGGACATAAAGTTATATAATTAGTTGCATCACCTCCAGTTTCTTTGTCCTCCACTAGAATTTCCAGCTTCAGCAGCCGCCAGGGAATATCAGGATCGTCTCCCATGACCGTTAGAGTGGCTTCAAACTCACCCTCCACCCGAAACTTAACACGCCCATTAGCTAAAGAATACACAAAGGAACAGAGTAAGTATAAAATTTATATAATGCAAAGCAATAGAAGAAGTGAAAAAAAAAAAGTTCAAGAGCAGACAGTTAAAATGCCTTATGTATACATCAACTGCTTACCAACTGTGAGATTTGCCAGCTGCGGTGGTAAGTCAGTGGTGACAAGGCGGTGTCGTAAAATCTGATTAAGCTGGTTTAAAGTGGTCTGCTTTTCTGTTTTAGTAATGGGGTCTGGAGGAATTATTTTATCCTAAATAGGGAGAGAAAGATATATGATAAGAAAGACAAACAAACCAGAATATCAAATTCTGCATCATTGGTTTATCCAGGATAATTTCTAACTGTCAAAAAATGAATTATTAAGACTAACGCGTATGCATGTGGGCAAGCGTGGGTATGATCCTGTCGTCAGGACGTCGATGGCAAAAGGGATGGCAAAGCTGGGTAAGCGGGCGTGTACGAGGGCATCCCGCGCTAGCAGAGCCAGTCTATCAGCCGTATCCACAAACAGGATGGCCTGCTGATCCAGGAAGCTGGAAATCATCTGTTTCAACACAAACCATTTGAAAGAGCGGAGGTCAGGATAATAAGCAACGTGACATGAAGTGGTGGGATTTCATTAAACACAACTTACCGCACACTTCTCAACTTTCCCTGCATTGCTTGCCCACTTCACCAGAGCAAGAAGACGTACAAAAAGCTGCCTGGTGCGACTTGCAAACTGGACAATCTCAATTTTCCTTTAAGGCAAGGCAAGGTTATTAGTATAGCACAATTCACTACAAAGACAATTCAAAGATCTCTACAATAATTAAACAAGAAATGAAAGAAAAGCAGTTTAAAAACAAACATCGAGTTAAAAAAAGTTTTTTTTTTTTATCTAATAAATAAGAGGAAACATTTAGAAACAAACATACCGCTCCATGTCAGTCTTTCGGGGGAGTCTGCAAAACAACATAGTTTTCAGATTAATGTAAATGACAGCATTAACACCTCTTACAAGGTTTTAAAGCCGTCTGATCTTCATGGCAAATAAATGGTAAATGCCTCCCCTCATATAGCGCCTTATCAAGTCAAAGGACTCCAAAGCTCAAAACACTGCAATAAGTCATTCATACATTGATGGTGGCAAGCTACCCTGTAGCCGCAGCTGCCCTGGGGCATGCTGACAGCAGCTAGGCTACAATGGAGGCGAGGTGACTTGCCTTTATTTTTTTTGATAATTTATTCTGATCACCACCCAAGCACTTATGGATACTGCTGTGGATAGCAAACCAACGGCAGGGGCAATAATCAACACCTTTGAAATTTGTGGATTTACACTGTACCTGTACCACCGTAATCAATAAAAAGAATTTCCACAACTCTTGGTACTAAAAAGCAGTCAAACCACCTCTGACTTTCTGATTGTCAGGCATTTGTACATTGATCTAACTTTTATGGTTGTAGCAATTGGAGAACTCTGAGCTTGGCTATGGTTTTTCAAAGAAAATTAGCATGTGATGCAAATCCATTAGTTTTATTTCTGCAGGAATTTCCATTAAATATCCCATCTAGGCAATAGGGCTGAGTGATATGGCCTTAAAATCTCATAACGATATTTTGTCACAATATCGTGATGACGAGAATATTGAAGTTGTTCCTAGATAACTGTATAGTTGTGAATTCATGCCACAGTAGTCAGAGCCCCGCAATCAGACTCTACTCTTGAAAAAGTATACAAATTTAAAATAGGCCTTTTTAATCACAAATAATCCCAGTAACAACATTTAAGAATATTGTTCGAAATTGCCAATGCCCCAATGAAAAAAAAAAAAATATATATAAATATATATATTAAAAATAAAATGAACAATTCATCAATTCTTTTGAGATCTTATCATCACTAATACTAATTAGTGATGATAAGACAATAAATCAAAATTGTAATGACCAGATAAGATAAAATAAATGCCCGCCCCTTCTAGGCAAGGGTCGGTATGAAATATTCACGCTGTTTACAACAACATGCCTACATGTTTACTTTGTAATGAGAAGTTGTCAAATAAAAAAAAGATTAATTTGGAAAGCTATTTCCAGGAAAGGCATGCTAAATATGCAGCCAACTACCAATTAAGGAGTGAGAGAAAAAGTGTGATTGCAAAACTTCTTAATAAATTAGAGTAGCTAAAGATATTAGAAGTGGATTGCATCTCCAAACTCCACTACTGTTGTTGTTAGTTTTGTTGCAAGAATGGAAAACCGTTCAAACATAGAACAGGTAGTGCTCTTATGAAGGTATGTGAACCCCCCCTCAAAAAATAAAAATACCAAGAATTTGATTTATTAATTGAGTTTCTATGCATTTATTCCCTAAAATGAGGATTGTCAAGCATCATGTGAAGGTATATTTTGGCATCAGTTTGACAAATAAGGGAATATTTTAGCACAGCAGCATCAAAATCGGTATGTCAGAGTGAACTCAGGTTGCTCTTTGGTGCTGCTGATCGGCTTTCGGTCAGAGCTCGAAGCTTTGTGGTATAATGACCTAATTCTGTTCATTTTTCAACATTTTTCTCATAATATTATGACTTTATTCTAGAAATATTACGAGTTTATTCTAATAATGTTACAATTTTATTCTAGTAATGTTATGACTTTATTCAAATAATATCACAAATTTATTTTTGCTGTATTATAACTTTATTATCCTACTATTACAACTTTATTCTCGAAAAAAAAAAATCTTGAGCCTGGCCCTAATATTCTGTCATAATAGTTACTATACTATTTTCAGTTTTTTTTTCTCCTTTCTTATAAGTCAAGGAAAAGCAGAAGCCTTCTTTAAGCCAGCTGACCGGCAGTGCCAAAACAACAGGTAGGGTTAGCCCTGCATCAGTACATGCTTCTCCCTTTCTCGAGCATTAATTAAAAGAACTTAAAAGCTAATAATTCTGAGGAATATTTTTTCTTTATGACTTTAAAATCCGTTTCAAACTTTAGCATAACATGACCCAGTGACCCTCACAGATGCAAACATTTTGTTGTTGTCATACAGAATATTTGCTTATTTAAAATCAACACTTGCAAACAGAATAGTGATAGAATATAAAAGCGGATCAACTCTAATTAAATGCTTTATTTATAGGAGGGAGTGATGTGAAGGTAGGAGCTTGTATGGAGCAGAGAGGATTTATTTAGATTAAGTACAAGAATTACGGGTAATCAGCACAACAAATAAAAACACAAAATGACATGTTTATCAAAATGTGTCACTCCATATGTACTATTATTTAACAGAAAACTTTGGCTATAGCTTTAACAGTGATGTAAATCGTGGTAAACATCTGGCCACTTATCTTAAAGCTGTTATGGTCTGTTATTAACACCAATTTCTATTTAACAACCCCTCATTATCCATAATACGCAGGGAATTTCTAGCTTTAAAGTTCTCTCAAGTTTACAAACGTCAGCCGGTTAGCCCGCCTCCGGCCTGCTAAGCTAACTGTTACTTACAGCTCCGCCAGTAGGGTAATTTCATGGTAAGTCCTCTGGAGAAGAAATTCAATAAGCAGGCTTAATTTGACGCCCTGTGTTGCTGGGGTTCCGGGAGCAGGTGGTTGTGGACCCGAGACAACTGGACCCCCGAGTGGGACGAGTTGCCCATCTGACCCGATCTGCACCGGAGCCATTTTAAAAAAAATGAAGGTAAAGGCTAGTTAGCTTCTCCGCTGCGCACAGAGCCACACAACGGGAAACCCTCGGCTAATAGTGGCCTGCTCCTCCTCAAATTACACTTTTCGCGTTTTCTCATAACATATCTTCTATTAGAAGCCCAACGCGGTAAGGAATTAGTTATTTCTCCTAAGAACCAAAAGTCAACTAATGCTTAATTTAGTAAATCGTTACGGGGAGGATTTCAATGCTGCTAGGCCGCCATCTTTGCTATCGAAGATAATTAGCATATGAGCGGCCGGTGAAACAGAAAACCCGGACAGGAAGAAAGAGCGCGAGTCTACGACGGAGTATTAGGGCCACACATGAAGAGAAAAAATATTTTTGCCATGACGAGATTAAACTCGACATGTCGACATGTCGACATTAAACTCAACATTTTGAGAATAAAGTTGAAATGTCATGTTGAGTTTAATCTCGACGTGTCGACTTTAAACTCGCCATTTCGAGAATAAAGTTGATATATCGTGGCGACTTTAATCTCGACATTCCAAAGTTTGGAGAAAAGAGCAACCGCGCTCCACAGCTGTAGTCTGCGTTTTAAGAGTGAAGGTAGTCTTTGACGTGCTGCAACTGTATAGGATTCTGTGCATGTATCCTGTCCAGCGGTTGGCTCTTTTGAACTAATTTAAACTTTATTGTCGACACGTCGAGATTAAACTCAACATGACATTTCAACTTTATTCTCGAAATGTTGAGTTTAATGTCGACATGTCGAGTTTAATCTCGTCATGGCAAAAACATTTTTTCTCTTCATGTGTGGCCCTAATACTCCGTCGTAGGTTTACATCATACTTAACAACTCAAACTTCCTGGTGAAATTCCTGAGTTTTCTCAGACTTTGTTAGACAGTTTGTTTTAGTTTTTAGTTTGACAAATATTTCAGCTGTGCTTCTGAAATAGTTGACCTAGAAACAGGTGACAGTGTTTGGTGGATTCTCTAGAAGTCTTATGTGTTTGTAAGTGTTCTTAACAATGTGAAATTGCTGAAACTTTGGATTATACGGAAGAGGATTAGGGCAAATTAAAAAAAAAGTTACCTGATTTTTAAAATATTATTTCGGTTTAATATGGGAAAAAAGTCAGAAGTCTGACTTTAATCTCAGAATTCTGACTTTAATCTCAGAATCTTGACTTTTTTTCTCAAAATTCTGACTTTAATCTCAGAATCTTGACTTTTTTCCCAAAATTCCAACTTTAATCTCAGAATTTTGGATCTTAATGTAGATAGGCACCAAGAGATGTAGGAGCACTCAGCTTCACTGACAAAGATGTGAGTTGTTTGGGAGGGCCAGTAACACTTTGGTGGAAAATGACCGGATTAGGCGACTTTTTACGTGTCCGAGCGGTCCCCGGTGAATCTATTTCACTAATGGAAGAGCAGAAGGTGATTAAAACAACAGACATGGCTACGGCTTGATGCTAACATGTTTTTTGGCTGTCAAAATTCAGTCAGAATTCTAAGATTAAAGTCAGAATTGCAAGAAAAAAAGTCAGTATTCTGAGATTAAAGTCAAAATTATGAGGAAAAAGTCAGAATTTTGAAATTAAAGTCAGAACTGTAAGAAAAAAAAAGTCATAACTCCAAGATTAAAGTCAGAACTGTGAGGAAAACAAGTCTGAATTCTGACTTTTTTCTCATATTATACTGACATAAAATTTAAAAATCAGTTAACTTTTTAAATTTTTTTTCAGTGGCCCTTATCCTCTTCGTTGGATTATGTGAAGTATTTAGCAAAAAAAAAAAAAAAACATTAGATCCCTAACCTTTAATTAAACAAGACCTTTTAAAGGAATTTTCTTTCAAGAAAAAGAATTGCATAAAATAAAGTGTCAAGGTTTTTATTAATACAATATATTTTATGTATGTGTAATATTTATGTAATGAAAAAGCCTTTAAAGCAATGACAAGGGATGTATACATTATTGATTGTTTTAAAATGTTCTCTGTCATTATGAAAGGTGAGGTACCATAGGAAATTTTACAATTCAATATTATACTTTGAAATTCTTAATCCCTGAAGAAGGAATATAGAGACAAATGTATTCTTATTGGAAAACTATATTTTTGTACTTAATACTATGTTATAACATTTCTTCATAAAAAGAAATCCCATTTTACTAAAATGTAAATATTTTGTTAACCCAATTTTTACAGCTAGAGTTTTATTAAGTTATAAAATACATTTAAGTATACCACTTAGGTCCAGCTTTAAAATGAAACAAAAAAAATTATAAAGCTAGAAATGTACTCTTTATATTCCAACAAACACTAAACCAAATTAACGGTTTTTATGACAATACTGATAAAACATCCAATTTAAAGGAGCCCTTTAGGTCACTAATAGACCCCATATAAAATAACAAAACTACAGTTTAATAACACAGCATAATACTACAGTAAATGTTCTCTTAAAGGGTGAGTTTTTAGTTTGTCATGGGTAGAGTCAATATTATGGATGTCTTGTTAGGAACAACTCCACAGTTTGAGATCGGTTCAAGGCTGAATTCTGTTTTGAATTAACTGGAGGCAATTGCTGCTGCTAGAGGATACGGGTGAAATAGAGGAAAGACTCTGTTTAGGTGAGATTGCAGGCTGCTGAGTTTTTGAACCATCTGAAGTTAATAGGAGGATTTTTGAGGAAGGCCAAAAGGTGAGCATTACAGTAATCAATGTGGGAGGTGAAAAGATGGTGACAGGGTTATACATGGCAAGAAAGGGGAAGGTATGTCCAGAACTGATTTATTTCACATTTACCACTGTTTGATTAAAAGGTTAAATTGACCTTACAAGTAAGGTTGTATTCCAGATAAGCAGGTGACGAGGGAGGTAGTAGGAAGTGGAGAATTAGGTTTAATGGAAAAGTAGAGCTGGTCGTCATCTACATAGCAATAAAACTGAATGATAAATTTGTGAAAATGAGATATAGCTGGAGGACACCAGCTGTGAGGGAAGCTGTCAAACTGAAGAAGGAGTCCTATTGGGCTTTATTGACCCGTGGGACTCCAGAAACAGCTGATGTGTACCGGCAGTCAAAGTGGCAAGTGGCTTGGCTGGTCACTGAGGCAAAAACTCCGGCACTGGAAGAGTTCAGAGAGGCCATAAAGAAAGACTTCCATATGGCTTCGAAGCAATTCTGGTCCACAATCCAGCGTCTCAAGAGGGGGAAGCAGTGCAGTACCAACACTATTTATAGTGATGCGGGTGTGCTCCTCAACTCGGGATGTTGTGTGTCAGTGGGCAGAGTACTTCTAAGACCTCCTTAATCCCACTGGCACGTCTTCTATTGAGGCTCCAGGTCGGGTTCTACCATATCTAGTGCTGAAGTCACTGAGGTGGTTAAAAAGCTCCTCTGTGGCAAGGGCACTGGGGTGGATGAGATTCGCCCTGAGTACCTTAAGGCTCTAGATGTTGTGGGGCTGTGTTGGTTAATGCGACTCTGCAACATTGCGTAGACATCAGGGGCAGTTCCCCTGGATTGGCAGACTGGGGTGGTTGTCCCACTATTTAAAAATGGGTATCAGAGGGTTTGTTCCAACGACAAAGTAAACTAACTCTTAAGCCTCCCTGGTGAGGTCTATTCCGGGGTTCTGGAAAGGAGGGTTTGTCAGATAGTCGAATCTCAGATTCAGGAAGAGCAGTGTGGTTTTCGTCCTGGACGTGGAACAATGGATCAGCTCTACACCCTCAGCAGGATCCTAGAGGGTGCGTGGGAGTTTGCCCAACCAGTCAACTGCTCTGTTCGAAAACCAAGGACACATCCTTAGAAGACCGGATTTGAAGGCCGATTACGTCATAGCGCGGCGCCGAGGTCTGGTCGGATTCCAAGAGTCCCCGTTATGCAGCCTTAAAATGCGTCCTTCTTTTTGCCCGATTTGAAGGACGGGTCCGATGTATCCTCGGTATTCTTGGATATCCCAGGATTCATTGCGAGACCAAGCAAGCTGTGATCAGAGGAAAGGTTACTTGGCGCCAAACAGTGGTGAAAATTGGAAGTTCAGTTTAATATAATACAAGTCATTTAATAGTTCCGTCTGAGATTAATGAAAATAGTTGTTTTAATGGTTATTGAGTCAGATATGTGGCGGTAGTGTTTGGTTTATCTAAAGGTTTTTATCTGTTACTGTGTAAATGGGTTTGGCTGGAATTTAAGGACAGATTCTAATATATCTGCAGAGAGGGGACTATAAATCTGGTAGGATTTTTATCTTTTTATTGCTGTTTTGCACAATATGCTTAACTACGTATTTTTTGTTGTTGAATATTAGAGATTTTGCAGATATATTTTTATAAATACATTGTTTAGATTTACTTATATCTTTCTACCCCTTTTATAGAATAGAATAGAAAATCCCTTTATTGTCCCACAATGGGCAAATTTACAGCAGCAGAAAGATTATTGAAAATGGTCACACAAATGAGGACCTTAGAAAAATGTATAAGAATAACATAATAAGAAAGAGTTAAAATATAAACAATACAATACTGTAAAGTGTTTTAACAATATAAAACTGGAGAATAAATAACCAATATGCAGCTATGGACATTTTTACAGTAATGGATATTTGAAAACAGCAGCAACATCAGAGATGTGCAGAATGACAGCAGCAGGTTATTTAACTGACTAAGGTTTATATCATTACATTTGATTTGATTTGTTCCTGCTCCCGGCTGTTGGAACATTTATTCCATTCTGGATTCTTGTGAGTGTAGTCTTTGTTCACTTCACAATAAAAAAGAAATAAATAAACAGTTTTGAAAACTTCTGTATTCATTCTTTTCCTGCTTTGTGTGTCAACTTTCACGGTTGCTAAGCAACAGAGCATACGGCGGTAAAACCCGCCGAAGGGTAGACCTGGTCGAATTCACAGCCTAAACTCTTCCGGTCTCCTTATTTTCAAGGACTTCGAAGGATCCAGTCTAGGTAGACCGCGTCCTTGGAGGATGCGTCCTAGGTTTTCGAACAGAGCCAACGTGTTTTATGGATCTAAGAAAGGCATTGGGGCGTGTCCCACTGGGGTTCTGTACTCCGGGAGTATTGCGTATCGGGCCCTTTAATAATGGCTGTTAGGTCTCTGTATGACCGGTGTCAGAGCCTGGTCCGCATTACCGGCAGTCTGACTCATTTCTAATGAGGGTTGGACTCCGCCAAGGTTGCCCTTTGTCACCGATTCGGTTCATAACTTTTATGGACAGAATTTCTAGTCTCAACCAAGGTGTTGAAGGACTCTGTTTTTTAGGTGGCCATAGGATCGAGTCTCTGTTATTCACAGATTATGTGGTTCTATTGGCTTCATCAGGGCGTGATCTACAGCTCTCACTGGAGCAGCTCGCAGCCGAGTGTGAAGCGGCCGGGATGAGGATTAGTGCCTCCAAACCCGAGACCAATGTCTTGAGCCGTAAAGGGTAGAGTGCCTTCTCCGATTGGGGACGATGTACTGCCCCTAGTGGAGGAGTTTAAGTATCTTGGGGTCTTGTTCACGAATGAGGGGAAGATTGAGCAGGAGATCGATAGGTGGATTTGTGCGGCGTCTGCTGTGAAGCGTGTGCTGTACCGGTTTGTTGTGGTGAAGACAGAGCTTCTGTTTCAAACAAAGTCCTTACTTAAAACTATTTACATAATGGTCAACTTTATAACTTTGTTTAGTAAAAGTTTGACCTCATTTTGCTTCCAGTTATTATCCCAAAAGAAGAATTAATCCTTCCATATGTTTTACTCACTCCTTGTCAGGGGTTGATGCGTATTTCCAGTGGCTATTGGGGCAAAGATTGTGGTACACCCTTGACAGATTCCATGGCAATCAAGGGGCTCAAAAACACATAAAGTTAAAAAAGCCACTGAAAACACATTTTTCCTAAAATACTCAAGCTATTATATAGGTCCTGTTAGGATAAAAGAGCTTCATTAAATGTTTACTTTAAATTAACAACAAATGTACTAAAGAGTGATCAAATAGAACAGTTTTAAATGTAATTGATAACATCTGATTGATTAAAAAGACACTCACTATTTGATTAATTAATTAATTTATTTTAATTTTTTTTTTGTCAGCCCTGCCCCTCAAAATTACTAAATTGAGCTAACAATGTTGCAGGTGGATAACTAATCAGATGGTTTAGGTTCCTTTATACAAATGTTTATACAAATGGTGGTCAATTAACAAAGTACAAATACTTTGTTATCTTACTTAGGTAAAAAATTTTGACTATTTATACTGAACTTGAGTAATTATTTTTTGACAACTTTTACTTCTACTCCTTTTAAAAATACATTCATAAGTTTTGTTTAATTTAAGCCAGTTTTCATTATAACCTGTTGATATTTAAAAAAAAGATAAAAACAATGAAAATTATTCGTTTCATCCATACAATTAATTTCTTTGTGGTTGGACTGCACCAACTTGTTGTTACTCAATTACCAAAATAGTTATTCAAGATGATGCAAAGTTACCTTTGACACTGTTACAATTATTTATAACACCAAAATTAAGCTTAAGGAAGTTTTCATCCAGAATTGTAGAAAAATGTTCCTTCAGTATGGTAGTGCAATAACCAGCATGATGTTTAAAGTGTCTGTCCTTAAAATGTTTTCCTGCGTTTCTTTACTTTTATACTTTAAGTAGTTTTAAAATTATGCTTTTATACTTTTACTTAAGTAAAAAGGTTTAAGTTGATGCTATAGCTACTATAAAAGTGTTTTTAAACTGTCTTTATTTTTGACACGTCTGCAAACATTGAATATACCTACTCACTCTGCAAGTATTAAAAATATCTAGTTACTGTAAATAACTGGATGTAAATAGATACATAGATGATGTAGAACAGATGTAAGATAATGAGACCTGCCTTTTCTCAAGCATGGCTTTATTATTGCTGTTCAAAAAAAGACCTATCATTTCCGAGAATAAAAAAAGCAACTTTGAGTCGTGTTTGAACTGATGCAGCTTGTTCTGTGTTCTACTCACCCAATTTTAATTTATGTATTTCATAAACTAGATGGTGTTAGCTTTGTAATAATGTATTGCACATGTAATTTTGGGCTTACAGTTCCTAAGTTATTTGCTTTTCCATTTGGGTATGCAAAATAGGCGAGAATTTCCCAAAAAACTACGTTATTTATATAAGGCAACTCCATTCGATAGGGGGCGCTCTTTTGAGCAGCTGATCATCTGTTTCTGTCCGTTTCCAGTCAAAACAAGGACTGGATCTAATAACTGGAGCTGGAGTCACTTATCGGAAGAGGGGTTTTGTGCCCTTCCATTCAACGGGTGTTGTGTTAAGCAGAGCTAGTCGGGCTTGTGATGCAAACCAGCTCACAGACATAACTGGAGTGTCGGAGTTCTCACAGCAGTCTGGCCTGTTTTACCAAGAAGCGTTTGTGTCGGACTGCGCTTCCGCCATGTTGAGCTGATTCAAGTTGTGTGTGACTGCTGGGACCGAGGTGACAAGCCCCAGAAACCGGACTAGATAGAGATAGGGGGCTGTTACCGCGCCGGTGACGCAGGAAAAACACCCAGAAGCGGAGGAAAAAAACGGTGGAATTAGATTTTTTCTAGTAACAGGCTTGGTGCCCTGCGAAACTACCACTAATATAGGCCGCGTTTATGTAATATACGACGACACAATCGCTGGAGACTGGACGTATCCCGTGAATAGTGGGGAAGTCATATCAAATTCCTGGTGAGTTGTTAGCTGCTTTGCACAGTATGTTAACTGCTGATTGTTAGCCAGCTAATGTTAGCGTCAGCTGGTGCTGTGTGCAAGGTAACGTTCCTGCATTTTGGTGATACTTCTATTTCTCATTTGCCAGCATTGCTTTCCCCTGCTAGCTAGGAAAACTCAGAACATATCAACACGAGTGCAATCTAATTTACGGCCCTAATAATATCCTTCCAGATTCACCGACCCAAAGCTAACGTTAGCTATCCGTAAAAGGACCTCGACACTGTCTACATTCTGAGAACACATTTCCTTTAAACGTCCCGTGTTTACAAGTTGGTGGCACAAATATACTCTAAATTTTCGTTTATTTATAGTTGCTCGAGTTTGCTCTCCAAGGGTAATACTTCTATCGATATTGAATACACTCTTAAACAGTCATTATGTTGTCTTTTTTGAATGTTTTACCCTTGTTCTAACTTTAGGAGTACGTATCAGAACACCCTGTTGGGTTTCAGGAAATAGACGCCTCCCCTGTCACTATCCTTTGCAAGGATAGCTAGCTAACTTATTCGTTATGTTGAAATGTTTGCAGGCTGAAGTTAAGTCAACAGGGGATAGCATTATTATTGCTTAGATGCCACCCTTTATAGTCGTGCCCTTTAATATGCCAATGTTTTTATGTGATTTTAAACTAGCTAGCGAGGATTGGCTAACATTAACAGTCTCTTGTTAGCACGACAGCCGCTCGTTGCAAATGGCGATCTTCTTACATAGTTAGTCAGCAACAGCGGTTTATCAAGTGATTTTTGGTAAGGAGGGATTTTATTTTCTAGGCAGCTTTTGTGTGTATTTAAGATCGTCAATCAACGGAGCTCATATTTTTTTAGAGGAAATGTTTCGTCAAGGCCCAAACGGACGCCAAGGCCCGAATATGTGACAGCGCAGTGGGCTTTGGACGGTAAGGCCTTCACTGCCTCATTGCTATGCTGTCTGGGCGGATCGTCTTCCAACCATACCGAACCACAGAAGCCGGCATTAACTACCAAATCTACCGATAATAAATGCACTCTTGGTGAACTAATTACGTAATATTGTTGCATTTCTCTGAAACTTTCCGATCGTTGCGTTTTAAAAGAAACTCAACCATGAACATGCCAATTTTAACCGACCTATTTACCCATCAACAAGATGCCTGTAAGTAACTCCAGTGCTAACATTTAAACGCTGGCGTTGCACCTTATTTGACCTAAATTCTCTGTAATTGTGACACGTCATTTCTTAACTTGTAATGTTAACTTTATACCCAACAGATTAAAAAAAGGGTGTATAAAAATGTAACAAACAATGCTTCGTTATATAATAATGAAGTCTAGTAAAATTGGACAACACAACTACTTTTTAAAAGTCGCAGCTGGTCTTGATCATTTTAATGTTCACACAGTTCAATAGGAAAACATGTTCCTATAAATCTTTGCTTTCATATAATTAATCTGATTGCTTTTTCAAATGCATAAAAGTATTTGTCGATTCAACTAAAGATGTAAATTCTGTGTGTGTTTATCAGGAAGTAATCATGACTTTGTTTTGGACATATTTTTTTAGCACCTTAACAATCACAACAGTCCTTATCCCAATTTCCTTCCATCTTCTGCCATGTCATCTTTATCTGCCTCCATTTCATGTTTGAATACAGAATTTCCCTTATATATATATATATATATATATATATATATACACACACACACATATGGGATTCAGCCCATTATCTTTGTGCAAAAGTGTTTTAATGAATACTTATAGACGTATAAATACCTTGCTTGTAGTTAAACTTTGTTTTATTTTCTAAATGCTTTCCATCACATTCTATTTTATAGGTCCAATCCTTTATAGACTGGTATACTTTTTATGAAATATGAAATACCTAGCAAGTGTTTTTCCTGTTTTTCTCTCATAGACTCTTGATTGTTATGACTGTGGAAGCATAACATGTCATTTCTTTGTGTGTCACAAAATAAACCCTGCTCATTTAAGCAGTTGGATAGCAGTTAAATACTTTCTCTGAAAACCACCTTTTGAAACGGTTAATAGCCCAGCTTTTGCCTGCAGGATCCCCGTTGTGGGCAGGTACTCTCTCTCTCTTTGCAGAGCACACGACTAGCATTGAATGTGCTGAAATAAATTCGATTTTACATCTAAGTACTCGAACATAGTATTTACATAAGTACATACTGAAGGCACAATGTACCTCAGCTCATAGAGAGATATTATCATTTATTTCATAGTACTTTTTGTAGTTTTGTTTTTCATTTATTTTATTTTGTGTCAACGTTGATCATTTTATACATGTTTTCTATTTTTATGTTTGCCTGATAATCTGGTAAACTCTTGGTACTCAGAGCAGAACCTGCAGCAGAGAAGGGACTGTATGAGAAATTGAAACGGTCGTATCCTTTTATGTGGAGTTTGGTTGAAATTAAACGTATTAACTGATAATTCCAGCTGTTTGATATTGGCCCATCTACTAAGACTTAATTGTGGTAGGTATAAGTGATTAAATCCAAAGGCAGTTAGAAAAATAAGAAGCTTTTGGTAGAATTTGAGGGCTACCTGGTCAAGCATGAAAGGCAAATGATTTATATTTTCACATGGTTTCGTTTATACTGTGCTATAACCCTTTCAGGCCATTGCACTTTTTTTTCACAGATTATCTCCAACTCTGTCCTTTTACACAACAGCAAAAAAAAATCCTGTTTTAAAACCTTGAGCATTAGCAATGTTTAACCCAGATTACATTGTGGGGTTTACAGATCCCAATATAAACCTCCTAAACGGCTACAAAGGGTAAATTAACTTTTTTTTCTCAGAATATGTTCCTATCCTGTGATTGTAACATGTCAGTATTACAGAAATTTTCTCATTAAGATTAAATTGGGTTTAATCATTTTAAGTATCCTGATATTCCATTACATAAAATGAGGTGATTTTTAATATACCATTTGTTTTTACAGTTTAAAGGGAATATTTGATGAAGATTCTTCTCTGCTATAATCAGAGATATTTTGCTATATCCCATTATATAGTTTAGAGAGTGTTTCATGATATATTTTCATGAATTGATCCTTAGCAAAGTATAGGATAGATGATTAGCCTAGCATGTATGTTTTTAGATAATACTTGGAAGCTAAAGTACAAGAAAACTTGATAACAATGTGCCTGAAACACTTTATCTGCAAGAAATGTATTAGCCCTATAATTTTAACGAATATGATTTATGATTTTCATTGTGTAAAAAAAGCTGCTGTCACCTTCTTTTCAATCACCAATAAAAGAAAACATCTACAAATATGAAAAATATAAATGTTGCTGTTTCATCCAAAAGATATCGCTTTAATCTTAAGGGTCTATGGCAGTACTTTGGGGTTGTTCTCTAAAACATTAACACCAAATGTGGGGAATACATTTAGAACATCTCTGAGCGGGAGTAAAGGCATCTTAGGATGGGAAGCTACATTTAGTTATTGTTGTGATGGAAAGTTCACGCGCATGTTAGATGTCTGCTGTAACTTAGTCCTGCTAGATTGTCACTTAGCTTTGGCTACTAGACGTTGTTGATACAGTAATATTGGATTGTGAAGAATTAAATTATACAAACAATCTGCCTAAAAAGAGCTCTGGATCTCTTTGTTTTTATGTTCCTGTCACTCACTCTATCTTTTGTCACATAGGTTTTATGAAGAAAGCTCTTTTTACAAAAGTGGTGTTTCCTTTATTGAATAAACAGGTTTTTTTTTTTTCTAAATTCACAGTTAATATTTACATTTTTTTTTTATAATCGTGTTTTAATTATACTTGTCACAAGTTTGCAAAACATCATTAATAAATAAGAATTCAAAATGCTCTTATTTTTAAAATGTATGGTTTTATTTTACATAAGAAACTGTAGTTTCCTTTAAATAAAATTATGCTGCGGTTGTTTGATCTTCACCCTTAGGTGATGGAAGTTACACCCCACGACAGTTGTTTTTTGTTTTTTTGTTTTTTTACATAGTAGTCTAGATTTATTTTTATTCTTTGAAAGAATAAAGACAAAGTTGAGCAGCCACAACTCTGACCTTTGGTCCTCTTCTATTCACCAGGTTATGCAATGGTCTCAGCGGTACGCCCAGATCTCCAGGTGCTTGCGACCCTCTCTCGTGTGTTCGGGCTCTCTTCCCTCTGCCATACAGCTGAGGTGGCTGTAATTTCCCTACTGGCCAGCACTCCCTAAGAGGCCAAGATTGCCAAGATCTGCCCTGTGGCGAGCATGACGGCCACCACGCGTGGCTCTCCGGTGGGGGGCAATGACAGTCAGGGCCAGGGCCAGGCACCTGATGCTCAGAGCCAACCCCCACTGCCACAGAACCAGGTTGGTAACCTTTTTTTTTTTCCCTCTACACTGTATCACACTTATGTAAATGGCTACACAATGTTCGTTTTGTCTTATTGTTAGCCAGTAAAGTATTTTTTTTTCTTTTTAAATCTGTTTTGCTTTTATCACAGCAACACTGAGATATCAGTGGGGAGCGAAAGGGTGGAAAAAGGGAACGGAAAAGAGAGAGCAAGGAGGCAGTGAATGAATAGACTCCAGAGTGATAATTACAGGGTGTGTGTGTGTGTCTTTTTGCGTGTACACATGCAGGCCTGTGATGGTTAGAGATGAGCTGTGTTGAGATGCGAGAGGCAAGCTGCCTATGTAGGTCAGCCAAGTAGAAGAAGCCTTAACCATACTCCCCCACATTTTATATTTCTCAGATATGGATTCCTCTCAACATCTATCCTTCTTTTCCTTTATGTTACACATTTCATTCTCATTACTGTTGTTAGCAATAAGAAACAGAGGGAAATTCATTCTGCCCTCATCTCTTTATAAGATGAAATACTCCCACACTAGTAGATTTCTACTCTTAACATGTTATTCTATGCTCTATTTTCTGAGGGTCAGCAGGGTTACATGAGCATTGATCTGTTTTGCAAACGCTATAGGTTGGAAGAATTGGCAGGTATTGTTATAAAGGCTTTTTAGGAAAGTCACCTGTGTCTTTGTAGCTGTATGTTTGTTCAGCTACTCAGCAGGACAATAGAAACCCTACCACAAAGCCAGTCTTTTCACTGGCCTCCATATGATCCTTTTTTTCACTTTTTTTTTTTTTTGCTGTTTTAGGCTAAAAATCAAATCTTATAGCAGTTTTTTTAAGAAATGTAAATAACCCTGCATTGTGTCATTAGAAAGGAGGTGTTACTCGGTCTGTTGTAAAGTTGTATGTCGTTTTAGCAGTTTAACTAAAACAGAGCTACCTTAGTCTGATCATGTGGAAAGATCCAGAGATCTTTAGGTTCTGTTAAAGTCCCACTTAAAGGTTTGGTACTTTTAAATTTTTATGTAACCTTTATTATGCAGGTAACCTCCAGATTCTTTAGGAGGCAGGTCTTGATGTTTTTTTCTTTACCTAAACCGCTGTATGTATGGTGGGTTTTCCCACACTTTCAGTATGCTAGTGCTTAGATACTATCCTAACTCTGAGAGCTTCAGTTTGGTTAAGCTATTTAAAAGTTGTAAAAGGTTAATTCATAAAAAAAAAAATCACTTATTTTTAGCTGACATTCTGGGTTTTATGTAGTTTTTTTTTTTTTGTAGATATTTCTAAAAGGCTATAATTGAGTTTTATGCATGATTCTGCTGTGAGTAATCTTTACAGTCTGTCTGAGACTTTTTTTATGTGTATTAGACTGCAATGACTAAAACTAGGAGCTTTTATTGTGATATAAGTTTTGCACATAATCTGTGGTATGAAGATTATTTTGGGTAAATGTGACTAAGCTGCACAGAGCCTTTGTCCTGTCATAAAGAACATGTTTGGGTTGAATTAGAGCGGATGCTGTCATTCTGGTTTCATCAGCTATGAACCAACCCTCCAAACCTTTAGGAAGATGTTTACATGATACTTTTAGTTACTGTCTATTGGAACAGAATGTCCATCAACAATATAAACCTTATAGATTTGAATGTGTTCTTATCAAAGGTCTTCTACATTTAAAAGACGTCAAAAATCTTTGGGAATGTTGTGTATCTTGGTTGGAAGATATTTTCTGATATGGTGCGTTTGAATCAGATCATGGCCTTTTCAGTTTTTCCATGATTTGTGTTTCCTGTTGTAGGATTTTTGACTTTATTTTATTCCTGCCTTTGGGTTCTAATGACAAAAGATTAGAAAAAAAAATGTCTTTAAAGGTTTGAGCTGATTTTTGTTGGGTATATTGGTGTATCAGAATTTAGAGGTAAAGATTAACAAACCACCAGCTTTTTCCTCTAATATTTAGGTTAAAAGGATCCACCCATGATGCTCTGGTTGTCATATTTGCTACATGAAGGATGTATTTTACCATTTGTGAAAATGGCTTACATTTAATTATCTTCTTTTCCCCCCAGACTTCATCCCCTAATTCATCTAATGAGAACTCACCTGTTAGCCCACCAGAAGAGCAGGGCCAGGGCGGGGGACCCCCCCAGCTGGAAGAAGAAGAGCCTGCCTTTCCTCACACTGACTTGGCAAAGCTTGATGACATGATTAACAGGTATTTAGTCATATGCATGATCGGATTTTTCAATCTTCAGTCATACACCCAACTCCACCTCTGCATAAAAGCAATCGTTCAACATTAAAAATGTTTTGCTGCAGTTTTCAAATCTCCATCCGGTTATTCCATGTTATTTCAAACTGAGCTTGTTAACATTTTTATTTAACTCAAAACCTTTTCCTGAACAGACTTATAGATATTTATGTAAATAAATCCTAGTTTAAATTCTATTTTAAAGGAACATATTAATATATTTTAACCTGTGCGCACTTATAACGATAAGCGCCCTTATCAGAATGAAAGGGATTTGGATGCAGCTGAACAATTTTTATTGAACCTAAATGGTTTTATATCATCCATTCTGTATTTATTAATGCTGATTCATCTTTTCCTTTCAAAGGCCTCGATGGGTGGTTCCAGTTTTGCCAAAAGGAGAGTTAGAAGTCCTCTTGGAAGCTGCTATAGACCTCAGTAAAAAAGGTAGGAATTGGCAAAATGTTAATTTCTCTTCACGTTTTTTGTGGCTTCTACTTCCATTCTCTTTAGCAGTAACTTAATTTTTAATAATGTCGGGGTACAAATCATTATGTAAATATACACCTCATTTTGGGGAATTCTCGCCAATTTTGCCTACCCAAATGGTAAAGCAAATAACTAAGGAATTGTAAGCCCAAATTACACGGGTGATACGTTATTTGAAAGCTAACACCTTCTAGTTTCTGAATATGTACATGAAAATTAGGATGAGTAAAACACCCAAGCTGCATCAGTTCAAACAAGACTCAAAGTTGTTTCTTTTTATTCTTAAAATGAATAGTTATTTTTTTTGTCAGCAATAATAAAGACATGCTTGCTTGTTGTGGCTGCTTTGTCATGCTACATTTCAACATGCTGCTATAAATGTGGTTTGGTGCTCGCTATGTCCATAAAATGAACTATGTGGTTGAACTGTGGAGAATCTAAGCTTTCCAACAATGTCTAATGGCTATATTCGTAAACATTTGACAGCGTCATTTTCATGCATTCTGAGTTATTAATCCATCCATTTTCTGGCACGCTTAATCCCAAGCGGGGCCGCAAGAGGGTGCTGGTGCCTATCTCCAGCTGCCTACGAGCGAGAGTTATTATTTTAAATGCTTCAAAATAATCGTTTTGAGAGATTAAATTGGGAATTTGAAATAAAAGGCAGTGACTTTGCTTTAAAGATATTTTGCTATCTTTCTGATGACTTTTAGTAGTTGATGAAAAAAAGAACGTATAGGAACTATTGTTTGTTTTAAAAGTATTGTGCATAGACAAATGTTGCTCTGAACAGGAGAACACAAATATCATCAGGCTTCAAGCTTTCCATATTAAAATTGTTTTTTTGTTGTTTTTTTTCTTAACCTTGATAGATAATTGGGTGAGGGAGATGTACAAACATAGCAGCTACTTGAGTAAGATTCTGGGTAGAGTCTTGAAGTAGTTAATGCGTATTTTTAAGTATAAGTGCTGGCAAGGTTTGCTACTTAATGTTCTTCTTTTACTATAAACTCTCCTGTCGATACAATGCTAATGCACACAGGCATTTAATATCAACCTAAAAGCAACCAATTCCTTTTGGAAAGGAAACTACAAAATCTTATTTTGGGAATCAAGTCCTGTGCCTGACGGTGAACTGAGTAGACATCCCCTACATCCCTGCTCTCATTCCAAACCAAAGTCACTGCTCTTTGTTTTCATTTGGCAGCACATTACACCGTCTTACTGGTGTAATGGAGACACGGACAGGAAGACAGAAAATCATCATTTTAAGAATGGCATTGATCTTTATTATAGGCTTTAAAGGTTTAGGTTTTAAAATTTAAACAGTTTAAGAGAAAAAAAAAAGATTATATTTTTTTAATCCTAAAAAGTAGGTCCACATATAAAATGAAGTTTTTGTATAAAACACTTGATTAACTAACAGGTATCTCCTCTTAAAGCAGTTGGAAAGAAGACAGTTTTCAGCCACTGTGTTGTAAAATCAATTTAAGTCAATTCTGCTTACTAAATATTCTGTGTCCGGGTTTGAAATTGAATAGAAATATTTCTAAGAAATATTTGGGAAAGCAAAGTCCTTGGAAGAAAAAAAGAGGGGATTTACAATAACGGTGGCTGCAGCCCTGACCTGCTGCTTCATGCTGCTGAAACCCAATTAGTTTCTGCAGAACATAGAAAGGCTTTCATATGTAAAAAAAAAAAATTCAGTTTTTCCCCATCTATTGAACAAAAACATTTCTCTGGAAGATTAGAAAAAAACTGCACATAACGAGGACCTGAATTCAAAGCATTTGGTTCATCCCCATTTCCTTAAACGCTATTTGTATTAGTATTATTTATTCTTTTTTTTTTGTTGACACAAAGCCTGTCTAAGAAAGTGAGCTAAATGTTTACATTGAAAAATATGGTTTATTATAATTTTTTTATTATTATTTCAATCTTACAGGACTGGATGTGAAATGTGAGGCATGCCAGAGGTTTTTCAGGGATGGTCTGACCATTTCCTTCACAAAAATCCTGACGGACGAGGCGGTCAGCGGCTGGAAGTTTGAGATACATGTGAGTGTTCATCGCTTCTCCATCTTTATAGAAATCTATAAATCTTTGATGTTCAAAATGGAGTACCTCTTATATGTTCGAAGACTATATCCTTGAATATTCAGTTTTCTGTAAAGTTTTGGAAGATCGGTGGAGAGACGGCAGAATGAGCAGTGATCAATAATCCTATTGTTAGAAAAACGCGAGTTTGGCTTTTCTCTTTGCTTGATTGATTTCTGGAACCCCAGAGGCTTTGATGGAAGTGGTTTTTGTTTTTGTCTTTTGCTTCACTTAAAACAATCTTGACTTTTTCATTTAAAAGTGCATTGAAGCTTAATATTAACTTATCATTGACCGACACCGGGTCCTGCCTTAGCTTATCGATTTAAGTTTTCAACAACCTCCCTGTGATGTTGTCATGAATAAGTGATATTAAGAGCACATGTTTGGTTTCTTTAAACATGCTAAACAGTCATATTAAAATATAGATGAGTAAGGGTATAGGGATTTGTTTTCGGGGTAAATAAATACTGAAATTATTAAAGGTAGAAGAGCCTGTTGTGTTATTACTAGAGAAAATGAACTGCAGGTGTTTTTTTGAGGATGCGTTTAGGCTTCCAAGACAGACAGCTGAAAGTCAGATGTTTGAGCGTGTGAAACAGAAACAAACTTGGCAAATACAAGCGATTCTCATCAGTCAAGCTAAATTTTTGTTCAAGGAATTTTGGACAATTGTTTTCGCTGAGTGTTTTATTTATGTCCTCCTTTCTGTCTCACAGAGGTGTATCATTAATAACACACACCGTTTGGTGGAGCTGTGTGTGGCCAAGCTCTCTCAGGACTGGTTCCCACTGCTGGAGCTGTTGGCCATGGCCCTTAACCCCCACTGCAAGTTCCACATTTACAATGGCACACGGCCCTCTGAGACCGTCCCAGCTGGAGCACAGCTGGCTGATGACGAGCTCTATGCCCGTCCTCCTGACCCTCGATCCCCCAAGGTAAAATACCATGGATGTGAATGGAACTCGGACTTATTTAATCAAATAATGCTTTAGTCTTGTTTGTACTTTATTTCCGTGTTATAGAAAAACTTTTCTGATCTAAAACAAACAAAGAAATGTAGTTTGGCTCAGCTTCTGGCTAATTGGTCATCTTCCCTGTCTGTGATGAAGGTGGTTAAGTGGCTCGACTAAAAGCATCATAAAAGGAAAAAGTTTACTTCTTTGTAAACAAAAACACTCCTGACATTAAAGCTCATCTTAGAGAAATTCTTGTAACACAGTGGAAGAATCTGGATCCATCAGGGAGTTGAAATTGCACTGTGTGAATGAGCACTGAGTCTAGTGTGGGCTCAGGGTCATTGTGAGCAGTACTGCAGCACTGCTCGCCTGTCTGGCTCTGTTGGCACAAAGCCCATCACTATGCTGAGCTCTGCCTCTGCTCTGGTTCTGCTAGTCTGTGTAGATTTGATATTTCATCAGTTATTTAAAAAGAAATACTGCCAAAATGTTTATTTACAGTTGTTTCCCTATTAAGACTTCTGTTCTTCTTGCAGCATATTTCATTATATGCTTCTTTTGCTTTTTGCATTGAAGCTTAAAAATTATAGAAAGCCTTTCATGATTAAAGTTAAATTAAGCTTGTTAGTAAAAAATGATGACAATCAATAGACTAACCTTTAATGTTAACAGTGCATCTTTTGTTCCCAGGGCTGGCTGGTTGATTTAATAAACAAATTTGGCACGTTAAACGGGTTTCAAATTTTGCACGAGCGCTTCATGAGTGGCCAAGCACTGAACGTCCAGATCATTGCTGCACTTATCAAGTAAGAAATCCAGATTATTTCCACATCTGTCTGATATATTTTTTTCCCCCTTTTTTCAAAAGAACCATTATGCAATTTTAATAAAATTCTGTGTATAATCGGTGTGACCTGATCTCCCTTTGTGTTGCAGGCCTTTTGGCCAGTGTTATGAGTTCCTCACATTGCACACAGTGAAGAAGTACTTCCTTCCAGTCATCGAGATGGTTCCTCAGTTTCTAGAGAATCTCACGGACGAAGAGCTGAAGAAAGAGGCCAAGAATGAAGCAAAAAACGACGCACTGTCAATGATAATCAAGTCTCTGAAGAATCTGGCTTCCCGTGTACCAGGGCAGGAGGAGACTGTGAAGAATTTAGAGATTTTTAGGTTAAAAATGATTCTTAGGTGAGTAATAATTAGTCGTTTTTAGAAACTTTATTTGATCTGTTAAAAATGAAATGGGAATTTACATTTTTTTTTTTGTTTTCAATAGGTTATTACAAATTTCTTCTTTTAATGGCAAAATGAATGCACTAAATGAAGTTAACAAGGTGATCTCAAGTGTCTCCTACTACACTCATCGGCATAACCCAGAGGAGGAGGAATGGCTGACGGCGGAGCGCATGGCGGTGAGCACAGGCTCTACGGACCTACATCTGCGGCTGTTTTTTTCCCTAAAACTTTTTATGTGAACTGATTTTTCTCATGTCGATCTCTTCTTGCAACAGGAATGGATCCAGCAAAACCACATCCTTTCTATTGTGCTTAGGGACAGTTTGCATCAGCCGCAGTACGTTGAGAAGCTGGAGAAGATCCTTCGCTTCGTTATAAAAGAAAAGGCTCTAACCATGCAGGATTTGGACAACATCTGGGCTGCACAGGTGCTGCTCTGTCACCAACTGTGTTTTAGTTGACTTTTATACAAATTTAATAAGCTGTGCTTAGAGAGCCGCCAGTCTGAATTTTGTACTGGGTTCCTGACCTGTTTTTGTTATGTTTTGATCTAATAACGTTAATTCATGTTTCTCTTGAATTATAGAAAAAAGAAAATACAGAAAACACTTTAAAATATCTAGCCTTCCTGCTAAAAGTGAGCTTGAAGCATTCAAGCTCACTTTTTCCATTTCATTTTTTCCATATCATTTCAGTGAGCTTGAAGCATTCAAGCTCACTTTTTCAATGATAAGTGTGACTAATAGCCATAGTCTCCTTGCTGTTCTTTCCACGTGCAATGCACATGTTCCAATGATTTGGCTGTTAAATAAACTGTCACTATCAATCATTCAGTCACGTTAAGTCCTGTGTTATTGTGAGAAAAGGCTATCTGAGCATTTCAATTGTTTGCCTTTGGAGTAGAAGGTCAAATTTACTCAAATACTGTTTTAAAGTGTGAGCTAATGTTAGCAATAATGGCAGTTTTGGAGCAGATTATTTCCCAACTCCCTACTTCGCAATTGGAAGCAAAAATGTAAATAGTTAAGAAATTAAATCATGTAAAACATCCATTTATAATCCTTTTGGATAATGTTTCAAAATGTTCTATAATGTCCGTTTGCAGGCTGGTAAGCATGAGGCCATTGTGAAGAACGTCCATGATCTCCTGGCCAAGCTGGCATGGGACTTCTCACCTGAGCAGCTGGATCATCTTTTTGACTGCTTCAAGGTATTGCTCACAGAAAATCTAGTGTTTTCATTGTCTTTGTTGAAATTAAAGGCCTTGCTTCATTACATTCAACAATCTGATCAATCCTAACCACTGTTCTGCTCTATTTCTCCTCTTTTTTTTTTTATTATTTATTTTTTTTATTTTTTTTAGGCAAGCTGGACCAATGCTAGCAAGAAACAGAGGGAAAAACTGCTTGAGCTTATCCGGCGCTTGGCAGAGGATGATAAGGATGGTGTAATGGCCCATAAGGTCCTCAACCTGCTCTGGAACCTGGCGCACAGTGATGATGTCCCTGTAGACATCATGGATCAGGCTCTTAGCGCTCACATCAAGATCCTGGACTACAGCTGCTCACAGGTACTTGTTAATTTTTCCTGGTGAAGATTTATGAATGCCCACACATATGCTAAACATGGATGTTTTCCCCCACAGGACAGAGACACGCAAAAGATTCAGTGGATTGATCGCTTCATAGAAGAGCTTCGTACCAATGATAAGTGGGTTATCCCTGCCTTGAAGCAAATCAGGGAAATCTGTAGCCTCTTTGGGGAAGCTCCTCAAAACCTCAGGTAAATCCAAGTAAACTTCTCTCATATCAGTAGGCAGTAGTTTTGTCTTAATACAGCAGTAAAAAGTTGGGTTTATTTTAAACTTTCATAAATCCAATGGGATACAAAAATCCCATTGATGTTTGTATCACCTCCATGGGCTCACCAAGGTGGTTTTGTACTTTGTTTATAAGAAAATGGCTCTAAATATTTATTTTTTTGGTCAGATAAGTCAAAGCTTTTGACTTTAATTTGACCGTTTATGAATAGCGTTTAACAAGAAAGATATCTTCTTTCCTTATAATATCTTTCAGTTAGTCAAACTGAATCTTTCTAGCATGATCTTTAATAATGGAGCCATTGCTGTTTATCAACTAAATCCCTTTAGTAAAAGCCCAAGTATTAAAAAAAGCCTTTACTTCTACATACAAATTACCAGTGACCCACCTCATTTTTCCTGAATTTTATTTTGTTTTTGCTCCTCTGTCAAATAAAGCCTAAATTGAAATCTGTCATTCAGTTATGTTATTGAACCTACCTTTTTAGCAGAAGACCAAACCATTTTGAAGTTGGACTTAACCTAAGAATGTACACAGATCTAATTGTTTTAAAGTAATAAATCACTATTTTAGTCATTGTAGAAACTATGTAGCAGACATCCCTGTTGTTTTTCCAGAAAGAAAATGCCAATTAACATACAAACGAACTTAGTGGGGTAAGTCGTTATGCCAATTCTAGGGTTCTTCCTGTTTCCTTTGTTACACCAAGCCTATCTTTCTCTTTGAACATATTTACAATGCTACAAAACTACATCAAATATAAATCTTTGCCACGAATCACTTTAAACGGTTCTTCTCTGGGTTTCATCTCAAATGACTGTTTATGAAACCAGGAAATTCACATTTGGTGTGAAGTTCAGGTAAAACAGGAATAAACACATGGACGTGTCTGGATTTAAAGAAATGATGGTAGACAATAGGTTTAAGGAGTAATGTTAATCATAACCCAAAAAAAAGAAGGAATTGGTTGCTGCTTTTATTATTCAATTTTTTCAATTTGCATTTTGTTTCGTTTTCATTTATAACTTTAGATACCTGACTCCAACTTTTTTTCTGCTTGTATTTCATGTTCTTTAAGAGTTGTTAGTCAGGATTAGGCACATTCTTAAGTTCTTCCTAATGAAATCCAGCAGGCTGTCATTTCCTGCGGATGAGCAGAGATGTTGGTGTTAAAAAAGAAACATTTAAATAACCAATGTATTTAGTGATGGAAAATTCTAATAACTATTTCTTACCAGTTACTGAAAGAATCCGTTTGGAAACCAAATAACATGTTCAATTGGAAAATAGGAATGTTAGCCAGATCATATCAGTACATGGGATTTGCCTGTGTTCATCATATTACCTGGCAGCAAATATTTTCACATAAAACAGCATTTTGGCAGCATTTGATATTGTGAAATTTAAGCTAATTCGTCCTTTTAGGTCACTGTTTTCTGGTCTTTATTAAAACGTCTTTTGAGATAAAGCCCTTCTATTTCTCCAGCCATTTCCTTTCACTTCAAATCATTCAATGCCATGTATTGAGGAGATTTCATGCCTTGGTTTTCAGCTTCCTGGAATGCCCCCATGGTGTCGCCACTTTGTTTTAAAGAACGATTGGATATTATATTGCAAACCACTTTGTGCGGTTAACTTGTAAAATTATTTCCCATGTTTTTGTCATCTATTTGATCTAAAACTGCCTGAATTAAAGGCTCATATCATTAAGTTTATTTGGGGAGACAAGGCAAGAAATCTCTTTTTTTGATACGACCTCTCTGCTGGTTTTATACGCAAATATAAAGAAACAGTGAAGAAAAGTTACTTTCTTTTCATTGTGCTCTATACCCAATGACAAATCAGGGTAAAGTTTGTTTTTTTTGTTTATATCAATCAGGTTGTATGAAACGTTTTTAAACTTGGTTCTACTGTCAGTTTTGCTTTGTGTTTTCTAGCTTTCTTACCTGCTGTTTGTGTTTACAAATCCACCACTTCTGTTGCTGCTTTGTTTCAGTCAAACGCAGAGAAGTCCCCACGTGTTTTACCGCCACGATCTGATAAACCAGCTGCAGCACAACCATGCGCTAGTCACCTTGGTGGCCGAGAACCTCTCGGCCTACATGGAGACCATGAGGCAGTTGTCTAAAGGTAGCTAAAAAGTCTAATTTTCCTAGATGGGGAAAGCATATCTTAAAGTATTTATAAAGTTTGATTTTTTTGCATTTGTGGGTTTTTTAGAAGAACAAGCCGAGTTTGACCCTCAAACGGTCCGACCAGGAAGCCGTTACAGTCACGTCCAGGAAGTGCAGGAGCGACTTAATTTCTTGAGGTTGGTCTTTTAAGCACATCAGTCTCAGTGTAACAAGTTATTCACTGAAAAAAGTGGGAGAAAATACATGAACTAAAAATGAATCAGGCATGGTAATATCTATCTTTGTAATTAATGGTTGCCTTTCTACCTGTCTGTTATCATGGGGTAGATTCAAAAACTCTTAATTTCACCAAAGAATATTTTGTACTTCTCTTTATCCTTTAGGGAATCGTTTTCCACTATTGATTTTTGTTTCTCATTTCCAGGTTTCTGTTGAAAGATGGCCAGCTGTGGCTTTGTGCTCCTCAGGCTAAGCAGATCTGGAAGTGTCTAGCTGAGAACGCAGTGTTTCTCTGTGACCGTGAGGCCTGCTTCAAATGGTATTGCTTTACTCAGCTATTTTGATCTTTGCTGTATGATTTTATCCTGGGATAATTTTCGCTAAATGCTATTATTTACTCTTATTTAAAAGGTACTCGAAGCTAATGGGGGATGAACCCGACCTGGATCCAGACATCAACAAGGACTTCTTTGAGAACAATGTGTTGCAGTTGGATCCATCCCTTCTCACAGAAAATGGCATGAAGTGCTTTGAGAGGTTCTTCAAGGCTGTCAACTGCAGGGAGGGCAAGCTGGTAGCCAAACGCAAGGCCTACATGATGGATGACCTGGAGCTAATCGGCTTGGACTATCTGTGGAGGGTAAGGAGGGAAGCTGACGTGATTGCAGATAAATGGTTCTGTGTTTATCTCCCTGCTTATATTAATTTAAATAATCAAAAAAATGCTTTGCTATTTAAGCACCTAGAACACCATCTGTCTCTTAAGCTAATGTTAAAGGGGTCATAGAATCCAAAACCAAGTTTATATAGTCATAGATATTAACGATAGTAATAACAATAGTTCAGTAGGTGAAATAGACGTACAGAGAAGTTCAAACCCTATCAACGCCTCCTTTCTCCACAAATCTCACAATTCTAAACTTCCACCATAAACCAGGGGAATTCTAACGAAGCAATTTGGAGATGGTGCGTTATTTGTTTATGACCTGTACTTTTGTTACACCCCGAAATTGACATACAGACCAGCCCACTGGTTCACTGGCCCAAGAACATGAATAGAGGTAGATGTAAGACACCAGTTTAGCTGTTTAGCTACAGTTTGGTTTACTTCTACAAGAATTACAAAGCAGGCAGTTTCTCTATTGAAAATGAGCTGGAACCACGGGCATAAATGCAGTGTTCCAGGCTGCACAGAGAAAGGGGAACATTTTCAGTCTCCCCAACGATCCGAAGACTCGACGGGCATGGATTATTTTTGTTTATCAGAAGATCCCTGCAAAGGTTGATGCTCAGCTGTTCATTTGCTCTGAGCATTTTACCGAAGACAGCTTTCAGAATCTTAGACAGTTTAAAGCAGGATTTGCTAAACTTCTTTTAGTGAAACGAGGGGCTGTTCTGACTGTAAGGCCATCATCACTGCAAGCTAGTATTATTTAGTCGCTAAGCTGTTAATAGCAATGCTAGTATATCTATGGTGACCAGATTTGGGTTTCTGAAAAGGAGGGCACTTTTTTTTTTTGGGAGGGGGCTGCTTGGCCGCTGACTGCACCGGGCATTCAAACCGAGCCATCAGCTCCAGGCCGGGTCCGGGAACCCCAGCGGATGGGGGCAGGGAGCCAGCAGGGGATAGAGCAACTGAACCAGACCCGGTGACGGTATGCTTCCCCCCGCTTGCCTTACCGTGCTTCCCCTCCGCCTGCCCGGTGGCAGGGTCGGGTTCGGTCTCTACGTCCCTCGCTGGCTCCCTGCACCGGACCAGCCCCGGAGCTCACGACTCGGTTCTGCTGTACTGTAGTCGACCAAAATCCCGGACGATTTTGAAATTCCCCCCGCATATTTCTTTAGGTATGAAAAGTAGGACATATCCGGGAAAAAGAAGACGTCTGGTCACCCTACCATATCAACAATTTGATGTTTCAGTGAGTGGGTGCTTGTTGCTATGATGCGTCTTTGGTCAGCAGCTTCGCTCGTTGTAAACCAACCAATCAGTGTACAGCTCATCTAAATATTCATGAACATACCATAAAAGGAAATAAAACATGTTGTTTCATTCTAAGGCTTTTAACCAGGCTTATATTAGGGCTCATAGAACAGCAAATATGCAATTTTTAGCCCAACTAATGTTACACACCCGATTCAGAGACCTTAAGGACCAGCATCAAACACCCTATATAATCATTCAATGACCCCTTAAATGTTGGATTTCAAATGACTGGTTATTATTAGCCGTTTTTTACCTCTGTACAGTCAAAGTGAGTTTGGTGCATTGCACTCAGTGCTTTATTTAAGCATTATAGTTTTCTCATTAGATGAGGAATTCAAGGTGAATTGTTAGGTGTTATCTTCTGAATTATTTTGCTTAGAACTGTAGAAACTATCAAATATTGAGGTGTAACAAGAAATTTAGCTCAGACGGCTTGACAGTGTTCACATGATACTGGCATGCCGTTAACTTTTTCATGAACACAAACACCCATTTAATTTAATAAAAAGAACTGTCTGATGGTGATCTAGTTTTATTAAACCAGAGACAGCCCTCGAGCACTGAATCAGAGGCTACAAATCAGATTATATTGCGGTTTTTATCCTTGTTCCAATTAGTGAGACAAGGATAAAAAAAGCCAAAGGCAGTCATTTTAGCAGAAGAATACAAGTCTCAAAAATGTTCTAATGATGGTTATCCACCCTTTGGTTTATTTATATAAGGAGGCTTCTAATAATCAGGAGTCTTTTGTCATCAACAAAGTTAACATGCAGATAAAATTAAACGTTTATAGAGTCATATCCTCCTTCCAGTAAATCTCGGCTCAGTGGCGTACACCACAGATCAAATGAGAGAATTGTCTACGTCAAAAACCAGTTCGCACAGTACTAGCCACAGTACTAGCCGCTATCCTCGACTGATACAGAGGGTCAGCTTTTGCTTTTTTCTCAGGCTCATAATAGCTTGGATTTAATATCTTTACTCTGGTATAGTTAAGCTTCTAAGAAAGTCTTTCAGTGAATGTATGAACCGAGGCCTGCAGCTCCTAGTTCACAACTAATGCCATCTGACTTGCTTTCCTCCTCCTCTACTCTTATCCAGGTGGTAATTCAAGGAAGTGACGATATTGCAAACCGAGCCATAGACCTGCTTAAAGAGATCTACACCAATCTGGGACCAAAGCTTCAAGTCAACCAGGTACCGGAACCACTTCCTCTGACTTTGTTTGAATAACCATTTCCTGTAGAAAATAGATGATGATCATTAGGCTAGTATTTATGCCCTTTCCCTCGTCTCTTTGCTCAGGTTGAGATTCATGAGGATTTCATCCAGTCCTGTTTTGACCGTCTGAAGGCGTCCTATGACACTCTCTGCGTGTTGGACGGAGACAAGGACAGCATCAACTGTGCTCGGCAAGAGGCCATCCGTATGGTGCGAGTTCTCACTGTGCTTAAGGAATATATCAATGAGTGCGACAGTGACTACCACGAGGAGAGGACTATACTGCCTATGTCAAGGTACAATGGGAATGAGATTCTTATCCCTGGAGTTGGACAGTATATCACTATTAACACGTGTATTTTGATTATTTTTTTTTTTTCTTAGGTTCCTGTTATAATTTAAAACATTTGTTTCTTAAATGTTCTATTGAATATCTGTCTCTTGTTTTGTCATGCAGAGCTTTCCGGGGCAAGCATATCACATTGATTGTCCGCTTTCCAAACCAAGGACGTCAGGTGGATGATTTAGACATCTGGTCACACACCAATGACACTATCGGTTCGGTCAGGCGGGGAATCCTAAACAGAATAAAGGCCAACGCTGCACACACAAAGATTGAGCTGTTTATAGGCGGGGAGGTCGTCGATCCTGCTGATGACAGGAAGCTGATTGGACAGCTGAACTTGAAGGACAAAACGGTGAGTGTGCATCTCCTACTCAAACGCTCCTAGCTCCTCAGCCATCGTTAACTAAACCACATTTATGTTGCCTTACACAGCTGATCACGGCCAAGCTGACCCAGGTGAGTGCCAACATGCCCTCGAGTCCTGACAGCTCATCTGACTCATCCACTGGCTCCCCTGGTAACCACGGGAACCACTACAGTGATGGGCCTAACCCAGAAGTTGAAAGTTGTCTTCCTGGGGTGGTGAGTGTTCAGACTGTCGAACCATGCAGTGATAACTTCACCCTAAAACGTCATGAGGCCTTTAGAAGTATACGATCAGAAACATTTTGCTCTGATTTGCAGATTATGTCGCTACATCCGCGCTACATCTCCTTCCTGTGGCAAGTAGCCGATCTTGGCTGCAACCTTAACATGCCTCAACTTAGAGATGGAGCTCGAGTCCTCATGAAGCTCATGCCTCCAGGTAAATACACACTGACGTAAAGGGTCACTTCTACATCTCAAGCTGACACATGTTCAGCAAAACACATTTTTTTCCTTTTTTTATCTCATGGCTTTGTTGTTTATTTCTGTGTACACAGATAACACCACAGTGGAGAATCTCCGAGCTGTGTGTCTGGACCACGCCAAGCTTGGGGAGAACAGCCTGAGTCCTTCACTGGACTCCCGTTTCTTCGGACCCTCACCTTCACAAGTGCTCTACCTCATTGAGGTAAGGTTGAGTATACATTTATGTGACAAAACAAATTTGTTATGCACTGATCAAGGTCAGAAATCTGTTGATTCCAGTTTTTCTTGAAGAGCTAACAGTCGGTAGAGAATCAGGAAAAAAAGCTTTATTGCTAAACAGTACATGCTGGTCCTCTCAGGCTGCTAAAGCTATGCCATTCAATAGCTGTCCTTCAAACTTTCTTTCTTCACTGTAAAATTGAGAACATATTTGCTGTGAAATACTTAAACTTCAAGTCAGTGTTAGAGATTTCATAAGTTTAAAATGTTTTGGGCATCTTAACTTCAGCACAGCTAGTTTTCTCTGACTGTAAAGAGCATTCTGTGTATATTTCCTAATAAGTCTTGACCCTTAGCTTACCCTTTAGACTTTTTCTAAAATGGAACAATCCTGTCTAGATCAACTGAACATGCTGGGGTTAAAATAAAAACAATAAAGGTAAAAATAATTCACTTACACTTAGATGTCTGTTCTCTGTCTGAAATTGTGAACTTCACTTCGCAGAAGATCAGCTGATTCATTTAGGTTACCACCACTCACCATGCTAGGTGTCCCTGTTTGGTTCTTACTCTGAGCGTATGTCTGTATATTTACTGCTAAAAATCCAGCGTTCTACACTGGAAAAACAGTTTAGTAATAAGTTAAAATTTCCTCAATTAAGTGTATTTACCCTTAATTTGAATAGGTAAATTACATATTTTGCCAATGGAATGAGTATTTTTACTTTTAAAATAAGATAATTAGATAAAATGCACTTGAAATAAGACAATGCAGTTGTTTTCTTATTTAAAATGTAAATTGTCTTGTTCCATTGGCAAAATCTCTTTTCCCTCCTCAATCCAAGAACAAATGCACTTATTTTAAGAAAAATCATCTAGATTTAGATTTTTTCCAGTGTATGGCTTATTATACATTTCTAAATACATATGTGACTTAGCTTATAATGCAGTTCATGGTTAATTTTCTGTTTGTGTCTGCAGGTTGTGTATGCTTTGCTGATGCCAGCTAGTGCCACACTGGGCGAGGATGCCAGTGACTTCCAATATAACTTCCTGAAGAGCGGTGGTCTGCCTCTGGTGCTAAGCATGCTCACCAGAAACAACTTCCTTCCATCTGCGGACATGGAGACACGCAGAGGGGCTTACCTCAATGCTCTGAAGATCGCCAAGCTCCTCCTGACTGCCGTCGGCTTCGGACACGTGAAGGCTGTGGCTGAGGCTTGCCAACCCAATGCTGATGGAAATATTCCTGTCTCTCCGGTTAGACCTCGCTTCTTTTACTAGTAAACGGGCAAACCAGTTCAGCTAGTTCTGGGCTTTTACCCTCTGCTGTGCTAACATGTCCGTTTCTGCTTCTTTTGTGTAAATATGTGCAGATAAATCAGGCTACTCATGACCAGGCATTGGTTCTTCAGAGCGCCCTGCAAAACATTCCCAACCCTGCCTCAGAATGTATGTTGCGAAATGTAGCTATCCGTCTGGCCCAGCAGATTTCTGATGAGGTAAAAGAAGCTTTACATTAACAGGTTTTTATTTCCCTCATTTCACTCCCGGATGTGTTAATCTTACAAATTCAGTTTTATAAGCTAAATGCAGGGAAGTGGAATAAGAACTCAATCAAGTTTATCATTGTGTACCTTTATGTGCCGATTTCTTGTAAAAAGTAGTCTGTAATAACATTAATAATAGATTCAATGGAACTGTATTTTTCATCAGAATTTCTTCCAGGCATCGAAGTACATCCCAGACATTTGCGTGATCCGAGCGGTGCAGAAAATCGTGTGGGCATCGGGCTGTGGTACAGTGCAACTGGTCTTTAGCAACAATGAGGAAATCAGTAAAATATATGAGAAGGTAACGTTTTTATATAAGAAGAAACATTTTACCCTTAAAAGTTAAACAAACAAAGCCAGTTTGGGACCGCTTAGAACTTAACTGTGTATATTCTGTCCTACAATCGATTGCAACGCCTGTTATAGACGAACGCAGCGAAGGAGCCGGATGGAGAGGATGAGCAGGTGTGCTGCGAGGCTCTGGAGGTGATGACTCTGTGTTTTGCTCTCATGCCGACGGCTCTTGACACGCTAAGTAAGGAGAAGGCTTGGCAGACCTTCATCATAGACTTGTTGCTACACTGCCATAGCAAGTAAGCGAATCAGTATCTATCTACCTCATTATTTATTCAAAGTTTTCCAATTTTATGTACATTTGTAATGATTTTATTTTTCCCTTACATTTTTACACTCTTTGGCCCTTCAACAGATCTGTGCGTCAAATGGCCCAAGAGCAGTTTTTCCTGATGGCAACAAGGTGCTGCATGGGGCATCGGCCTCTTCTTTTCTTTATTACCCTCCTCTTCACCGTGCTGGGGGTAAGTGGCTAAAGAGATTAGGGTTGTGTTTCCAACACTCATCTGGATTCTGGTCACCATAATGTTTCCATCATTGCGTGTCTAGAGCACAGCCAAAGAGCGAGCCAAACACGCAGGGGACTACTTCACTTTGCTCCGACATTTGCTGAACTACGCCTACAACAGTAACATCAACCTGCCAAACGCCGAGGTGCTGCTCAACAACGAGATCGACTGGCTGAAAAGAATTCGGGTCAGAGTCACCTTTTAGTTATTGGTTTTTTTTGTTTTTTTTATTTATCTTCTTCCAGTTTCATGCAGTCTTGCTTAAACTCCAGCATGATTTTACTTCATTAGGATGAGGTTAAGAGGACAGGAGAGACTGGGGTGGAGGAAACCATATTGGAGGGCCACCTTGGCGTCACCAAAGAGCTCCTAGCCTTCCAGACGCCTGAAAAGAAATACTACATCGGGTGTGAGAAGGGAGGAGCCAATCTCATTAAAGTATGGAGCCCATCCCAAAGTGAAGATTTTTCCAGTTTTATCTCGTTGCTTATAAATTTCTTCTCCTCTCTTTTTGATTAGGAGCTGATTGATGACTTCATCTTCCCAGCGTCTAATGTTTACCTGCAGTACATGAAGAGTGGGGAGTTCCCCACAGAGCAGGCCATCCCAGTGTGTAGCACGCCTGCTTCCATCAATGCCGGCTTCGAGCTGCTGGTTGCCCTGGCTGTGGGCTGCGTCCGCAACCTCAAACAAATAGCAGACACTCTGACAGACATGTACTATTTGGGTAGGGAGGCGTTTCAGTGACGTTAAGTGATCAACGTTTAACTGTCAAGTGGAATGGAGTTGAATTTCTTTCTTTCTCACTTCTCTACATTCAGGTTGTGAGACACTGACAGAGTGGGAGTATTTGCCCCCTGTCGGACCGCGGCCGAACAAAGGCTTTGTGGGGCTGAAGAACGCCGGAGCTACATGCTATATGAACTCTGTCATCCAGCAGCTTTACATGATCCCTCCAATCCGCAACGGCATCTTGGCCATCGAGGGCACCGGGACGGACGTGGACGATGACATGTCTGGTGATGAGAAGCAGGAGAATGAGGTATTAGAAATTATTAAAAAAGTCGAGGCTAAAGCTTAACCCGAGGGTCCGATTAATCCTATCAATACAGATATTAAATTGCTTGATAAGATGCCTGTTGATTACAATTATCAACCTTATTTCTACTTTATTTTAGTTTAATTGTGTCCCCAATAAAGCTGCTTATTCATATTATCTGCTGTTTACATTATGAGACTAGCAAAATCAATTTAAAATAGTTTTTTTTAATTTCCCCAATAGATTTATGTCTCCTAGAAAAATAAGAATTCCAAATTCTGTTTAAAAACAAAGTGACAATAGACATCTAACTAAATCTCAAATGAAGACAGTTTTTGGATGTATTTCCATGTACGACGGTCAGAGAACATGTTAAAGCTAGCCCTAATGTATTAGGCTGCAGGTGTTGTCCTTGTTTTTCTACTCTGGCTGGAAACTTAATGCTAAATCTTCTCCCTGCCTGTAGCAGGTTTGTGGCAAAGCAACAACAAAAACAGGACTCTGATAATTTGTAGCCTTGGGGGATTTAGATTTTGTTTTAATTTGTATTTAGATCGTCTCCATAGAGACAAATGTGTCACAGCTGAACACCCTGACATATGAAGAAATGTAGATTTTAGCATAAAGAAGCTGAATTGGCCCTAAAATCGGTTTTGTGAGCATTCCCTCCTAAGCCGAGCAACAAGCTGCTTTTAAGCTCAAGTGAATCATGTGAAGAATGACATTTGCAGAGCTGAACTTTCTCCTAAACTTTAACGATGCTGATGAATGTGCTTCTTTGAAGGTGTCTGTCCACAGTACTTATGTATGGCTTGTTACAAATCAGATTTCGTTCCCACAGAGCAACGTAGATCCTCGTGATGAAGTTTTTAGCTACCACCACCAGTTTGATGATAAACCCTCCAGTAAGTCAGAGGACAGGAAGGAGTACAACATCGGAGTGTTGCGTCACCTACAGGTTATCTTTGGCCACCTGGCTGCATCCAGACTGCAGTACTACGTACCGAGGGGCTTCTGGAAACAGTTCAGGTTAGACTTTTTTTATTTTTTCTCTGATGGAACAACATGCCCGTCCATTTGGTTAATTGAGCTCTTGCTTGTTTTTTAAGTTAAAAATAACTACACTCTGAACTAACTCCTGCTTTTTTTTCTTGTGTTTTTCTTAGATTATGGGGAGAGCCGGTGAACTTGAGGGAACAGCATGACGCTTTGGAGTTCTTCAACTCTTTGGTGGACAGTTTGGATGAAGCTTTAAAAGCTTTGGGTCACCCTCCCATGCTCAGCAAGGTGCTTGGAGGATCCTTTGCAGACCAAAAGATTTGTCAAGGGTGTCCCCATAGGTGAGAGAAATTTGAATTTCCATGCACATTACAAGTGTCCAAGTGCTGATAGACGTTTTTTTTGACTGATGTTTCTGTCTTCAGATATGAGTGCGAGGAGTCATTTACAACGTTAAATGTAGACATCAGAAACCACCAGAACCTGTTGGACTCAATGGAGCAGTATGTTAAAGGGGATCTGCTTGAAGGAGCCAATGCCTACCACTGTGAGAAGTGTAATAAGAAGGTAAGCCTGTAGATGGATGAAGAAATCTCTGATTATTCTTTGTTTTTGTTGTTGTTTGTTTTTCCAATCTGGAAGTTGGAAATGGACAAATTGACTCTCATTATCAGGTGGACACAGTGAAGCGCCTGCTGATCAAGAAACTGCCCCCTGTCCTGGCCATCCAGCTGAAGCGCTTCGACTATGACTGGGAGAGGGAGTGTGCGATCAAATTTAACGACTACTTTGAGTTCCCACGGGAGCTGGACATGGAGCCGTACACGGTGGCAGGTGTGGCCAAGCTGGAGGGCGACGACGTCAACCCGGAGAACCAGGTGATCCAGCAGAACGAGCCATCGGAGCCCACGCCGCCCGGCAGCTCCAAGTATCGTCTGGTGGGAGTGCTGGTTCACTCCGGCCAGGCGAGTGGCGGACATTACTATTCCTACATCATCCAGCGGAACGGTGGGGACGGCGAAAAGAACCGCTGGTATAAGTTTGACGACGGCGACGTGACGGAATGCAAGATGGATGACGAGGAGGAGATGAAGAACCAGTGCTTTGGGGGGGAATATATGGGGGAGGTGTTTGATCATATGATGAAGAGAATGTCTTATCGGAGGCAAAAGCGATGGTGGAACGCATACATCCTGTTCTACGAACGCATGGACTCACTGGACAAGGACAGCGAACTCGTCAAGTACATCTCAGAGCTGAGCCTCTCCTCCAGCAAACCGCATCAGGTCAAAATGCCGAACGTCATCGAGTGCAGCGTCCGCAAGCAGAACGTCCAATTCATGCACAACCGCATGCAATACAGCCTGGAATATTTCCAGTTCATTAAGAAACTTCTGACCTGTAACAGTGTCTATTTAAACCCTCCTCCAGGTACGCACCTTTTTTATCTATACAGACTCAGATGTTAGATAAAGAGTTATTGCCGGTTCCTTCTGCTGTGTTTTGCCACATTCAAATATTTTAGATCATCAGACATTTAATTTAGGGAGAAAGACTACAGAACAGTGGCTCACTACTTATTTGTGCTTTTTTTCCCTCCATTTGGCAATAATGGCGCTCATTGTTGTTTCCCTAAAGCCTTCGAGAAAATTAAACCCTTTTAACACTAATGGAGTTATCTTTGGCATTTAAAGTCATAGGGAAGTCAAATGTCAAATCATTCTGGCTTAAACATGTAAATAATATATACTCTTTATCTGACAATTCAAATCAGAAAATTTCTATTTAAAAAATCTTATGCAGGCCAGTTAATTATACGTCAACCTGTACACCAAAATTCTGCCAATCATATGTCAACGGTCATCTGTCAATCAAATTTTTTCGGTCATAGCTTCTTAACTCATATGTTGCAGCTAATATACGCAATGGCTGAAATAAGAATCATTATACTTTAACATTGAGTTCCGTCCCAGTGTTCACAGGGATGGACATCTGTGTCTTCAGCAGGCGTAGAGCTAACAGAACTGGCAGCATTGCGAAACAAGGGCTCAAACATGTAAGGCTGTAAGCCTTCTACACCAAACCAAGCTTCTGCCACCCTGACGTCCTCTTCCACAACATCTTCATCCCTATTTTTCCTCCTCTAAATAAAAAAAAAATGTATGACGGATCTCTATGACTTTAAAAGTTGATCTGAAATATTAGTTTGAGGGAGGAGAAAAAGAACAATACCTTTTAACCTGTGTAGACAGCTTTCGTTAGCCTTATGATCTTTACCCTTTAAAACTGGCTGCCATTGGTTGACCACTACAGCTTCTACTTGAAGGTATGTTGGTTGTACCTTAATTGCAGCCTCTTCTGAGTCACTCCTCTCCTGTAGTAATGGTTGTTCATTAGTTTTCTCCTTGAGAGCTTGTTTGATCTTTGGAGCTGTTACTAATTCCACATCATATCCATTGGTTTAGATTTCAAAGCTAAGATACTGCAGCCAGCTCTTATTAGTGAGTAATTGACTAATCATCCTGTTTAGTGTTAAAAATTAGAGAGATTATCTTCATATTAGCTTTACTTCAGATCAAACATGATATTAGGTGCTCTGAATAACGCTGCCTTTTTAATATATATAAAGAGCTTAGCAAGTATGTGAAATCTTTCTCTGCAGTAACTGAATGAGCATCAAATTCATTTAAATGAAATAAGCAGCATTGAGAAAATTTGCTGATGTCACAAAGTCTGTCCTGATATGATTTTTATTCAATTTACAAGTCTGGGATTGAAATGATTTTATCTATTCTTTGCATCTTTATCACAACTCTGGCCTCCTCTTTAAAATATATCACTGCTTCATGTTCATATACAGAAACACTGGAGCTAGCATATCACAACGATGAGGATGTGGATAGATATTTTCATTTTGCATCGATGTAATTGGATGGTTAATCATTTCAAAAATTGCTAAGTTTTTGCATGTACTGTTACACCCATTCCCTTAAGCATCTTAAAGCAGGGGCTTGCTATAAACATTTATATTAAAGTTTTAAAAATGTAGTGTCTAATAACTTTAGTTTTCCATCACTGTTCCTGTTTTTATCCTTTTGTAAGAAGAGGCCAGAAGAATCAACAGGATGAAAGAGTTTTTCTCAAGCCATATGACTCAGTTACCTGTTGTTGCACATCAGCCGTCCAACTACTTAGAAAAAATAATTTATGCTACTGGAAATGCTGTGAAGTTGTGAAAATTTCAGTAAGGCAACAGTTTGCAAGCTGTCTGACCTGATTTAAGTGTTAGTTTATTGGAGCGGAATAGTAAAGACACATGATAATGTTTGTAGATAAAAGCAAATACATCCTGATTCCATCCCCTTCTAAAAATAATCTTAAAATTTAACTTCAATCATAACAATTGGCCTTAAAAGATATTGAACATTTGCTTCATGATTGCCGAATGATGCATGAAGAAAAGCCAAATTACAAATGTGTTTTGGATCTAAATCGTCCCAATGACTCTTTACTTCAGGCTCAGTATCAGGGTTGGAAAATAATTGAACGGCTGCGTCTGTTAAATGATAGTTTTATTGAACTAAAGAAAACAAATGCCATTACTGAGTGGTTTTCAGTGTTTTCTGTATTCTTTATCCCAGGACAAGACCACCTTCTACCAGAGGCTGAGGAGATTTCTATGATTAGTGCTCAGCTGGCTGCTAGGTTCCTGTTCAGCACAGGTTTCCACACAAAGAAAGTAGTAAGGGGTCCTGCCAGTGACTGGTATGTTCTGTTTCCTTTTTTTTTTTTGATAATTAGGTTCTATCAAAATGTTTTACCTTTTGTCTATAAAATGTTGCTGTTTTTTTTCCTTCTGCTGTTTTAGGTATGACGCCCTTTGCATCCTGCTGAGACACAGTAAGAATGTACGCTATTGGTTTGCACACAATGTCCTCTTTGCTTACCCCAATCGCTTCTCCGAGTACTTGCTGGAGTGCCCCAGTGCCGAGGTCCGCGGGGCGTTCGCCAAGCTCATAGTCTTCATTGCTCACTTTTCCTTGCAAGACGGGCCGTGCCCCTCCCCCACAGCCTCGCCGGGACCTTCAGCTCAGGTAGGTGCTGAAATATGTTGCAGTCAAAATGGTTCTCCTGGTAGCAACCTCTTGATCTCTGTTAAATCTTTTGTTTTGTTTTAGGGCTGTGATAACCTCAGCCTTAGTGACCACCTGTTGAGAGCTGTTCTCAACCTGCTCAGAAGGGAGGTTTCTGAACATGGCCGCCACCTGCAGCAGTACTTTAACCTCTTTGTCATGTATGCCAACCTGGGTGAGCAACAGTCAGATCTTAATCCGTCCATCATTCAGTTATTTTGTAACCTGAAGCACAGCTTCTATTTCCTTTTGACTCTTTGCTTCTTTAACCACACAGGCCTGGCAGAGAAGACTCAGCTGCTGAAGCTAAATGTTCCCGCCACTTTCATGTTGGTTGCTCTGGACGAGGGTCCTGGCCCCCCCATTAAGTACCAGTACGCTGAGCTGGGCAAGCTCTACACTGTGGTCTCTCAGCTTGTCCGCTGCTGTGACGTTTCTACACGTATGCAGTCCTCAATCAATGGTAGGTGTATAAGACTGTTGTGTGAATTTTATGGTGATATTGATATAATTTTTTTAAATAAAAAAACACCATAGCTAAAATAACTTAAAATATACCACCTTTTTTTTTTTTTTTTTCTTCAGGTAACCCTCCCCTCCCTAACCCATATGGGGACACCAACCTCACAGCTCCCGTCATGCCTGTGCAGCAGCTAGTGGCGGAGATTTTGTTTGTGAGGACTAGCTACGTGAAGAAGATCATTGAAGACTGCAGCAACTCGGAGGAGACGGTGAAGCTGCTTCGCTTCTGCTGCTGGGAGAACCCCCAGTTTTCCTCCATTGTGCTCAGTGAGCTGCTCTGGCAGGTAAATCCTTGTGCTTCTCCTTGCAATGCTGGGTCACTATTTCTCAGTCTCATTTCATAAAACCATTCATCCCAAAGGAAAATAGGTAAGATAATGTCTTTATCGTTTGACAGGTGGCATATTCCTACACCTATGAGCTGAGGCCTTATCTTGACTTGTTGCTACAAATCCTTCTCATCGAGGACTCCTGGCAAACGCACAGGTCAGATTAACTGCTTAGGCTGTAATACAAAGTACCCTGCATAAGTATTCATATATTGAACCATTTCACATTTTTTCTTTTATCTATTTCTGTGGTCCTAGAGTTGATAAATAATTAAAAAACTCTGATATTGGTTTCCTGGTCTGCCTGCCTTTTAAATGGGGTCCATCTTTTTACGTAACCCTGAATTCGCCTTTTTGCCACAATGTATCTGTTTACCTGGCATGAGTTGACTGTTATAGTAACACCAGAACATTCTGCGCTGTCACAGCGGCACAAAACGGCCCGGCATACGCTCTACAGCAGGGGTGTCAAACCGGTTCCAGAAAGGGCCTATGGCTGCAGGTTTTCTTTCCAACCAAGCAATAGCACACCAGACTCCAGGCATCTCATCAAGGGAGTCCAATCTGAACATGATGACTTGATGAGATGAATGGAGTCTGGTGTGCTATTGCTTGGTTGGAAAGAAAACCTGCAGCCACACGGTCTTTTCTGGAACCAGTTTGACACCTGTGCTCTACAGCATCATCGTTGGTGCTTGGTGCACTCATGTTGTCTGTAAAATGATCCTCTCCATATTATCTGACCAAAAATGTCACATAGCTAGAAATATTCATAGCTGAAAGTAAAAGGTGGCTCTACAAGCATTGATTCGGCGAAGGCAAAAGAAAGTGGAAGCCACCTTTGATCAGATTTTTGTTAAGCAAATTTCTTATCATTTGTCCTCCTCTTTACAATAATACATAACATTTTTCTTGGCATATCAAATAAACTCCTAGAAAGTATATTTAAGGAAGGTTGTGGTTGTTGCATGACAAAAAGTGCAGAGGTGTTAGCATTTAGTGTGACGTTTGAGTCGACTTTTCTTTGTCTATTTAAAGGATCCACAATGTGCTGAAAGGCATCCCTGACGACAGAGATGGGCTCTTTGACACCATTCAGCGCTCCAAGAACCACTACCAGAAAAGGGCTTATCAGTGCATCAAGTGCATGGTGGCTCTCTTCAGCAACTGCTCCGTGGCTTATCAGATCCTACAGGTACACCTTCTCATCCAAGTTCAAGCTAACATGGGCTCACTTAACAGTATAGTCATTTAGGTGTTCCGTTTCTGTTAGCCTGGCATCAAAATCAGCAACTTCTTGATTGACTTTTTTTGTTTGTACTTGTGCAGAGCAATGGTGATTTGAAGCGAAAGTGGACATGGGCAGTGGAGTGGTTAGGGGATGAGCTGGAGAGGAGGCCTTACACAGGAAACCCCCAGTACACCTACAACAACTGGTCACCTCCTGTTCAGAGCAACGAGACCTCCAATGGATATTTTCTGGAGCGCTCCCACAGTGCACGCATGACACTGGCCAAGGCTTGTGAACTCTGTCCTGAAGAGGTAACGGCATTTACAAAGCACCCTTTACACCCAGAGTTTGACACTGACCTAATCATAAAGCCATAACGTTACGGTTGAACCTTTATTATACATACCCCTGGAAGATACGGAGTTTAAAATATTATCATTCATCCTAAAAGTTTGTTTTTAAAAAGAAATTGGATTGTTTTTAAGAATTATTAAGAAATAAAATAAATATCAGTTAATCTATTCTGTTGGAGTTGTATTAATGTGAAATTGTAAATCCTGCCAAATTCTTGATAAAGTCATCAACAATTCAGACATCATAATCTTATAATCTGCCATTACCATACAGAATAGTTCTGTGAAACTCCAAACTTGACGTCTTCCCATCTAAAGCAACAATCATGGAAAAATAAACCACAATCTGCCTGGGGTATGAATAATTTTTGGCTTAGTTTTTTTTTGTTTAAAGATGTTAAATCCCAACTCTAAAGGAGCCTTTTCCACCAATACAGTTCCCAGTTCTTAATTGGTGCTGGAGCTGACTAAGCAGCAGTACTTAGTGTTTACAGCAGGACAAAGGTTTGATTCGAATACCTCTGATTGCAGCTTTCAGCAGTAAGAAACACTATCCACTGTAGGAAAGGAGCTGAATCCGGAAAGCTGCCATTCTTATGGATGAAACTCCAAAATAGAATTTGGTGAATGGCTAAATTATAAAACCCAAAACATATTAATATGTGAGATTATGACGCATCACATAAACTATAAGGCAAGAAATTTAGTATTTTTGTTAAACTCTGTGAGGTGGGCTGTGCCTATATGCTCTGCCGCGCAAAGGTTTGTGGGCAACACTCGGTATATCTCTTAGCAACAGCTAGGAACATCAGGTGGTCACCATGATAAATGAACTCACACTAGGAAGCTTCCTTCTCCTAGCTTCTTTCTTTCTGACGGCACTATTTGCATGGCACATATCAAAGTATGTAGAATGAGTGAACCTCTGTCCCTGCCCTGAAAGCTGGTCCTAACCAGGTAAAGGTTAGCTTGACCAAAGGAGAGAACTGTTTGCGATCAGGGTGATTAAAAACGTTGTAAGAGCCACGTTTAAATTTAGAAAACTTAATCCGATCAAATAAAAATAATAGTGGAGGTTTTACTTTAGTCCGAACCAGTTTACGAGAGTTTTTGGGTGAAATAATCTAAAACTTGTCGCTCCAAACCATGGGGGAATGTTAGGTCTGTTTAATGCTACCATGTGTCCATGGCTTGAGCCCCAAAGGTTCATACCGTTCTGAGCTAGTGGAAAAACATGGAGAATTCATTTTAGGGCTGCAATTAATGTTATTTTGCAAACCGATTAATCTGTCGATCATTTTTTCAATGAATAATCAGATAGTGATTTTTTACAAACTTAAATAAGGTGAAACTTAAACTTTTCCACTTGAGGAGTTATGGATAGCACACATTGACGGACGGAATTTATTATTTTTTTTTTTATCTTAAAAGCATATAATGTTTATATAAAGTTTTTTTTAACAATTTTGATATAATTACTGCTCTAAGTGTGTTGCTCTGTCAGCTAAAGCTATTTACATTATAAAGTCTCTAAACTCCAGTTAACAATTAATCGATTACTAAATAGTTGGCGATCATTTCAATAATCAAATGATCACAATCTGATTGTTTCAGCCCTAATTTATTTACACCATTAAGAGCTGGTTATACTCCCCCTGCAGTGTGTCGCAGTGAGCTTTTTGGAGGTATGAAGCAGATATTTTTGATTTATGCCCTTACCATTTTTAAGCGTGGTCTGCGCTATGTTATTCCACGCCACAAGGCAAGAGGGACAATCACGAACTAGCTGTGGGTCTAAATACGGCCGAGGCGGTGAGGAAATGGAAAATCGCAAGGGGCAAGTTTGTGTGACAACGGAGGGGCACGAGGGAGAAAAGAGCAGGGATCCAGGTGGAAAAACGGTCCTAGCGTTCTCGCTCCTTTAGCTGGTCCATCTTCAGGAGTCGTTTTCCACAATGGAGGTCATACAAACAAAACAGGCCGGTAAGGTACCAAACAGAAAATACTCAATGTAGAGCTTAAACCAGCCTTTAGTTCGTTTCTCCCTTCTATTATTGCAAAAAATGTTTTACACATATACCAAACGATTTAAAAATTTATTGCATGAGATGTTATGCTTTATGAAAAAGACAAACCATCTTTGTATGTTTTGCCCATTGCATCACATACTTAAACACATGCCTGGCTGCCCTAACCTAAAAGGCTCAAGTCTGTAGTGTTAATGTCATCGGTGTGTCTAATCAACATCAGAAGTCATTCACACCAGACATGAGCTGCTTTAAAGTTTGAATTGCTCAAGACCGCATCCCACCTCCTCCAGACGGTATCGGTCCAATGATTTGGGTCCGATTGCTGCTTTTACATCCAGATAAAAGAAGGAGGAAACAAACCAGTTTGTTTTAATCAGACTAAACACTTCAGTTAAACACCCTAAATTGGCTCCTAACTCAACAAAAGCTACCATTCTGATCTTTATGCAGTTTTTTTTTAAATAACAGATTGTTTAATGAGGTCAATGATCCGCGTCCAGCCACATCGTTAAACATTGTTTTCTGAGTCGCCTGAGTCGTCAGAACTTCAAGCTGGATATAATATATCTTGCTCTTAAAAGTATGTTGAGTTCTCATTTGTAAGCTGCTGATAATGATTAGGACTTAGGACTAGGTTCACTATTAAACCGTCACCTTCCTCTTACATTTCCTCACAGTTGAATAAAACCAGGACAGGGTTAAACATTTTAGTTATACAGTGTTTATTATGACCTAATGCTGATTCGAGTTGGATCTGAGCGGCAGGAGAGCACTAGGGGTGTGGGGAGAAATATATAAAACCGATCTTTCGGTTCCTTGTATTGATTTAAAAAAAAGCATTTTTAGCTAAAATAATGAGGGAAAATGGGCTACCTCTGCACCGCCACTCTGGCAGATGGTGCTATGGAGCCCTTTTGCTGTGTGGCGCTGCTCAATATCTGGGGTTGAGGGGGGGACAGTGGGAGACGTGAGCTGACTGATACCAAAATCAATAAATGATCAATATCTTTACATTTAATTTTGATAGCAGGGAAAAATATTGCAATATATAGTTATATTGAAATATCATGATAATAATGCACATATTGCGATACCTTACCCCTAGACAGCACGCTGGTTCTTTGCTGAACCAGTCCAGAACTGGCTCTTGCTCCAGCACTGCTTAGAAACTGGAACCTCATTGGTGGAAAAGCTCTTTAAAATAAATATTGTTTGTTTGATTACATCAACTCAGCACAACTCACTGAATAACTTGCCTTGTTGTTGTTTGTGTTTTAGGTGATATGAATGTGTCAGCATACTTCTTTTTTTTTTAGCTCTTCAGTGTTTTGTCTTTTTTTTCCTAATAGATGAAAAAAATTTAAATGTATTTTATAAACCTAAATTATTCTAATCAAATTGTTTTGGTCAGATGAATATGTATGGTATTTTGTAGCTGAATTGGCCAATAAAAACCAAATTCTATATTTCTCACTTCACATGAGCTATTTGTATTTATCATGATGAAAAAAATCCAGTTAAATGACACACTTCTCCTGTAATATTCCATACACAGCTCAAGTGTACTCAGGAAAGCCCAGGGAAGGTCAGTATTCCAGGCAACACGACATAAGGGAAGGAAATTCAACAAAATGTCCCTAAAGATTCAGCAGAGGAACACCAAGTAACTGATGGATGTTTAGGCCTCCAAACACATTCAGATAGTTTCAAGGTTTTGGTTGTAGACTGCAACAATGAAGCCCGCTGATTCTTAGAACACATCACTTTTCTATCCGCTATCATGTTGTAGATTACTGAGACCAAATATGTTATTGGATTGCAGCTTAAAGGAAGCTAGGGCTATTCTTTCTATACGGCCATGTTATCTGGCTGCACACTGTACTCTAGCCCTATTTTTTATTGCACTAATGATATATATCAACTTATAACATAGTAAGCCTTTATTTCTGTTTATTTTGATGATTATAGATATAGCTAATGAAAACCCCAACTGCAGTTTCTATATTCTGACAAAAATAGATGGTTAACACAGAATTTATTCTTTATAAACACTCTGGCTTAAACTATTATGGGGAGGGTGTCTCTCTGGCTGTTTGAATTATTTAAATAATAGAAAGTTGAGTGGAAGGATAAAATGTGGCACATTGGCAAACTGAATAACCCGAGCTTTGAGAGCATTGTAAAGCTAAACCCACTTATCCGACACATGGGATAGACTGTTGTATTCTTTTACCTAAGCCAGAGATGATGTCGATATAATCTACCCTTAGCCGAGGACGTCTGGACAGGGGCTCAATGATCCAAACTCCTCTTTTTGAATCAGAAATAAAGTTTCTATTTCATCTGGAAGTCCAATCAGTCCAGAAGTTCTGTGTCAGAGCAGCTTGATGACAAATCTGAAGTTCCACAATCGATGATAGCTTGGCTGTGAGGGACTGACAGTCTGCTCTTCTGAATCAAACCCCCTTTTGAGCTAATATTGCGAGCTAACAATAGAGAGTAACTAAAAACCATATCCTGCTCACTGAAAAAGGCTGATCTGCCCCAGTTTTATTATACTTACATTTCATATTAAAAACATTAATTCTGTAATAAATTGTTGAATTTTATGTGATGTTATTATCAAAGTGAACAGAAAACTCCATAAATCTTCATTGCGTTAATCTAAAATAAGAGTTAAACCTTTTTTGGTATTTAATGAAAAAGAAAAAATCAATATTTTTCATGATTTTTCTAAATGTAGAATTTTCTCATTTTGAAATGGACAGATTAAGTGCCTGTCCTTTGCCATTTTTTCCCAGTCAGATAAAACCTTAGCGTATTCCTATTTAATATATAGCAGAATACAAAAAATTACAGTGGCTAAGAGGTGCCAACGTGCAGTAAACTGCAAAACAGGCTGCAAAAACGTGATGGAAACTCCAAAGCATGCCAGCATAAAATAAATGCAACAGAAAAAATGCTGCCCAAAAGAGATGCTGCAGTCACTAAAAATAGCAGAAAAAAAAAAAACCTACGATCAACAAAACAAATGCAAACCAAAAATGCTTCAACTAACCCCCCAAAAAAGGCCACAACCACAGAAAGAAAATGATGCAAGTAACACTCTGGTCTGAAATGGTTTATTTGTTTCATTCCCTCAGAGTTTACTGTCACTTTCACTATTGCATCATTTCCTGCCTGTGGTTGCAGCATTTGTTGGTCTGCATTTGTTTTGCTGATTTGAAGGGTTTTGCTTCCATTTCACTGTTTGCATCAATTCTTTGGTAGCAGTGCTTTTTAGTGCGTTAGTTTTTTTTGCGTTTGCATGTCATGAAGTTTGCATCACACATTTTTTCCAGCTAATTTCATCCTTTGCTGGGCGTACAGAAGAAATGGCAAAAGTTTACTTTTAATCTCAAGTAGCAGCTTACAAGAATGTAGAGCTATGATTATGAAGGATCTTTGTATCTTCCTCAGATTCTCTTATTACATCCTCTATTATCACGATAACAGTCAACAATTATTATATGCTGCTTGCAGTAAACTAATGCTTTTAACAAGCTAGATATTTCTAGAAAATAAAAATTGCAATAAGATCAATTCTATAGAAATGGGCTGTTATTACAAGTAGCATATAGAGACACTTAGGTGTGATATCCACCCACCCACACAGAAACACATTAAATCAAATTTAAGTAAAACCACAAAGTAGGAAATGTGACTTTCTTGTTCCACCTACTCATCATTTCTCAGTAAAACACTGAAGCTTAGTGTAACATTGATATCATGTATCGCACTTAATTGATTTGTGATAATCTTAATCTGTTATATTGCAGGAGCCTGATGAACAGGAAGCACCTGATGATCAAGACTCCTCTCCTCCTGAGGACACCTCTCTGTACCCTCATTCTCCTGGAACCGCCCAGTTCCAGCAGGTAGGATCCGAGGGCTTTCGTCTTCCTTTCACGAAAGCAGAACAGGTGGTGCCTGTTGCCTGTAACAAGACTCTTGTGTCCAGTAACTGTTACCGTGGCTATTCATGATGTTTTAGTGTTGTTTGGATCAGATGTAATCCGAAGACAAATGTTTCTTGGCAGTTTGTAATGAGACAAAACTTCAGGCTGCATGTTAGTTCACAGTACATAGAGTTGAGATTCCTTCCAAATATTTTGTGATTGAAGGAAAAACATCAGTTTTACCATGACTTTTAGTTTTAATGCAGGATTTTTGTTTGAACTTGAGATCTGGAGTGTAGAGCTTTAAAGAAATGAACTGACCATAGATCATTTTATGTTTTGTTCAAGATATTTTAATGAGCTACGAGTCTTGTTGTCTTCAGATTCCTGATTAAGATCCTACAATGTTTATTTGAATGGATATGAACCACAAATGGTTCTAAGAAGACATCTAACTTAAACATCTATCGGTTAAAGTTAGGGTTAGGTTGATTTAGACTGTTAAAAAAAAAATGTAACTGATGAAAAATGGACAGCATGCTCTCTGAAGAAACCATCAAACTTAGAGAGGAATTTCCCTGGTTTACATTGAAAAAGAAAACAAATTCCCATGGTTCCTGCCAATACAGGTGCTGGTCATAAAATTAGAATATCATGAAAAAGTAGATTGATTTCAGTAATTCCATTTAAAAAGTGAAACTTGTATATTATATTCATACATTACATACAAACTCATATATTTCAGATGTTTATTTTGTTTAATTTTGATGATTACAAATGACAACAAATGAAAATCTCAAATTCATCATATCAGAAAATTAGAATATTGTGAAAAGGTTCAAAATTGATGGCCCCTGGTGCCACACTCTAATCAGCTAATTAACTCAAACCACCTGCAAAAGCCTTTAAATGGTCTTTCAGTCTAGTTCTATAGGCTACACAATCATGGGGAAGACTGCTGACTTGACAGTTGTCCAAAAGACGACCATCGACACCTTGCACAAGGAGGGCAAGACACAAAAGGTCATCGCTAAAGAGGCTGGCTGTTCACAGAGCTCAGTGTCCAAGCACATTAATAGAGAGGCGAAGGGAAGGAAAAGATGTGGTCGAAAAAAGTGTACAAGCAAGAGAGATAACCGCACCCTGGAGAGGATTGTGAAACAAAACCCCTTCAAAAATGTGGGGGAGATTCACAAAGAGTGGACTGCAGCTGGAGTGAGTGCTTCAAGAACCACCACACACAGACGTATGAAAGACATGGGTTTCTGCTGTCGCATTCCTTGTGTCAAGCCACTCTTGAACCACAGACAGCGTCAGAAGCGTCTTGCCTGGGCTAAAGAGAAACAGGACTGGACTGCTGGTGAGTGGTCCAAAGTCATGTTCTCTGATGAAAGTAAATTTTGCATTTCCTTTGGAAATCAAGGTCCCAGAGTCTGGAGGAAAAGAAGAGAGGCACTTCATCCACGTTGCTTGAAGTCCAGTGTAAAGTTTCCACAGTCAGTGATGGTTTGGGGTGCCATGTCATCTGCTGGTGTTGGTCCATTGTGTTTTCTGAGGTCCAGGGTCAACGCAGCCACATACCAGGAAGTTTTAGAGCACTTCATGCTTCCTGCAGCTGACCAACTTTTTGGAGATGCAGATTTCATTTTCCAACAGGACTTGGCACCGGCACACAGTGCCAAAGCTACCAGTACCTGGTTGAAGGACCATGGTATCCCTGTTCTTAATTGGCCAGCAAACTCTCCTGACCTTAACCCCATAGAAAATCTATGGGGTATTGTGAAGAAGAAGATGCAATACACCAGACCCAACAATTCAGAAGAGCTAAAAGCCACTATTAGAGCAACCTGGGCTATCATAACACCTGAGCAGTGCCACAGACTGATCGACTCCATGCCACGCCGCATTGCTGCAGTAATACAGGCCAAAGGAGGCCCAACTAAATACTGAGTGCTGTACATGCTCATACTTTTCATGTTCATACTTTTCAGTTGGCCAACATTTCTATAAATCCTTTGTTTTTATTGGTCTTCAGTAATATTCTAATTTTCTGATATGATGAATTTGAGATTTTCATTTGTTGTCATTTGTAATCATCAAAATTAAACAAAATAAACATCTGAAATATATGAGTTTGTATGTAATGTATGAATATAATATACAAGTTTCACTTTTTAAATGGAATTACTGAAATCAATCTACTTTTTCATGATATTCTAATTTTATGACCAGCACCTGTAAACACACAGGGATGCTGGAAAACACCTCTTCCTTTAACAGAAAGCTGGGAAAAACCATGTAGAAATGTCTTAAGTTAAGTGTATTTACCCTTAATTTGAGTAGGTAAATGAGATAGTTTGCCAATGGAATGAGTATTTTTACTCTAGAATATAAGATTAATAGATAATATGTACTTGAGTTAAGACAATGCAATTGTCTTTTCTTATTTTAAATAAAAAATGTCTTGTTCCATTGGCAAAATGTCTCTTTTTTTACTCCTCAATCCAAGAATAAATGCACTTATTTTAAGAAAAAATTAATTAGATTTTTTCCATTGTAGTGTGTATTTCAGTTTTTTATGTATTACACTTTGAAAGTTTAACTTCTGGTTTCATAAGAATTTTGTGTCTTACAGAACTCTGCTGTTAATTACCATTAATGGTTTAATCCCAGTTTAACTTCTGGTTTTTATAGCTTATTTTAGAGGTTGATTTTTTTTTTCTTTTTTTCATATGAGAGCATTGGAAGTTAAAGAATAAGAGCTACCCGATCCAGAGTTGGTTTGACAGCAAATGTAAGGCCTGGAAAACTGGGTTTTTGGAGACTTTTCATCCCGTCTGAAAAAGTTGATAGAATCATGAAAACGTTCCCTTTGATTTTGCCTCCTAAAACGCCATAGCTGTTGATTTATTTCTTTCTTTTAAACCACACCCTGACTTGTGGTCCATTCTCTCCTCTCGAACAGAACAACCACCCTCATGGGCAGCCGTACACCGGGCCCGCTGCTCAGCACATGAACAACCCCCAACGTCCCGGTCCTGCCTCCGCGCCGACTCCAGGCCCGACCCAGACTCCGACTCCCGGCCCCGGTACCGCTCCCAGCTCGGGGCCACGAGCACAAGAGAACTGGGAGGGCACTGAGGAGGTTGCCCCCGCCCCGACCTCCACCCCAGCACCCGCCCCGCCTAAGGAGTAACCTCGCCCCTCCCCATCCCTTCTGCTGTGCCTCGAGCCTCCATCGTCCTGCTCACCTTCCTCTCATCCTTCGGTCAACAGGCACCTCACCGGGCCTCTCTGTCTGTCTCTCGCCGGCCCCAAGGCCAGGGCAGAGCCGGGCCTCACACCACCACCCCTCTCCAGGCCGCCTGTAGGAGGTGCTCTTCCCTGGCCTGGAGCTGCCTGAGCGCGTGACAGGGGGCCTGCTTGGCGACTACAGAGGCGAAGGAGCGGACAAGAGTTTGAATATAAACAAAAATTACCCAGAGCCGACGATGCTGATGCGCTTATCTACACAACGAAAAGGTGTAAATAGTATGTTAATGTTTCTGACTGTTCAGATTCCCAAGTAGCATTTAACTCGGTGTGGGTTGCTGTTGGGAGACGTTGCAGATATGAAAAACAAAATGGATACTATAAATAAGAAAAGGTCCCAAAAAAAACTTTAAAAAAACTTAAAAAAATAAAAAAACGAAACAACTCCTGCTCTTTGTTTTATCACCCATGCTCTGCAGTAAAGTTTGTCCTGCCATCGGACGTCGTCTGGTCATTCAACTTGTCGAAGGACTAATTGTTATCATAATTCTAATAATTCTACTTAAGCTCCTTGGCAACCTTATAACCCATGCCAAATCGACTCACAAGCTGTGGTTTGTTTTAGTGTGAGATAAGGAACGGTTGGGTGGACTTTATACGGTGTTCGGTTGATGTGAAAAAGCAGTGATGCAACATTGTTCTGAAACTCATTGCCTTTCTTTTTTTTCCCCCTGTTTGTTTGTTCTGGTTCTTACTTCAGACCTTTTTGAAGCTCTAGTTAATAATGCTGTAACATTTAGCATGGCTTCTCACCAGATTAGTGTAGCCCAAGGGAAGACTTGTGTTCATAACAACCTGAAGCTGTTCTTAATCCAAACCTCCACAGGGGGGTGCTGTTTACCCTTAGGTTTTTTTTCTTTTGTTTTCTACTCATCTTCCCCTATGTACAACGAGGGCGGTATTTTCAAACCAATGTATAAGTGGCTTTTCAATTGAACATTGTAATCCTCCAACTCCACATTTGGCAGTCTTTTTTTGGTGGGTTAGACAGCTTAGCTTTCATCTATAGGAATACAGAAACACAAACGTATGCAACAGGATTGCTGCAGCGGGCTCTCTGGTGTGTTAGACCGTGTGGTTTGCTTCTATCTCTTCTATAGAGCATAGATGTAGACGGACTCATCGGCCATCAGCTTCCTCTCTTCCGTGGAGCTGGGTCAGGCTGGCGTCCGGCTGCGGTTGGGAGGGGACGATCCCGAACAGCCGCCGGCCCCCCCACGCTCTCCTCGCTCCACTGCGTGAAGCTCCCACAGCAGGGTTTTTTTAAGAGGCCGGTTAATCTTGTTGCAACTTGAGCTAACTTGTAATTCTGTAGGAGTAAAAGGTAAACATCAGTAAATACTGTATTTAATTGGTAACTTGAATGCGTGTATTTTTTGAATTTCTTTTTTGTCTAAAACATACCAAATACTCCTGCAAATGAAAATATTCTGCCCACCGTATTATATTTAAATATTTTGCTCTTATTTTATAGAATTTATTTTGTTGTATTTCACTAAAAATAGAATTTGATTTAAGAGGAACATTTTTGTCCTTGTGTTATTTTTAAAGAAGATATTGACTGTACAGAGTTCTGCGCCCTGTTTTTTGCCGACTTTTGTTTTGGCCATGGTGTGACGTTGAATTCTGGAGCTACAGTCGCGATGTGGACTTTCACTTTGTGAGGTTTTTTTTTGTGCACAGAAATATAACAAAAAAAAAAGCATTGCGCCCTTAGCAAATAAAGAACATGGAATCTTGCCTCTGTTTTATTTCAATTCACTGAGTCTTGAAGGTGTTACTGTGAACATTTGCTCTTTGAGTGGTTAAGATTTTTATTCTTAAAATATCATCAGATCCAAGTGGATCTAATATCTCCCTAATTTGTTAGTTTCTAAGTCTTAATTGTGTCTTCAATTGAGAACAGAGGTTCCAGCAATGAGATATTGCTCTTACCTTCCTGGGTAAATGGATTAATTCATAATTACAGTGGGAAATGTAATCAGAAATAATGTATGCAAAACTCTACCTTACTATGGTGTTTTTTTATGTTTCATTTTGAAAACATGGAGAGCAAATTTCAGAGCAATGACTGATTTAGTTTAGTGGTCTTAAAGGTCTTGTTATTCACAACTTGCCTCTAGTTTTTTGTCTACATGTATTTAGTAAGGTTATCTGCTCAGGTAGCCGTTCACATGCATACAGCTTTAAAAAGTCCTTAAACTTAAAATTTTATGTTGTTTGGGTCGGGCATTCAATGTTTGACTTTATCCTTTAGAAAAAGTGTTAGAATTTTCATGCATTATCACAAAAAGAAGTCCAAAAAATGTCAGACAACCTCAATAACCTGACAAGTTAAGAAAACTCATTAGCTGCAGCACTTTCTCTGGTTCATTATGGCTGTAAACCAAGGGTGTAACTTTGTAATAAAATTTGGGGACACTATAAGGCAGAGGAGGTCATGGATTAGCGGACCGCAGTCCGGAAACATCACTTGCGCTGCTTCTCCTGTTACCCTGAAATCCCACATCCTCAGTCTCCACTCCACCCTGCTTTGCTCCAGACCTCCTGCAAAGCAAAGCCTACTGCAGCGGTCACCAACCTTTTTACAGTTGAGGGCTAATTCAGGGGCACTGAGTCACAGAAAGGGCTACCAATACTGACCTATGAATGGCAAGGGTCAATGTTCACCTAAACTTCATACATTATAAACATATCTTTATCGTTTCTTTAAAGTTATAATTTTCTTTTAAACATTTTCATTTTGAAATCTCTATAAATGCTTAAATTCTATATATGATTAAATGATAAAATGTTCTACAACCCTATTAAAAAAAAAAGAGCAACAGAATACAATTCAATTTCGAACGTAGCTCACTGTTCTATTCTCTAAGGGCACCCCTTGTGGTCCTCGAGGGCCCCTTGGTGCCCGCAGGCACCATGTTGGTGACCCCTGGCCTACAGACTCCCGCTGTTCCTCCCGTATTCCTGCGCTCCGACTTATCCTCGGAGCTCAAGGAGAGCATGCGCGATATTATCATTAAATTCATAGGAGCAAAACAAGCAGAAATACACGCCTAATTTAGAATTACATATAAAAAAATCCCCATCAGCATTCAGCTTATGTGCAGTTTCTAATGGAGAGGAGAAATCTGCTTCCTGGTCTGTTGAAGTACCAATAGTTTGCATCCAATCTTTTGCATCAGTTTGTTTAAATATATAAGAATTATGCTCTAATTTGTAGTTACCAATCTGTTGTTACTATATTTTAATTGGACAACCTGGATCTTCTCGCCGTTATTTTTCCTGTTTGATGCGATTGCAATATCGGATCTTGACCTGGCCGGACTGGAGCGGAGCCTGAACATTTAGAGTATGTTTGGCTCAACCTGCTGCTGTGAAGCAGGATTCTCCACATGAACAGAATCAAAAATAAATATATCGATCCAGGCTCAGAATGAGCACCTTGATATGTGGTTTAGAATGGCTTTGTCTCCATTCAAACCTAGATTTAAAGCTTTGCAGGGCAGCCTGAAGCCCACTGCTCTCATTAAGCCAGAAAAAAAGAAAAAGAAAAAAGGTCAGTTCAGGTTTTTTTTGTTTTTTAAGTGAATCAGGAAGATGTGTACCAAACTATTCTTGTTCCCTATTTTAAAAAATGTCTTTATTTTTTACAATTGTTTAATGAAAATTTCTGTTTAAAGTAACAGATCATTAAAAATGTCTCCAGACCTTTACTGGTTGATGATTTTCTTCATTCAGACCCCGCTGATTTTTTATTGGTTACCCCTGATATAAGGGTTGGGGATGATGAACCTGCAGTTACAGGATTTAAAGGTTTTTGTTACGTTTTTGTATTTAACTAAAAATAAGCCCAAACACAAATTTGAATGCCCTACATTTATTCAACAGTAACTAAATAAAAGTATAATAATATACAGATAGACTTGTTCCTTTAAGCGGCTCTTTTGTAATGGCTCAGAAACAACAACATTAATAACAAATAAAAAAAAAAACTATGACTGAAAAAAACTGAGATGTTTTGCTTAGTTTAAACTATTTAACACACTATTTAAACACCTGCTTTTCTCAAACTTCTTGCTTTATAATACTAATTTTCAAGCCTACTTACAATCCGTTGCTTTTTTTGTTGACAAAGCTCCATACTTTTTTAGTGCCTTTCAACTCAAAGGTGCCTTTCCAAACCCATTGCCTCTGCCGTCCTGACCTTTAACCTGCTTGGGACCATTTTTAGAGAGTCCCATATAGCAGTCTGAGCTCCCCTTGAACAATAGAGCTATCGAAGTTAAAAGTTATTGATTGCCAACACAACAGATATGGTACTAACCTGATGAGACGTATTTTAGGTTCTCTAAGGTAGGAGTTAATCTAGAAAGGTGAATTTAGCCTTGCATTTACAAGTAAAGGGCTTGTTATACCCATGCAGCAGTGTGTCACAGTAAGTTTGTTGCAGATATTTTTGATTTTTGCTCAATGTTGAAGCATGGTCTGCGCTGTGTTATTCCACGCCACAACGCAAGAGGAAAAATGATGAACTAGCTGTGGATCTAGATATGACCGAGGCGGTGAACAAGTGGGGGCAAGTTTGTATGATGACGGAGGGACATGAGGGCAAAAAAGAGCGGGGATCCAGGTGGAAAAAGGGTCCCAGCGTTCTCGCGCACCTCGCTCTTCTAGCTGGTCCATCTTCACGAGTTGTTTTCCACAATGGCGGTAAGGTACCAAACAGGAAACATGCATAGTGTAGAGCAGATGTAGATTTGTGGAGTGCAAGAAGTTACATCTACTTTGTTTTCTGCCGCTGGCAGTCGGGAAGGATTTAAACAGGACACCTTAAGTATTGAAGTTTGCAATGCTAATGTCAGCATCCACAGTTGAAATCAGCCCACATGAAACAGGATGACCATAGAAGACAAAGTAGTAAGCGTGAAAAAGTAAAACAACAACCTTAAAAATTATTTTGTTAGTATCTCGCTTAACCCTTTATAGGACACTTAGCGAAATACTTTCAAAATGAAAATTTCAAACCAATAGTGTTATTGGAATGAGGACAAGACCTTATCACCTTTGTAACATTAAAAAAATATGAATATTTTGGATGGCAAAAATGAATGTCAATGTAATAACAAGAAACGCCAAGTTGCCCGAATATATTAAGAAAAATAAAAAACGTGCTTATATAACAAATTAATGAGAAACATTCTGAGAGTGAAAGAAACACATTTTATTTGCTACAACATAACCTTAGAGGCATTAATGCTGATACTGGCACTTACATTTTCCAGCTCATTTAAGGGAAGTTCAAAAAGTTGGGCTGTCCCTGGGCCTCGTCCTGGTGGGAAGTTCTTGGAACATCTCCTGAGGGAGGCTCCCAGGGAGTATTGGAAGCAGATGTCCAAGACAAATCAGTGGACTCTGTCACGATTTGGTTGGAAGTTTTTGTGAGGACCCAAATGCAGAGGCAGGGAGGCTGAGGTGAGTTCTTGCAGATTTAATAGAATGATCACAGGTAGCAAAACAGGAATCCAAAAATCCAACTTATAAATGTTAAACTAAACAGGAATTTAAAAAATCCAACTTAAAAATTAAACACAAACTAGAACCATGGAGACATCAGGGGAAAACAATCATGAGAAGCCAGGGGAAGACGAAGTAAGACGAGGAACTAGCACTGAGGGACTGCACAGGGAGTGTATTTATGGCTGTCTAAACAAAGGCAGGACTAACAAGCTCATAAGGAGGTGTGAGTAGAGATGACGAGGAAGCCAAGGGAAAAGAAAACACTAGGGGGCAACAGAGGACATGCAAAGAAAAATCTAAGAAACTTATATAAGTCTAGAACACACCAATAAAGCTTAAAAACAAAGAAAAACATGGATAAATGTGAAACTGAAAACCAACAGAACCAAGATTGTTACAGACTCTTCTCAATTGGGAGGAAAGTGGCTCTGCTCTGGGTCCCTTCTTGGCGGCGGAGCTCCTCACCCTGTCTCTAAGAGAATGCCTGACCACCCTGTGAAGGAAGCTCATTGCAGTCACTTATATTATAGATATTTGTCTTTCAGTCAAAACCTAAATTTTATGAACATTGGTGAGGGTAAGAATCGAGAGCTTTGCCTTTTTGCTCAGCGCTATCTTCAAAATAGACTACTATAATAGACTCATGATGGAAGCTTTCAGTCTCCTGCTCCATTCGCCCCTCACTCATGAACAGGACCCCAAGATGCTTGAACTCTTCACTTTGAGGCAGGACTCTCCTCTAACCTGAAGGGGACACACCACCTTTTTTCCTGTCCAGAACCATGGCCTCCCTGCAGGAGCTCATTTTCATCCCGGCTGCTACGCACTTGGCTTTGAACACAACAAACCATGTGATCTTCAAAAAGCAGAGACAATATCTGCTGGTTCACAAACTGGACCCAACTGGCCCTTTGCTACGCCTAGAGTTCCTGTCCATAAAAGGTATGAAGCAGACCAGTGACAGAGGCAAGCCCTGCCAGAATATAATTTGACCTGAAAAAGCCCAGACAACAGCGGCATGTACAGTGACAGGATGGCCCCATGTTAAAGTCGAAGGGAAACGGCTGTTCCAAACGTTTCATTTCCCAAGCATGTTTAATTGTGGCCGGTGTCTCAGAAGCATCTTGCTAACCAGTTAGCAACTTAGTGCTAGTAGGTTCCCAATGGGAAATTACATTGGGACCAAGTAGCACTATTCCAGTATTTCTTATTTCAACTAT